TCCTGCGATCCACACCCCGAGTGCTACGCCTAAAGGTATTGTCAAGGATGTGTTTTGTGAGTGTGAGGAGCGAGATCAACATATCAACCCACCTGCAGCCCAGCCGAAGTTGAGCGAAAGGAAATCCTATATAGAACTTCGACTTGAATGGTAGATTTCGAATATTTGTATCATCCACTTACCCCTCTTGGAACCGCTTCAACGTTCGGGTTTGTGGATAGAAACATTTGACAGTTGACACCGGTACCGAAGATCACGAAGATCATTGTACCTAGAAACTCGGCCGCTGGTTCACGGATAGCATACCTGGACAGTGTAATGAGGAAGCTTGTACAGAGATAACCGAGAAATATTCTTCACCTGAACCTCGACCACCTGTTAGGAAATACCATGCTAACTGAGGAAGTGCATCCTTGCTTGTCGCAGGAGCCAACGTTCTCTATGTATACTTCTTCTGGCTTCTCAATGTTTATCGACATGATTCGTAAGGGATACGATTTGGGGAGCCAGCAGGGAGAGGAGAGGCACCTGAAGAATCATATTTATACGTTGAAATGGTTTAGTCACGTATCTAGCCTCAGTGGTGTGTTAATTCCAATGAGAGGGCAAAGAGCACAAGAGCACAAGATCGCAAACATCACATGGCCGGCGGATGAAACAAGTTGATCTCCCGCAGCTATGCCTACATGGATTTTCCTAGGTGGAAGCACAGTGGAGCCGGCTGACTTAGGTAATAGGTCTTGATGATGGTGATGATGATGATCCAGGGAGGCAGCCACACGTGAGGTTCTCGTGATTTCGGCTTAGAGAAGAAATCGTTTGCGGCCTGGTAAGCATGCTCGTGATGAGAAATTCTACTAGCAGATACTCACGAGGAGTCGGACTCATTGTAATTGATGTACCACACGGGGACTGGGTCGTATACAGAATCACCACCCAAAATACGGTTTAGGGTGCTGAAAGTTGCTCGTTCAGCAATAGAATCAAGATATATATTACCGAGGTCATGGGCCATATCTCTGTACCTTGAGATAATGGGCAGGAAGTAGGTCCAGTGACCAGACGAACAAGTCGAGCTCTGCTAGACTGCTACATCAAAAAAAATCACTTATTTACGAACTGCTTGCCTTCTTTAGAGGACAACAGACTTAGCAGCACACCCAACGCTGCCGCAGCACAATCCTAGATAAGTTCTTTGATGGTAGCGTGACTCGGGTTTTCTTCAGGACGCGTCTTGAAATAAAAAGTTGTAAATGGAGGGTTCCGAGTCCGCATCGGCAGTAGTGTTGTGGGGAGAGGTAGTCCTGCCAGCGTGATAAATATGATAGCAACATAGAGTCAGCTTAAGTTTGGCTTAAGTCCGAGTCCCACTTTAGTTCGCATCACATGATGCTAGTAGTCACTCACTGGCACGTCTACATCACATTTTGAAGTCGTGATTCTAGAAGTATAGGCTCCAGCATCATTTGAAGACGGGCCAGGTGAAAATGACCAGCGCTACCATAAAACAAACCTTTCTACATTATGCAACATTGTTAGAAACGCCATGCTGGACGGTTGTGTTGTGCCGAGGCTGAACCACCTTTTAGTACGTCGCAAACTTCTTGTACTAAGGAACGACAGCGGCAAATACCTCTTGATCACGAACAGCACAACCTTCCGGTGCTTTCCAACGCCAACGACGATTCATCTACATGAAAGGCACCACCTAAACCTCAATCAACTTGATCTACAACTCGGGTTGTCCATTACCCATCTCTTTGCCTGTCCATATACCTGCCATCTGCGCTCATCTAACTCCCAAGTCAAGTTTCATTAGTGCGTGCGCCCTCCACACGATCCATCCATGCCTTTCGCTGCCCTCTCCCTTCTCCAGTGATTGAAGGTGCGCTTTTGGCGCCCATGTCCTCGTATGACCGTCACCATCGTCCTTTTCCGCCCAAACCCGCCTTCCCTCTGCTAAAACTATCTCGTCAACAACACCGGACTCGCCGTCGCCGAGTTATTTAACATGATGTCTCCGGCATCGATTGCATCTCCCCCAGGTATAGACCGTACTGCTCGAATCTTATCGGTATCATCATCGCCCGGCCTTTCAAAATACGAGCCTGTGCTGCTATCAAACATCATCATCCTCGCACTCGCACTCGCACTCGCGAATGGCAACAATAACTTAGACATGTTGTTCGCTCCGGGATCCTCTGTCGAAGTTTGACGAGCTTTAAAACACATAGAGATATGTCTCCCTCTTGCTTGGAAACAAAATTTTCCTTATCCTGTGTGGCCTTCTTTAGTTAGAGTGGTCAACTTTTCTTGTAGTAGGTCTTCCGTTTTACGGTTTATCACACTTAGCAGCTGTGCGCAAAAATCTTGACAGTAGCGCATGAGACATGAGTACATTAGGATGTACAACCGCATCGCGATGTGTTGTGTCTTCTCCCTAGCTTATCATTATCATATCCTCACCCTTCCATTTTCGATGAACTTGAACGACTCCAACCGTTCCGACAGGCACGAACCCAGACAATGAAGCAAAGCCAAATTCACCAAAAGAGCTTGCGAAGAAACGAGGTCATATTGTGCCATTCTTCTGACGAAATTCGCTCATTTATTCCCGTTTCTTTCGCGATCTTCTTCAACTTTTTGCGGGAAATCCCTGAGCATGGAAGCTCCCGGTAGATGACTGTATAGTGAACGGAGATGAATCTGTCATCACTGGATAAGATTGGCAGTGCATCGAGGAACCAGAGTTAGGACAGTGGTTCACGAGTCGAAGTAGATGGTTCACTTCACCAAAGGTGAGTACTCAGTACTCAGGGACGACCAGGAGGACACTAGGTTGTGTCGAACTCATTGTCCCCTGTTTTACGCTCAAGTTTGATCGATGATCATCCGCTAAAATGTACTTTCTGAGAAGCCAACACAGCCGAGTACCCGCTCGAGAGAGAATACGCTCCGTTCACGAAGCGTGACAACCAGTGCGATTTTGACGTCGTGACTGGTTTTTCGGAATCGCATAGTGTGAGCACTCACGTTGTCCAGACTTCATTTCCTAATGTATCCATGTCACGCGCTACTGTCAAGGTAAGCGCCTCTGTGATTATCGTGGAAGTATCAAGATGTCGAGTCGAAGAAACGATATTAAGTTAAGGAACATCATGACCGACTGTTCTGTCTTAATGGACTTTGCCGAGTTCTTGAACGACAACTCGTTCAACCACTCTTTATCTATACCGTCACGGTTCCCATCACAACAATATCACAGAACGGCTCTGATCTAGTGTCCTTGGCTTGCCCAGCGCTCATCATGAGACAGCGTGAGGAAGATGAGGAAGATGAAGGACTATCCGGTGATGTGTGACCTGTGCAAGTCCATTAATATTTTCGCTCTTTTTCTTGTGAATGAGGTACAGCCTGAGAGCATTATAGCTGGTATGCGCTCCCTCCGATGCATTGGTAGCAGTTCGATATGTTCTGTTGAGTGTAACCTAGCTATTAATGATTGCGCAAGCCCACTATGGCTAGCCACTATTTGGAATACCAAATTAGGACATGTTTTGGGCGTACCGCCCGGGAATTACCGCTTTGGGCAACTTTCGATGTTTGCCCGCAAGGTCTCGACTCTCGGCCACTAATCGTTAGTAGAGTCACATGGAGTGAATATTTTCCAAAGGTGCTCCTTACTAACTACTGGAGATGACAAGTTTTCCGAGGGCCTAGACTGCTGGTACCTTGTTTTCGCCACGGCTTAGCAGCCGAATGGTGGCAGTTATCGTCATCTGTCGATTACAATGATTAAGTGTCAAATCAGCGGTTCTTAAGTTGATGAAATCCTTGGAAAAAATACTCCAATAAGCATTCCGACATTTTTCTGATGGCTTGGCGAAAGTAGGTGGTAGGTGGAGGTTTCGAGGTGTAGACTCGAAGGTAGTATGAGGTTATAGTTGTAGTTGGCACGTGATGCGAGAGGGTGTAAATTGGAGGTTAAGTAGGTGTTGTAGGCAGAGGAAGACTACAGCGGGTGGTAGTAGACGCACGATGGCAAAGTGCGTAACCTTGATTGGACACGAGCAAAAAATACCTTACCGAGCGGTGCTGGAGGTCTTGATTTCTGCTGTAAGTGAGGTAACGCACACGTATCTTGTTTTCGGGAGCTGTTGAGCCTCGGGTAACAGGGCGACGTGCACAGGAGAAAATTTACTTATTTGCTACCCGACTACGTTAGAAGACTCCAGCATTGTCTACTCCGAGTCGCGTGGATCCAAAATATCCCGGTATTACCGAAACGGTCTCATTTGATTGGTGCGCGGGCCTCGTGGTTGGATAAAGGCCAACCTTGCGACAAAGCCGCTCTGTCCCACCCGCCTCCCTCTGTCAGCGGCCCAACCGTAAACTACCCTGCCGGTGGCATCGTTACTGGACGCAGCTGGCCAATTCGTTTCGTGGTTGCAGTCGTGCGACAGGACCTGTACTCCTAGTCTCCTACTAGGTACATAGGGCCTAGGCTCAGTAGTAGTCATCCTAAACGGAACGAGAGGTAGCGACAGCCCCTTGACGAGAGCTTTCGCAGGCTCGAAACCGCTAGCCCCACCCCGCTCTACTAGCCTCCCTCTGGCCCAGCTAACAGACCCTTATCTTAGGAGACGGGCGCCTGCAGCAGGCGCTAAGGAAGTGGTCAGACTCGATGGCGCTCTGCTGGACGCTTCTGACATGGGCTTCGATTTCCCTGTCAGTTTGCTAATACCTGAAGCTCAAGGTTTGCGACCTGGGATGACGTTATTTTCCTTCGTCTAACAGGGAACTAGAACAAGTAGTCATCTCGGAAGGCCCGGCTTCTACACACTCGCGAGTATACAAATCAACGTCACAGGGGTTATTAATTCGGATGCCAGAGTCGTAGCCAAGTCGAGTCCGTCACAATCTGGCAGACAGCTCTTTCCAGTACGTTGGGCGGTGCTTTGTGTCAAACGATGGGAACAAAAAGACAAAGTAATGACATTGTGCGAAACAACGAATAAACGAAAAGCCTTCAACTCGAAACTTGGGTGTCGCGTGCCTAAGCGCTTAAATTTGAACATCATTCTAATACGTCTTGTCTACGTAAATTCCAACTTATCGGTGGGACTTTACTTAAAATACAAAAAAAAACCCATGCAATGATGGAGATCATACGTAGAGGGTCATCAAAAACATGTCCGAGCTACCAGTGTCATTACGAGTGTTATCCAATCATCAATATCATCAAACTGTTTCTGCAACTCCATTACGTTTGGTGCGAGCGCACGAGTGCAGGTGATGTCTTTCAGCCTGTTCACTCCTACATATCAACAAGTTAGTATTGGCGTTATACAGAAACATTAATAAAACGCACGGCCTGTTTGTAACACTTTCTAAACCCCTGTAGAGCATAGAATCATAGAAGAACGCAGCCACAATCATGCCAAAAATTGGACCGAGGATAGGGCACCAGAGCCAATACTTGGTTCCTGAAGGTGAAGACTGCGCCACCGTACCCAACCATGGCGGTAAGGATACGGGGCCCTAGGTCACGGGCAGGATTAAGGGCTGCTCCAGTATCCATGCCAAGAGCCGAACTGATGCCAAGGATTACAAAAAATATTCCAACAGGAAGAACACCAGGAGGCAAAGGACCATTTCTTTTATCCGTGAACATGAAAACTCCGGTAAGGAGCATGGCAGACCCTATAAACTACATTGGGTTATCAGTGTGTGTTCAATTGAAGACCGCTAGTTACTCACTTCAGCGAAGAAGGCGGAGACTGAAGGAAGATAGTCGGCCTAGATACACTTGAGCCGAAGGAAATCATGTCAAAGGTCTAAACCTACCGCGTAGGTCCCAAACAGATTACCAGATACCGCAATTGTACGAATATTTGAGCCCCCTTCGACGATGTCGATCGCATTGAAGTAAGTAGCGTAGACTACACCTGCCCCACATAAGGCGCCCAGGACTTGCGCAAGGATGTAGATGGGAACTTTTTTCCAGGGGAAACCGCGGACAGTAGCAAATGCTAAGGTGACCTTACTAGGAGTCAGCACAAATAGTTACATGCAAAATATCGAGGGATACCCACCGCAGGGTTCACGTGACCACCTGAGTAGTTTGCAGAGATCCATACACCAAGGGACAGTCCTGACCAGCTTGTAAGGAAGACGTCGACATACAAAGATGAAGGTTCGCTCACCAATGGCCCAAGAGAGGTTGGATGTGACAGCATTCTTTGAACAAACACCAATTAGTTTCAGTCCATCCATCACTTTCGATGCCTTGAACTCACCCCCGCCGGGCTTGCAGATACACTTTTATTGGCAGAGAGATTTGCCTGGCAATTGCCACCACAGCCAAGCAAGCATAGAATGAAGGCACCCATGAACTCGGCTGCCGGTGCGGAGATGTGCTCCCTGCAACAGGTCCAGTCAGCTATTGTCAATATTTTGCGGACAGGTAGGTACTACCTGATGCTTGACCATCGGTTGGGGTACGGAGAGCATTGATCACAGTCAGCGAAGTCAACGACTCCTAGGACGTTCATATCGTTGGGTCGAGTGGAATAAGAGTTGTTCGACGTCTCGGAATGACGAGGCTTTTCGATGATACCCGTCATCTTGTGCTGAGAAAAAGGAAGGACAAAGTGCTAAAGCTCTTGTGGAACAGGGTTTGGCAACTGCCCGTTTTATAGTTACCTGTTGTTATCACCTATGATGAGTATCACGTACATAGCCCAACCGGGACTCCGGATGTGAGCGTAATGGATGAACCAACCTGCGGAAAGATTATACACACATTATACATGCATATTAGTTTTGCTTAATACATATTCGGACCTGTCAGCCAATCAGAACGCACAAATTAGCTGTAAGGCAACGTAACGTACATTTTTTAATTCTCGGACTAGCACAACCGTGTGTGCTTTGCATCGACAAAACGGTCGGCAAAAAGCATTCATACCGCACTATACCATGCAGGGAGATGAACAAACAGGGTTCTGCTATTATTATCGCAACAGCGTGAACATCGTCCCGGGTCCTTCCCATCAACTGAACCAATTCGAAGTGGAAACAAATCGAGCCGGTCTAAGTTCGTCCATCAGTTTAAATCCCAATTTGATTTTCATCAAGAATCTCATGATGATCTCATCAATCTTCGAAAAGGTTCGAACGCACCGAGTCACGTTGCAACTTCTTCGAGAGTTCTTTATCGGTTAAAATAGGTTTGAATAGGATGGTCACGTATAAGGGGAGACGGGAAATTCCTGGACAGAAGCCTCCACTGCCATGGAGTTGTCGCTTTCGGTGTGTGGTCCGTGAATTGCGAATGGCATGGTGAAAGCAGAGGCAACCAAAAACGTCCAAAACAGTCATCAAGAAGGGCACGCGTACCGCACTCTCCCAGAGGACCCCGATGAGAGATAGCGACTGATCCTGCATCGAAACCAACCAGAAAAGATTCCACAGTGCAAAAGATAAACATTCATATCGCATAAAACAGAGCCGGACTCGTGCATTCATTTGTCGGCTTCAATTAATTTGAGTAAAACTCACGAATTCTGCGGCAGTTACCCAGTTACCGCACACGATTCAAATATTATGTATTCCGACGAGGTAAAGCACGTAACACAAGACGTATCTTCCAAGCAGAAAAATTATTCATTCTGTCGAATCTGTGGTAGATCTGCAGTCAGCGGCTAGAAATGGGATATTTGACAAAAACCATGGCGCGATCATGGAGGCGCATGACAGTGGGAAATGCTACAACGGCGCAAGTGTCTGACAGCGGAACGAACCGTTCATGCGTATAGAAGCCGCAGAGGCTTTGCACAACAGTCATTTGGCTTCATATTGGTCTTCCGAGCGCCGAGCGGTGATAGTGTGATTACGTAGGAGGTACCCTGCACTATCCTCGCCATACAGCGGGGACTACTCGGAGAGAAACAAAGGGATAACTTGAGGCAATTACATACCCTGCTTGAATATCACCATAAGAACAACTGTTAACTCAAGACGCCAAAGAATTTAATGGCGCTTTCAGTGCGCGTATTACTTGGTATGGCATTATGGCAATCATCTAGAAATGTAGAGTTAGCCACGCAAATATGCGACATTTCGTCAATCACCTTTCGAGTTATTTCCTCTCCTCCAACCTCCCATCCGCTTTCGGCAATCGGTAAAACTACATTGTTCATATGTCGGATGCAAAGATCGTCAATGCCCAATTTTTCACCAGTATACTTGCGCCATTGAATAAGGGTATCCAAAAACTTTGACGCGTGGCAAAGTAGACGCCGACGGGCGGCAATGGCATCTGGATCGAAAACGGGGCAGTTGAGTGCAACAAAGGGAGCTATCAGGGACTCTGATGCTGATACAGAGCGTTCGAAAACGGAAAACACCGATTTTAATATCATCTAGATAATTGCGTCAGAATAACAACTCGTTCGTGGTGACCATGAGTAGTCACCTGGAATTTGGGGTTGTCGTGTCCGATGGAAGCCTCCACTTGCTCTGCCAAGTTTATCATATTGCGGGTATCCAATGCCGAGTATGAGTCAAGCGCGCCTGCCTCGACTACCTTGCAGATGAAGGGGCACGACTGTCCGTGGAAATCATGGCGGAAACCAAGTCATCATTCGGGCCTGTATCCGACTCTGGATCATCATTATCTCCACAGTACTCGTGTAGTGAAGCACACCATGAAAATTCATCCAAGGTGTGCGAATTCTGACACTTATGGTAGATTAGCGCCTCATGGCATAGACAAATCAACACACCTCGAAGGGGTTCCATCCAAGAAGTTCTAGCCGCACCCAGAACTCCCAAGCACCGACGAGTCCAAGCCCACCCCATGCACCAGTATAGCTATCACTAAAGCGTCTACGCCATCCACTAAACCACTTAGCCAACCCCAAACTCGGATCTCTGAACTCTGCTGCATTCACATCAGATAACAAACCATGCCCATCATTGGCTATTCTTTCCATAGCACTTTGATAATCTATGGCGTCTGATGGGGGTAAAGAGGAGTCCGTTGAGTAGCCCTCCTCTCGGTCCAGTTGCGTTATGATGGCCCTGGTTGCACGTCCACGCCCACGATGAAGTCGACGGGCTATTCGCGCGGCCTGTCGCTCACGGCGTACAGTAACAGGGTTTGCTCGAGGTAGAATGCGCCCTAAATCATCCACCTCTTCAGATTGATCTGTGGCCACCAAAAGAGAACCGAAAATCAAAGATAGATCATCTTGGTTGTCCGCTTCGCGTCGCTGAGCAATCATTCCAGAGCGTTCTTTGAGTATTGAAACAAATTCATCCTCAAGCTTCTCCAGCTTCGGAAACTAAGCATCCGTGAGATTTTGCTTGATGTGAGATAGGATGATACTAACCTTCTCATCGAGAAATGTGGCCACACTTTCGACCCATTCCTTGAATGCAGCGAACCACGACCTTTTTGCTTCAGCTTTGGCAATCATCTCGCGTAGCTCTGATTCACGGACATCCAATTGTTCTCGTTCATCGACCAATGATGCTGTTGCCTTCACATTTGTTGTGTGCGACGTAGTCATCGTGGTCAAAGACTGAGACAGGCGGTCCATTGCCGGTCCAAGAGATGGTATCGCAGTCGATGTGGGAACTTATCCAAAGGCTCCAGTTAGTCAACGACAATTCCAGAAGGACATAAGTCTCACTTGCGGCAGGCTTGTAGACCTGTTTTGCGGGAGATACCTCATGAGAGGTTGGGAATGTACCACCTCTCCGTAACTGTTCTCTTTCCCACTCCATGGTCTCCTCGTCTTCCTCATCGCTGTTTTCACAATATTAGTCAAATCCACAGCAAAATTCTTATACATACGCATCTGCGATCATCTCTTGCATAGCATCCTTGCGTTTCGAAGCTTCAAGTTTTTTCGACTTCTTGCCAAGTGCAATGCGCTCTTGAGCGCTGGTATACTCCGCGTACTCTGTCCTTTGTCAGACTGATGCAGGAAGGCCGAAAAATGACATACCGTCGTCTCCTTCTCCAAGCTCATCCTCTTCACGCATCAATCGACTTTCTGGATGTGGACCCTGCGGTACGGTATCACGTTTCGTGACAGAAAGAGATATAAAATCATCTTCTGTACCATGAGTCCGTATACGTTCTCGTCTTTGTCTAGCTGATAGTATAGACGATTCCGAAGGAATCACTGTGTCAACATCATCTGCACGTCATCAGATAGTGAACAAGGCACCTAAGCAAGATCTTACCAGCGATCTCAGTGACCTCTGTGCTAGTTTCACCCGGGTCCATCGAAACGTCTGCATCATAATCTTCAGCGACTGTGGCACGTCGCGACGAAGGCGTGCTTGCTTTCAGCTGTGAGAGGTACGCCTGGTCATATACGGGTGCCCCATTAGAACGGGGAGTGATAGTAGCTTGGTCAAGCGAGACAGGCAACACATTCCTAATAGATCTCATGAGCAAACCGAATTCTACAGCAGTACAGATATGAACATACGCAGGATGCGCGTTCAGAGACAACTTTTGACTAAGACTTGATTTCTTCAATTGAAAGACTTCCCCATCTCCTGCCTGGCGCCTTAAGTGGTAAGCAAGAATTTGACAGTGTATGAAGTGAAAACACGAACCTCCTCGTCACCACCGAAACTGAGCGTAGATTTGGGCTTAGTGCGTTTGACTTTGTTCTTGAGTCTAGACGCGAGAGCTATTGGCGACTCTTCGACGGTGTCTCCATTCCCAGATGTTGTTTGTGATATGTCTTCAGGTGACTTCTCCCTGCCCCTTGGAGTCAGCTTTGACTTGGGTTTTTTGAACATTATTGACAAGGAGTTTGCGAATTGAATGGAAGAGTGACCACACTGCACAGGGCAAGCCAGCAGAATCTTCCCACGCTATCTACTTTCATCATGTCTACAGCGCGTCCGCGTCCAAGGCCACGTCCAGTGGCAAAGCCCAAGGCTGCATCGTCGACAACAGTCGACCCAAATTCAACACCGTCTCCAGTGCAACCATCCTCTTCTACGAGCACAACGCAAAATCCTATTGCAGGGAACAAGTTAGATGACGAAGATGCTATATTCTTGCGTAATCGCGGAAGAACCTCTCAATACTGGAACAAGCTTCGGGCAATGACAAAGGGTGTGTCTGCTCTCATATGTCATCACATCGATCTCACCCTGAAATCCGATGCTCAGACACTCCGTCCGACAAAGCTGACGATGACGACCTCGATTGGGGTGAACAGACTGAACCGGAATCTACCCCGAGGCATCGCAAGAAGAAATCAAATAAACAGCATGAATTACCTCGGTGGCAAACGGTGGACATAGTTACTCTGTGCGTGTGTCTCTCTAGTTCGTTGCTATATCTCGTGCTGTCAGAGTACCTCGGCATAGTACACGAATACCATCATGGTCGGCGGATCGGTTGTATTGATAGCTCCTCCGTAGCCTTTCTTCAGATAACGAAGAAGACGATTTTGAAATTACGGAGCACACACCAAGGATCTCATGTAACGATTCGCCCCCCCGAAAACGAAAAAGAGACCGTAGCCGCTCGAAATCTATTACGCCGCCCCCGCAACTTCCCATACACCAACTCAATAATGCAAGGGCATTGGTCAGGTTGTGTTAAACCACATCGGGCGAAGCTTGTGTCACTCACGAAGATTAATATTTACCAGACAAGCGCTTGCTGTTGCACCACGTCGGGCCCCGTCACCAATTGAAATTCCTGATGACCCAACGGACACTTCTGACTTGAATCCAGAGCTTGCAAAAATTGCCGAGGAAGTTCGTATAAGGGCTGTAACAACCAAGAACACGCCAGAACAAGGAGGCGGCCCTGAGATAGTTATCATCAAGGTTCGATGGCAGCCTCATCCACTGAATATAGCTGGTGCAAAGGATGTTTGGAACTTTAAAATGAAAAGAGTGGGTGCCTTTGGCAATGAGTGGCACCGCTAATGATACTAACTCTTTGTTAGCATGACACATTCCAGTACTTGTTTGAGGAGTTAGCAGACTTGGCCGCTGTCTTGGTAGACCATCTTGTCGTTAGTCATGATGGAAAGCGTTTGTTTGCTTCAGGCACACCTCATAGTCTTCGAATTTGGGCAGAAGGAGAGCTCGGTGCGTTATTCTCGGTGCGCGGGGACGTGAAACTGAACATCTTTAATAGAAGCATGTGATCAAACAACTTGGGATTACGTACGTGCTCAACGCCATCAACAGGCTCCAAAAGCCGCTCAGTCCTCAAAGAATTCACCGTCTCCGGAAAGGGAATCAGACTCAGAGTCGGAAGCCGAGTCCACTGGCGGTGACAAACTCAAACTTGTACTCAGATCCGCGGCTACCGAGGAAAACGTTAATCTTACAGTCCGACCTACAACAACGTGTGGAGCCATCGTGAAAGCGTTTCTCAAGGCAGCCGGTCTATCCGATCAATATCCTATTTCTTCTTCAAAGGACAAGCAGACAGCACAAGCGATGCCTCAGCTAATGGTTGACGGTGACAAGATGGCAGATGACATGGAAATCGGAGAGGCAGATCTAGATGATGGAGACCTGGTCGAAGTTGTTGGATTGTGATTGCACTGATACCGGTTTGAATCTTTTCAGTTAGTCTGGGACATTGCATTATCATCTTACTGTTGTACTCTCACGCTAGTAGGCCTGGGAAGGAGGGTTTTGTCGAACACAAGTTACCATCTGTCAAACTGTCTACGAGAACGCTGTGCTTACTTTCGCATCTACTCGACATCTCGGGTATTCGACCGAGGCCTCAAATAGTTTTGTCCTTCTCGTCGCATAATGCTGTCAAACTGCCCCGTTTGCCTGAATCAACCTCTAACCGCCTCAATTGATCCGGCACTACACGTGATATCCATGAGAGTCTCCTAGTTAGGGTTAGTTAACTTTGCTTTCCTGAGCTTTGGAGAGTGTCCGTGGGATCTTCGTGTTCAATAACTGCGACATTTCAATCTGTTGCAGCAACTCATAACATGTCACATCGTGAATGTAAGTTCGTTCAAACCCTAACCCGTCCTGAGACAGTACGGATCGGTATATATTTAAGGCTCGAGGATTGTGTGTAGTTTCAAATGTCAGAGACATAGCCTGAGGGCGTGCTGATTCACCCCGCTGAGTACTAAAAGAAATTCATAACAAACGATGACGGTAGAGCGGGGTATGCACTTCTCGACTGCGCGTCATGTGATACTGATCAAGTAGAAGTTGGACGTTTGCAAATAATGTATGTGGTATAAGCATATGGCCTAGCTTGACATTGCGTTCATTTTGGTGTGAAAATGGGAGTCGAGGACTTGAAACGTGAGCGACATTGGAAACCAACTACTATCACATAGTAGTAGTCACTAGCGCTCGTAATTCGGAATGCTCGAATATTACTTATTTATAGCTTCTGAAGAGTAACTCAAATGTAGTTACGTGTGCCAGCCATCGTTCGCGTTCTTCACCAGTATTCTGGCGTTATTGACAAACGATCGAATAAGCTCATCAAACGCGTTGCGGTCAATTTCTGACGCATTTGGATCCCCGCGTTTGGAAGCAGTCGAAAGCAGCAATGCTGAGCGAGCGATCTCCACCTCCAACTCATGAAAAACTTGAGGCTTCGTGGAGATATTTTAGTATCGTATCCACGACAATTCAAAGGACATCATACCGGTACCGGTGGATTAGATGTCGTATTGTTACTGGAATGGACTTGGGTCAGGTCGATGTTGAACTCCTCATGAGAGTAGCATATCCTATCTTTCCGTCGTATGTGGGTTGGAGATCCAACGGGATGGGGAACTATCGAGTAATCGTCATCATCGACTACCTGATAGAATGCATACAAGCATACCTGGAACTTCGAGCGACACGCTGACCCTCCAATCCGCCGCCCTCTTGGGACTAAATATGTTGAGGTCCCCAAGCCTTATTTTGCGTGTTATTTCAAGAACGGTATTACTCTTCTCCTCGCGAGTAACGCGTATTTTTTCTCGATCCTCGGATAGATAGAAGGAATCGACCACTTTGACATGGGTATACTCCAGGGGAGAAGTCGGGTGAGACGGTTGAGATGATATTCGTTTCAGATCGTTGAGCATGTTATTGAAGTGCCTGTGCTGGTTCTGCCGTTCCAAATGATCGCGTGAGCTATAGTTGAAGGACTACATGAAACGGAGCTGACAAGAGACATATTGGATTCGAATCGAACGTCAACCTCATTCAAGTTCGGGATCAAGACTACCGATTGTCAGGCAAGGATCACGAACGACTTGGTGAACATACTTGTCTCCACAAGAACTGGCAATACCAGCCGCTGCCCACTTGTGCGGTCCCTCAGGACACCAAGCTTTGCTTCTACCTCGATTTTTGCATCTGGATAAACAGGTCTCGTCACGATCATATGGTGAACGAAATCAGCGATCTCTCGAATGAATTCATCAAGAGGCTCGACACCGAGAATTGATAACGACAATGGAGGCAAACTAGTGTTCATGGTGGAAGGAACAGATGATTGATTGACTTTTGTGGCTTCGAAAGACTGGTCATTATGGCGGGCTCGTTTTAGTGGCGGTGATTCTTTATCATCAGACTGAGAATCATGACTGTCGTCCGACATGAGAGAAGTGAACAATGAAGCTGGCCGCTCAGGCAATTCAAACACATGTTGACCTTTCTACCCTGAGGCCTGGGATGATTGGGATCAACCTGGGATGTAACTAAACCCTATAAATTCCGCGTCTAGGCAGCATCTAGTCCTAGTGACCATTAACGTGTATTCTTTAAATTTATCTCAGACATGCAACGGCATTAATGACCATGGCCCAGCATTGCACTAATTATAAATGGGAAAAACATTCCCAGCAACAGGAGAAGCGTTCGTGACGTTTTGGTGATGGTTTCTTGAGTGGATGAAAGTGTGGCTTCTGAAGGCGACTTCACTACTGTCGCTACATAGAGAAAGGTACCTCCCTGTGGCGCATCAAGTCATCAGTACCAATTGACGGTAAGAGACTAATGGATCTTACGCTAAATAGTAAGGGCGTTCCAACCGACAGGTTATTTCCATCACCGGTGTGGGTGTACAATATATAAGAGAGGATGGCGCTAACTGGCGTAGCGAGACTGAAAAGTAGCAAGTGTCTTTTGCACTCTGAAGGAGAAAGGGATGTTTCCAAGAGGGAGGATGTTAGAGCTAACGCCGTGGGTGCTGTTGTCTGTGGTCAGCAGGATGAATGAGTAATAGAAAGCCATCAGGCGTACCCTTATGTATTATGATAGCCAAGAAAACAACGAAAGATAAAGCACCCGATCGTGTCTCAAGAGACGACACGCCTAATGCGTATCCATCGACTAAAGCATGCACTGTAAGTCCTAATGACAGTGGGTATGCGCGTTGTAAGCTCGAGGAAGGTGCATGTCGCAACATTTGCCAAGTAGACGCGTGTGAACCGGGTAGTGTCATACCCTCCTCACGCTCAAGCTCATCAAGCGTGATATCAAAGTGGACATCTTCTACTTCGTGGCGAATCTCCAGAGGCAGCGGTCGAGCATGTGGGGATATATACTCCTCCACGAGGAACATGAACGCAAACCCCAAAAGTATGCACAACGCGATCTTGTGAGAGTACGATTCTGGTTCAGGGTCGCCGGCGATCGTGCTTGCTACACCTCTGTCAATACTTTAACTTAGGGCAGGAACTGTGCAGGAAAAGATATCAAGACGCACTCGGGAATAATGACGCCAAGTGCAGCACCAATGAGTAATCCAGTACTCAAGGTAGACAATTTCGCCAAGTGACTTTCTGCGAATTATAATGACGCTTAATCCAAGTACAAAGCGTAGTGCATACTAGTCATTGACAACGACAGCGGTACGAGGCCAGCCCCAAAGGACGCAGCTCCCATGACTAGGGACATAGACATCATGCGCAGGAAACCACTGGATGCCATTCCGCTCGTAAGATCAGGATTGGTACGATTGGTGTATGTCTTTGCAAAGCAACCAGGATGAAGTGTGACCTTAACGTACATGTACCGTACACTGTTTTACCAATTCGCGGAGTTTGAATGTTCTCATCCCAACTTTGCTTCCGTGCGATGCGATGTACAAGACACTTAAAGCTCTCAGGACACTTGCGAACGATTTGTCAAACAAGCGTGCAAATTATGGAAGACGGCGATTTTGTTTCAAGAGAGACCCATCTGATATTGCTTCGAATAAGCCGGCCGACCATCACCACTCGCGACGATCGGTTTCAGGTAGACCAGCCAGTGACTGGCAGTGGCCCATCTGGATCCCCTACAGCAAGGTTCGAATACTAGCAAGATGTTGGACTTTGGGATGTTTAATGAGGAACAGTCGACAAAGGATGCATGGCCTGACAAATTTGTGCGTGTTTGCCGACTCGATAAACGGATCTGATTCATCTGAATGGTCTTGATCTAACCATCTTTGCATCCCAGAGTTATTTACGCTAACCTTTAATTCTCTCATTCATCTAGAATGTCTGGTTTAATTTACCGTTCAAATGAAAGCGTGTTCGGAGCGTCTATTCTCTCGATCCCGAATATTGAGATCTATGCTATCGTAACCCTATCGCATATGTGGCGGAGGTTAACGTTCAGTTGCGCAATCTGCGACCATATACGCCATACGGCCGCGATGTATCGAACCAGCCCAGCTTATACCGCGGACGAGTCAAGTAAACCCTTCACTCTGGAAACATTTTGCAGTCTCATAGAACTTATGGTCTTAAATTAGCACTTGGACCCCACTGTCTACATTTTCTAAAAACAAATAATTCGGTTTGTTATTGAGTTATTGACACTTCTTCGATGACTAACCTCAGAGCCGAACCATGCCAGTTAACCAGCAGGACCTCTAATTAATATTAGTATATACATTGACGCTGACGCCTGAGGGTGAAAGTTCCGAGCCAAGGCCCGGGAAGATGGGTGTGCCTCGACGGACAGTTCCAGAGCCCCTTTCTTGACGATGAACCCAATCACCTACTTCGCAAGCAACGTTGGCGCAAACTCCTGCGATAAGAAGTCCCCCCGCACTCAAATGGAACAATAGGATCCAACATAGGGCCTACCAACCCGAAGCTTCGAAGAACATATATTTGAATTTGTTTTTTTACTAACAAACACGCGAACTTCTTGTTTCTCTCGATCCAAGAGGGCAAATTGAGCTGGTTTGCCCGTCGGTGTATAGTCAGAGATTCCGGCAGTACTAGCCCCACTTCAGGGAGTGTTAACCAATGCGTATTGTATGGTGGCGCGAGTACCGCATGATCTATTGGAACGAGGTTCTTCATACATGAATTTGAATAGTCAAGATTGAATTGTCGGTCCGATGTTACAAACTTGCACATTCGATATACAATCTACCCTGGTCGGAAGATTTACAACATAGGGAGTTCATCTTACATTTGTTGCCGCGGGCTGATATGGAAGAGAATCATGCAAGTTCCGCGCTATCAAAGAACGAGAACAATTCAGAGATGTCACTTCGTGCGCTCAAAAGACGTTCCCGTTGGTCCAATACGAGAACGACAATGATACAACTGGCTATTTGACGTGATGATAGAGGTTAACAGTAGAAACTTCAGGCAAGAATTATCCCTCACCAACGACTTAGATAGTGTAGTGCATCAATCAGCTCAGGCTTTTAATGGCTGTCTCCAAGAACGGATCTCCAAATTCTATAAGTAACAGTATACGACAATAGTCAGATTGTCAGATTGAGTATCAGCAAACGTGCAATCATGGCTGACTGACCTTTTCTAAGTTGTTCCGCCATTAAAACATCAACAAGATCTTCCTTATCACGTCTGTTTCCGTGCTCGCTTTTCGACCCCCAGGCATTATTCGCAGTCATTCCAACGTTACTTCCTCCCGCATTTTGATTTTGGCTTTCAGTCATTCTGCGGGAATTTCCCCCCATGCTCATTGCATCCTCTCGTCTCCTCGTCTTTGGATCTCTCCGTGAAGGACCATCGAAGGAAGAGCCGCCAGGCAGGCGGCGCTTAGATCCAGGGCTAGGCATCACCGACGAGATGTTTCCTAATATTTGAGTCGTAGCGGAATGGAGGAACGATGTATGAGAATCGCGGGCGCTCGGGCCACTTGCTGCGAACTGGAAGTCATCAGGTGGAGGTGAATCAGATGAATCAGTTGAGATCGGAGAATCTGGATCAGGAGAATTCATGGTGGACAGCACTGATCACATTCACGATGCAAGTCGCGTTCATTCCTGATTCCTCGCTGCCACATGTCACGTGGTCCACTACCAACCTTCGGAGGTACTAGTTGCTGCTGTCCCAGACCTCACTACTAGTTCTGAGTATTCTTGCTTTTAGGATCATGTCTGCTCTTCCTAAAGCGATGCGTACAATGCGTATCATTGCTTTGCCTCTTTCTCGCCCAAATATTCCACCTGATCATGGCCTGAAGCCACACGCAATTTTTAACCCCAACCGCATGCTTATTTTCTACCACTTTGACCTCTCTCAAGGCAACAGTGTTAAAATCCAAGATCAGTCTGGTATAAAGCGAGCGGTGAAGTGGGCGTCCATAAAAGCTGCCGACCTTTGGGCTGGTTTTGGAAAGGCACCTGAAGGCAGTTGGAAGGCAAGTCATTTTCCCTGAAATATTGCGTCCGGCCGTCATTTTTAAATATCTCGGTCATCTAGTTGCGAACTTATGAGTTTGGCGAACGCATCATCGATCGCATAGACTTCGAGGAGCTAGCCCTGAAAGGCGTTGACCCTTCTTTAGGGCCATCGATTACTCATGCAGATGTAACACGAAAAGCAAATGAGGTAAATTTTTCGGAGAAGCAAAGTCCGACGGAGGCCTTGCGAGTAAGATGAATGACTCTCTATCCGAGCGTGTATTGACCTTGCCTGATAGATACCCCTCATTTATCCACCATCCATTTACGCTTCGCTACCACCCACGGGTGTGAATGAAGTGTCGCATCCCTCAATTGTGCACCTCCGCACGCTTCTAACCAGTCGGGAGCCCCGGCATCGCAAAGGATTTTGGATGTGGATGGCAATTGCACCACTTACGGCCCCCTTCATCATTGTCCGTGAGTCTTCCGGTCGCGACGCGTTACCGAGTAACGTGTTTTCTCACACCTCCGACCTTCTTTTGAATTTATATATGGTTATAGCCGTCATACCCAACCTGCCATTCTTCTTCTGTGTATGGAGATCTTGGTCACATTACAGAGGTCGGTGCAGTCTTTTTTTGAGACGGAATGGCCTTTCTTTTCGTTTCTTCTTGTGGACAGCTCTGACCACCCTATACAGCATATAGAACTTCGCAATACCTGTCGTCCCTTTTAGATCAGGGGTTGATCACGCCAGAGCCAAGCGCAGCACTTGATCAACTCTACACTTCTTACGTCCCATCCTTATCGAACATTGAAAGTTTGCGTTCGCCGACGGCTCCCCCTCTCCGATCCGCGGCTTCATTACCACCAAATTCTCCAAACGTGAATAACGGCCACCCGTCTCATGATCCGACAGCTTCTTCATCACAGCCTGATGTATCTAACGTACACAAGACCTCCCAACGGCTATTACTTACTCGCAAAGCCATTCCGCAGATCTTACAGCTTTTTGGTCTTCCACAATCGTCGGCAGCAGACATGTATCGCGCAGTAGAACAAGTGCGCGGACGTCTCGGAGGAACATCCGGCCGGTGATAGTTGATAATGAGCTACGTATTTGCTTCTGCTTAATATTGGGGTGACAAGTTTGATGGACATTAAATCCCATGGTGAGCAATGCGACGCGTATGATTGGCTGTATTGATAAAGTTGTTTTAGCTCTATCACTCCTTTCACTAGTAGAAGTATTAGATCGTGAGTACGGATTTGCAAGGGGTTCGGCACGGAACGTCTTTGAATAGACGTTCTCGATGGTTTTTCATTCTGATCTGATCATGTTAGAAAAGGCACTCTGTATTTGTAAGCCTGTTTGTTATCCTCGAGGCAGCATGTTTGACACGCTAGGGCTAAATGAGATATTTTCAAAATTAGCACTGATCTTGTATACTTAACTTATCACATCAACTTTAGAACAAGTCCATATCAATAACCTGGACAATTCGGCATTGGCAGGCGTCATTAAACGTCATCACATGCGAGCAGGATGACTCTTCGGCATCGGGGGTTCATCTTAAATGCGGTTCCTGTTATTGGCTACTGTCATAGAGCGTTGGCCCGTGGAGATGCTGACTGCATTCCACTGTTAGCTTCGGTGCAAGCTCCCTCAATAGGGATCGAGCCTGATTCACAAACCACCATGAACTGGTCCAGGCTCGGACGAACCTTGCACCAACCCGGCCCCAAATCACACGCACGGCCTCCCGTTTGTCGGTGCTTGACATCACCTCTCAGATCACATCTACGTCGGCTCACGGCTTAATTGTGATATCGGTATGTGATCTTTCGCTACGGCCTTCAGAGAGTAATACCGACCACAATTCAAAGACACTCCCACTCAAGACCTGTACGGGGCTTGCGCTCAAAAAGCCTCGTGTCTATTGATATCTTTCGGTATCAAGGAACGGCCTGCCGATCACCACCGCCAATGAACTTTGGCCTGTAGCAAGATACGTACAAGTACTGTAGAATCTGAAGGTCATGACGCTCAAGGTGCCACCGCTAATCAGAACAACAGACGCACTAACCAATATTGACATGCTTACCATACCACCGGACTTAATGACAGGGTTCTCCACACTAGTGCATCGTGATCTATGCTGCACTTGTCAAATGAGCCCATTCAGGCTGTCCTATTCAATAGAATCCCGCAGACGGTACCTCGCAGTTACTGCTTAAGGCCTGAGGCTTTGGCAGTTAAGTTATTAGGTTTCACGAATAGGCGTAAGTGCTAGTGATGGAGTCTCGGTTACCTCGTCATCTGATCGATGCATAGGTCTAACTGCAAATCAAACGGCGACGTCATCAATGTGTCTAAGTAATATGTGCGGTATACGGGCCTAAACAAATATCAATTGGCAAATTGCAGATCGGCGACCCTATAGGGACCCCCACACTGACGATGAGTTGTTCGTTAGTAGCTTGTGGCGTTTCCCAGCCATTGCCCCTAGCTTGATGTCTCTTGCTCCGTTGGAGTGCTTTCACCTGTTCTCTCCTTGGCGCACTCTGCCAGTGAATTCGAACAATGTTAATGATGCCATCACTGTCAAGTCGTTGAGTGATGCACAAGTTAACACAACTGTACTCTTAGTATAGTATTCAAAAGGAGAGTGCATTACTTTGAAGGTACTATATAAGACAGATGTGCTGCGTACTAGAATAAGTACAAGACAACCGACACTGGGGACTCGGAGCATCACAGGACACGTCACTAGCCATGGCGAGCTAAGAGAGACAAGGTTTGTACTACGTCGTGGTGTGGAACAAAGTGAAGGATTCCAAAGGCAGGACTAAGTCTGCGTCACGTACTGCACCCGAAACCACGCATTTCCCTCGTTCCTCCGTATGCTATGAACTCGGAGCATCACAGGACACGTCACTAGGGCATCATAGGACACCAATGTTCCACTGGTTGCCCCAAAGTGCACAACAGTCTTGACCTTGCCTTGGCACTCTGGCTAGCGTTCTGACATTAATAGTTCTACTTACAAACAACCATCAATAGCCCCTATATAATTCATGATGAAACGATTAATTATCTTATGTAAATTCGGTTCTTCTTTCAAGTTCGCTTTCGCTCTGAAGGTTTAATCAGTCATCATTGAATATTTTGAAGACTCGTACTGATTAGATGTGAATTTTGATTCTGAGAAAGACTGTGTCACAGCCTTGACCAGACTCGGGAGTCGGAAACAGTACCGGACGTTCTCACCGTGACCTTACATTGCAACACTTGCCTATCATGTTCTCCATCTTTGGTGTGTTCAAGCGCGTTTATGCGGTAAGTCGGTTTCCAGTACAGATCATACTAGGACTAGGCCGTACTATCTCACTATTTTTATCGCAGGCTTTCATTAGTCCACCTCACCCACCCAACGTGGCAGATAACGATGCTTCTCCTCCCCTGAAAATTGGTATTCTAGGGGCAGCCGCAATTGCTCCTCCTGCTCTTGTTCTGCCTGCGAAAAGCCATCCGGAGGTAGAACTTTATGCTGTCGCAGCGCGGGACATCAGTCGCGCCGAGAATTTCGCGAAGAAGCATGGTTTCAAGAAGTGGTATGGAGGGAAAGATGGATACCAAGGTAAGCTAGACAGTATGTTGATAGAGTGGCGCCCTTTTTGTTTACTGCTGCATGACAGACCTTCTCGATGACCCCGCGGTAGACATGGTCTATAACCCCGTGCGTGCCAATTGAATACCGTTGCGTGCGAAGTTTCTGTGACTAAGGGCCCGCTAGCTGCCTAATGGTTTACATTACGAATGGACAATGAAGGCTCTTGCTGCCGGAAAGCATGTGCTCTTGGAGAAGCCCAGTGGTAATACCGCCGAAGAAACGAGGCGCATGTTTTCTCTCGCGGACCAGAAGGGGCTCGTTCTTCTTGAGGCATTCCACTATAGGTAAGTGTCTTTCTGATCGTAACAAAGCACCGTCTTGACGTATATCAGGTTTCACCCTGCTATTCAACGTGTCAGGGCCATCATTGACAATGGCGAACTGGGCGCTATCAAGGAAGTAAATGCAACTCTTACGCTCCCGAAGGGTGTGGTTGGCAACGATGATGATATTCGGATGAAATACGATCTTGGTGGTGGTGCGATGATGGATTGCGGATGTCAGCTTCCCTTTCTCCTGCGATGAGCCCTTCTAACATGATCTTACAAGGTTATCCATTAAGCTGTGTTCGTTATCTTGCATCAAGCAACCCTACTGCGGTGATATCCGCAACCGCGGTACGGTACCCAAGAGATCCACGTATTGATACAGGCACCACTGCCAATCTCACTTTTGCTTCCTCGAAGCCTAGCGAGGAGCCAGTGAGGTCCACTATCAAATGCGACTTTGCCGTCCCTCCCCGATGGGGCTTTATCCCTCACTGGCCGGAAATTTCCGTCCACGCAGTTTGTGAACGTGGCTCTATCGATGTGTTCAACTTCGTGATGCCTGTGATTTACCATTCTATCACTGTGAGACCTGACGGTGACGTTCCGAGGACCGAGAGGGTATACACGTTCGAGGGTGGTAAAGGAGAGGAGTGGTGGTCCACCTACAGGTACCAGCTGGAAGCTTTTGTAGACAAGGTTAAGGGCCGAACACCACAAACCTGGGTGAGCCCGAGGACTCCATTGCAAATATGGAATGGATAGAGAAAATTTATGAAGAGGTGAGTGAGTGTCACATCTCGGCGATAATCTGTCTAATTGGACATGCAGAGTGGACTTGGGTCTCGACCCCAATCTACATATGTCCTCCCAACAGCTTGATGTTAGATTGGTTATTGTCATGCGTGTTTCAAAGGTTTGAGAAATATCATCATCAACCGCACAAGTATTTTGTTACCTTATACTACACGGACCATGATCTGTTACTTATTAGTTGCAATGTGTGATGACATAACAACTCAGTCAATCCCAGCATACATTTGCGACATTCAAACTGAGATCACAGGAGAAACCTGAATTCAACGGTCTACAAATACTGTACACAACTTATCTACATATCGACCACGAGGACAGTGATGGATTTTAGAATGATCGTATCGGAGACGATTGTCCCCAATGCAGTTGGTAGGTCAATGTTGGATCTTTGCTGTTTCGGGAGGCATAAAGTTGGCTCGTGTGTGATCAATCTCCGGCCAAGCGCCAAGCGCTGTCGATCTAACCATACAGTAAACAGCTAATGATAGCAATCACGAAGGCGTGATGCTGGGAGGATTCGGATGGGACGAACAGCAAGTGGTTTGAGTTGTAAGAGTGACAGCAGGTGAAACAAGTACCCCGAAGACCATTGTACCGGACAAAGCATCAATGTACTTATCTCCGCTGAATCTCCACTGCACTGGTGTACTCTTGAGACCATGTGCTTTTCAATGATGATAATCAAGCTTCCGGTATAATCGTGTGTCAACTGTGGTGATCACACGGGTCTAAATAGAGCCCCACGCGCACTCGGGCAAAACCAATAATAAGGAGTGTTGTGCATGCATTCCAGAAGATATGGTAACGGGGTCAGCGTTCAAACAACACTGCAACCAGTACCAACGGCTGCCGATAATTATGGACGGATCCTGCCAGGGGGGAGAACAGCTGTCAAGACGGATGTACGTACGTACTACGCACCATACCTCCAATGGACAGCAATACTAATCCCACTTGCTGCCGCATAATTGTGATTGATGTTTTTAGCCAAATGTATTGCGCACCAGCGTCCGGCGCAAAATTTCTTCACGCGCCGAAACTAATCAACTGTGAATAAAACGACGCTCCCACTGCTGTAAGAGGGCACAGTCACCATTTCGATTACAAAGGTTTCAAGCTCACCTCCACAATCAAATCAGAGTTGGCACACTAGCAATCGACTCTCGAGTTGCATTACCTTGCTGGAGCTCCCATCATCGAAACTACGTCAGTGCAGAACACTCGGAGCCATAAGGTCGTGCGGATATGCAAAGTCTGGTCAGAGGGTCCTCAGTGCTGTTCATTGGTGTTCAAGATATGATTACCCAACGCTGCCGACGACTTGAATATCAGATTTCTGGCCGGTCTAGGTACAAGTCTATGCGACCTAAGCAAAGATATTAATCCCGACTGGCGGTTGTGCACTGCCGTGACTGTGAGTTTGATCTCTGGCGTTTTCGAACTCTGTCATACTCAGCTATTGCTTGAAGTCTGCACAAACTTGTACACACTGCACAGACCGGCCATCGAATTGTTTGTTTAGGGTATGCTGTATTAGACTGCTGGGACAGATGGGTCGGACGTTCCACTGGTCAAAATATTCTGGAACGCTTGGTTCTAACTTCTTGGCTTCACGTGAGCGCTAAAAAGTAGACTTGAATGCTTACTAAGCAGAGTCATGCTCGAAAGTTTCCGAGTCTGTGTAACAACTTGAACTATAACTGCCGTCGTTGGTGATCATCGGTCGTGACGGTACCTATGACAAGAGACTCTAATAATTGATGACAGTGAGTAGTACTACTTACCTGCCCTGAAAAGTTCTGAATGTGGAACAAGGATCTTGATCGCTTGTATATGTATTTACCTTGTGTAGCACGCTCGTGAATCAATCGTGCACTATCATTGTTCATATGCATTTCGATCAGCATCCATCGTTTCTGTGATAGGTTTGGCTAGATCTATGGCATTGCCCCTCCAAAGCTTTATGCTTCCTTATTCCTTCGGCGATGAGCCTAATCATGATTAGCGCTTCAAGAATTTAGTCAACGTGTTGTCCATGCTTTGGTCAAGGGTATTCGGCTCATGCTAGAGGTCTCTCCTTTCTCCCACCTACTTCTTGCACCCTCACTTCGCTCGCAGTAATCAACTATTCGTGATGTGTGACTCGGGAGACCATAGACCAGATCCTCCTCCAGAAACCTGCGAAGCAACTGTTCATGAAAGCTCGGTATGTAGTCTCAAAGGCTTACGCACTGTGGATTAGCGCTCATGAAATTCATCGCTACTTCTGACACTTTCTTCGTCCAGAGCCAACCCCGTAGTCAAGTCAAGCAGGCTGTGCGGAAATTTGCGAAAGGCGTCACCAAGAAACTTTCTGTAAGTAGACTACTGGGTTTCCTGATTCTGAATATGACTGACATCGTGCAGAAACGTTTCAAGTGTTCCCGTAACCGTACCCCTGCGATTCAGAATGTCGAACTTCAGGCTGCTTCGTCGAATCAGAATGTCAGGGTAGGTGTTCGAAATCATAATCCAGTTCAAGTTTTTTTATCAGAGGCGGCCTAGGACACGTCACATCCACATCCCACCACAGCTGAAAGTCCTAGTGGCTGCGTCAACCAAGGCACATCCGGAGAACCTGCTTCGAAGGTACTCGAATCACATTCTATGGTTTTTGTCTCTAAATTTTGTTGGTCGCGCAGGTTCTCGACATCCCCTCTGGCGTAGAGGAAGGCATTGGTTCCAAATCAGTTGATGCCGAACTTCAGGGTGCCCACGAGGCTTCAGAACACATGAAAACACTCAGAGGACCTGCGCAGTCTGTGACCTCCGCCGCCAACAATGCCCCAGCAGGTCTCACTGCTGCAGATGATTTCCAGACCAATTACCTCCAACCCCTGAAAATTTTTGACACTGTCATTGAGAAGATCGCAAATGTATGGACTGCCCTCCTTAGTTGGTAGCGAACTAATCAGGCTATAGGTACATCCATACGCAAAGATGGCGTTGGGCATACTTTCTGCTGCAGCTAAAGTACGTTTTATGTTTCCCGGAGATCTGTCTCCTGCTCAGAAGTTATGGTTCCTTGCAGATTGTTCTTGCTCAAGCGGAACGCGATGAATCGGTGCATCGCCTTCTCCAGAAATTAGATGAAGTTTATGGCTTCATTACCCAAGATGACAATCTTTCCAAGGTTGAATCGATGCATGATGTCATCGGAAAGATCGCTCAGCAGACTCTCGAGTGTGCCCGTTTCATCAGGGATTACTTGGAGACGAAGAGCTTCTGTGAGTCGTCGGACTATTGCATTCGCACATGAATCTTATGCTTACTATAATAATAGGGAAAAGAGTTGGTAAAAACATCGTTGCGGAAACGGATGATATCATCGCACGGTACAACAACGCCTTGGATAAACTTATGCAACAATTTCGGGATCAAGCTCATCGCGACGTCGCTATATTTGTCCAGTTTGCGGGTGAGGAATCTACTCATACCCTTAAAGGTGAAACACTCGATCTCAGCGGCATGACTTATGCTGCGGGCGCGGGACTAGATACTGCGAAACAATGTCTGTCAGGAACTCGCATGGAGATTCTGTCCCAAATCACCGAGTGGATCAACAGCAGCGGAGATTCTGTTCCGCGCGTAATGTGGCTATCCGGCCCTGCAGGCAAGGGCAAATCAGCCATCGCGCACACGATTGCCAACTGGTTCGAAGAAACGGGAGGCCTTGGTTCATGTTTTTGTTTCGATCGGCATAGAGAAGCAGACTGTTGTCATGAAAAGATTTTCTCCACCATCGCGCGCGATCTTGCTGATCGTGATCCGGGAATGAAACGAGCGTTAGCGGACGTAGTCAAGAATGCAAACTCACTCAAGAATACGACGGACATTATCCAGCAGTGGCGCAAGCTTCTCATGGAACCGCTAAAGAAGTTCTCTGCGTCAAGTGTGGGGCCCGTCTTGATTGTGATCGAAGCACTAGATGAGAGTGGTGGAGTGGAGACACGGCGCAACCTCCTCCGCATACTTGCCGGTAGACTTCAGGAGAAAGGACTTCCCGAAATCACCGAACTCCCTTCCAACTTTCGTATTCTCGTCACCTCTCGCCCACTTTATAACATCGAAAAGGAGTTTGAAGGTGCTTGTCATATTCTACCCTTGTCCATGGACAAGATTCCAGCAGAAGTAGCTGGGTCCGACATCCATGCTTTTGTATCTGACAAGCTAAAAGGTCTGCCTTGTTTTGGGCGCCAAGAGTTTGCAGACCTCGCTGCGAAAGCTGATGGACTTTTTGAGTGGGCACGTCTTGCATGCGAATATATTACGGAAGACCTTCCTGGCTTATCCCCAACGGACTGTTTCAATGCTGTCGTGAATCGCAATCCTGGCGAGCGGAAAAACTTGTTGTATGATATGTATCGACTCATCTTAACAGAAATCATGCCAAAGGATAAGTACACAACGGCCCATTACGAGCAAGCAGTAGCGAGGTTTCGTTCCGTGATGGGCCAAATACTTGCCACAGCCGAACCCGTCCCTTTAGCTTTACTGAATGCTATGCGGCAGCATTTCCCGGAGGACCACGACCGTTACGAAGTAGATGTAGTGGTAAAGCGCATGGGATCCCTCCTCAGCGGCACTACCGACTCACATACCCCCATCCGGCCCCTTCATGCGACCTTTCAAGAATTCCTCACGGACAAATCATCCAGCGAAGACTTCTTCGTCGAGAAACCGAAAGTGCAACACGACCTTGCATTCGCGTCACTACGAGTGATGATGGCCCGGAAAGATGGCCTTCGCTTCAACATCTGTGATTTGAGGTCGTCGTATCTCCCTAATTCCCAAGACACAGAGCTACCTCAACGAGTCAAAACATCCATTCCCCCACATCTCTCCTATTCCTGTCGATATTGGGCCACGCATGTTCAAACAGCAGCCTTTGATGATGAGCTCGCAAAGGAAATAAAATCACTCTTCGACGAGCGACTGATGTTCTGGATTGAAGCACTCGGACTTCTCAAGGCACTCAGCGGTGCCGTTACTGTGCTTCCACTCGTTGCCGAGTGGCTGAGGGTGAGCACATACCTACGAGGCAGCGTCGGACGAACAGCTCATGAATAAATACAGGGCCATTCTGGATACGAAGAACTGCGATCCAGCACGATGGATGTACAAAGATTCATTCAAGTGTTTGGCGGCATGATTTTGCATAGCACGCCACATCTGTATGTATCAGCGCTCCCATTCTCGCCCGTCAACTCCATCATGGCTACCAAATTTACGAGAAGATTTCTGAATAACCTTCGTCTGGTATCTGGCCGTGATTTGAACTGGACAGTTGTTCAGGCCTTAATCAATGGGCACACTCGAGAAGTTTGATCAGTCTCGTTCTCGCCGGATGGTACTCGCATCGCGTCTGGTTCGGAAGATAACACTGTGCGGTTGTGGGATGCAGCGACGGGACAGCCATTGGGTGAGCCCTTGGAGGGGCACACTCGAGGAGTTTGGTCAGTTTCGTTCTCGCCGGATGGTACTCGCATTGCGTCTGGTTCGGGAGATAACACTGTGCGGCTGTGGGATGCAGCGACGGGACAGCCATTGGGTGAGCCCTTGGAGGGGCACACTTGAGGAGTTGCGTCAGTCTCGTTCTCGCCGGATGGTACTCGCATCGCGTCTGGTTTGGAAGATAACACTGTGCGGCTGTGGGATGCAGCGACGGGACAGCCATTGGGTGAGCCCTTGGAGGGGCACACTCGAGAAGTTTGGTCAGTCTCGTTCTCGCCGGATGGTACTCGCATCGCGTCTGGTTCGGAAGATAACACTGTGCGGCTGTGGGATGCAGCGACGGGACAGCCATTGGGTGAGCCCTTGGATGGGCACACTCGAGGAGTTTGGTCAGTCTCGTTCTCGCCGGATGGTACTCGCATCGCGTCTGGTTCGTACGATAGCACTGTGCGGCTGTGGGATGCAGCGACGGGACAGCCATTGGGTGAGCCCTTGGAGGGGCACACTCGAGAAGTTTGGTCAGTCTCGTTCTCGCCGGATGGTACTCGCATCGCGTCTGGTTCGTACGATAGCACTGTGCGGCTGTGGAGTGTACTAAAAGTGCAGCCATCTCCCGGGTCAAGAGAGCCAGATTCCTCTGCATCTCCGCTGCGTCAAAGCATCGCACCTTCCGCCCAAGAAAGCCGTATCATGCCAACCAACACTTGTAACAATCGCCTTGTTTCCTTCTCGTCCAGCCAGGAACATGCTCTGCCCAACTCCGCTGACTTGCTTGAACCTACCTCTCATCATGATTCTAATTCAACCCCTTTCTTGCTGCGGGCTGATGGATGGGTGATGGGACCCAAGCATCGGCTCCTTTTCTGGGTACCTCCCGCTTCCCGACATGCATTTTATACTCCTTGGACTTCATTGGTGATACCCAGAGGACATCCTGAGCTTGATTTGAGCCGCATGGTACATGGGATGCACTGGTCGAGTTGCCGAGATGCGTGAGTTCTTAGTCCTTACCATCCGTCTTCTCAGTCGCTAACATCAATTCTACTAGCTCCACGTGACGATAATTCTATTGTTATGATACTGAGTGTACCATTTGATTTTTTGTCAATTTTATACCTAGCACCGAGCCTAAGTCCAACTGAACGATGTGCTGGAAAGCAGATTGACCGAAATTCCAGATGACGTTCTTAATTCGCACCGAAAGCTAATTTTATCAGGCATGTTTGCGCCCTTCAGAAATTCATGCAGGTGTCGAGAGGCGATGTTCCTGTTCTGAGATGTCATCACATGGCAGCCGCAATCTTTCAATCGTAGTGTCTGTGATCAAGTGGCTGTGACCTCGCAGGTACAGAGACACAAGGACGCGCTGATCGACGTCTGAAATTTGACGGGACCATTTGCAGTGAAGGGACTTGGGCGTACTGCACGCTGGCATCATGGCATACAGAAGACGCCTCTCCCATGGCTTCTTTACACAGTCTTTCAGGCTGGCAAGACGACTCGCGTTAGTGGGTTCCCGTTGGCTTGAACTTCGTTCTGATTATTCCTACGGGCCAGCTTTCACAGGCGAGTCTGCAAGGAGGTTAGAAACCAATCAACTCCCTGGAACATGTGATAGAGTTTCCGTCGTTCACGCTGGTACCTGTGCCTACATCTTTGACGAAGTCGAGACTGCACGGTTCATGTCAGAGAGTTCAGCTCGGAGGTCACAAGTTAACAAGATCCATGTTCATTTATGTATGTCTATGGACGGACGTGTAAAACTTTTCCGATCTCCTATGGAGAGCATACAAAATTTACCATTATCATTCTTGGTATGAGAAGACGGCAGGTACTTCTCATTGGTCACGGCGCTACTTGCTACTGGAGGTCCGAGGATAGGACTCGATATTCGATATCACCTTCTCGGACTATTCAAGAACGCAAGGGGAATTGTACCAGAAGCTGCTATCGGGTATCATAGTAGGATTGAGGACAGCGTGTTGTCGAGTCATCACTGATTTGATCCAAACACTAGATCTTTAGAGAAGAATCGATGAATGTCGTGAAATCTACGGAGAGGGAGAAGAGGATCAACAGTAGGAATAAGAGCACACAGGAAGCTGAACAATACGTCCAACGAGGCTCCTTGTCATTGTTGGACGATATATAATTGTTGGCCACGGCGAAGGGTATTGAAACGAAGGCCTAGGCGCCGGTAACATTCATTGTCATCTTTTTTCAAGCAGGTAAAGCAGATAACACCAATATTATCTGGTGCGTGTCGTATGCAGGTCCAGGCTCGGCAGTGAGTGAGTTGGTCAAAAATATGAGAGATAATTTGATATGAGCCTGGCTGCCTCACATAGTCAAATTCAAAAACGTCCAATGTGTAATTATGTAATACAGACCCATTAGATAAGAGACAGTTAACGGTTCTGTTCAAGAAATTTTGATCGCTCGCGGAATTGTGCTACCGTACTACGGTACACTGGTGGATGTGAAATGTGCAACCAAGAAAGACCGAGAAACGAACGAGAGGTGCCTGGTTAAGATTTAAGATATAGTTGCCGAAAATTGTGTGAGCACTGCCACCGGGCGCTGTTTCCTTCAGACGATCAAGATGGGGCGGAACGCAAAGCTGCACAAACGCATCGTGAGTAGTCGACAATCAATTTTTATTCTCGTCTTCTAGAAATAATAAAGTCTTCTTAGAAAAAGAAGACAACTGCATCATCTGCGTCACACCCTTCACCCGGATCTCTCAGCGCTGCTAATACACCGAATGCACCTGTAGTATCATCGCACGTACAAGCCGCAAGGAAACGCGCAGATCTCAAGTCAAAGTCAAAGTCAAAGTCAAAACCGCCATCAAGCAAGCTCACGGGAGAACGTGTTCTCGGGGATGCGGACTATGTGACATTACTTATGGGCGGACGCAAGAAAGCTGCAAAGGAGGCTTTAAAGTTACCAAAAGACTGATCAGCAGTGTGTTTGCAACTATTCCATCCCGGAGTGCACAGTTCTCAACCATTTTATAGAGACCTACCTATCCGAGGCTTTTAAATCTACTATTGATTAAGCCTGGTGGAAATACCCAGTCATACGTGTTGGGATCTCCGAACTGTATCGTTTGCATAGCAGCTCTCTGTGCCTTCATGGGGTACATCGGGAGATGAGCAGGTCCCATTGGGTCACTGTAACGTTTATGGCCCATCGCGGGCGTCTCACCCAAGTGGATCTAGATGTCGTGGTGATAACCACCATTTCGTCCATTTGTATATATGAACTTCGATGCACCACACGCTCTGCTACTCTTCTTGCGGCCTTCTTGCTGAGTGTATTGTCCAACATCTTGATGGTCGCTGGCGAGTTTTTGTATTGTCAAACCGTCTACTACACATCTTTTCGTGTTGGCATGCCTCCTGGAGGTAATCCGGACATCCAGTGTGTAACATACTGCCTTCGCTTTCTCGCTTCTAGACCGGGAGATCAGCTGTTTTTCTTTTTTTTGCGCTGATACTTCATTTAGTCTCCATAGCAGTACATGCTCCACAAATTAATTCCTCCTACCACCACTTGTCGTCACGGCAATCTTCTCCCAGAACAAACCACATAGATCCGAAATCATTCATTCATCCTGCCCTCGCACTGCGAGCATGTCTGGTTGATTCGGAGCAACGCCGGCTTCTGTTGATTGACCGCCACCATCCTAATCACCGTCGAGGACAACAACCACAGGTACTATGGCTGATCTATGGAAGGCGCATGCTCTAGTGCTATGCCATCCACTGTGGTCTGACAGGTATCTGTGTAGCTGCTTTCTCCTAGACAGAGAAACGAGGAATAGAGAAGAGGATGAGGAGAGGAGCGTGTTCGTGAGAGACCACCTGATGAAGATGTCGAGATAAGTTTCAGACTTGTAGAAACCCGAGATAACCACCAGTTGTACACACGAGAAGCGTCGATCTTGGCGGAGAGTAACGGCCTAAATGTATGGTGATGACCGCAACGCTGAATATTTGGGGCATTGAGCGCCGGAAGAAATGAGCAGAAATAAGCGTCTGCCCTCGAGATGCATCATGCATCTAAAGACATACAAACTTACGGGGTGGCGCTTAACAGATCATTGATAGTGAAGTCGCGTAGAACACAGACAGTTTGTTTCATGATTGTGATGCCGTTATCTGATCCGGTTGAGATGCTTGAGGTCGTTGTAGCAGAAACTCCCGTCTGATCTAAAGTAAAAGAACACAAGAACACGAGCGGTCGAACTGTCCTTCGCTCACAATAGTTAGCATTGCAAAGTCCGATACACTACAAGAGTCCCATGATGAGGAAACAAGTATCAGAGTAAGTGAAAACATGAAAGAAACTCTACGAGTCATGTGAGGGAGATGCACAGTAAAGAACAAGCACAAGACGAGCTCACAATGCGACGGGTGGTGACTGCTCGGATGCTCCACCACGAGGTGTGGTGGCCGTCGAGGTGGCGCTAGGCTGAGATTGCAACGACGAGGCTTGTCTGTAAGCCTGCTTTGCCATTGTTGCTGCGTTCGCTGGCCGTAGTGTAACAAACATTAACTGGAACAAAATCATTAAACCACGACGACAGTGAAGGAGCACACACCTCTCTGTAGTGTACTGTGGCAAGCCCGACAGGGCGAGGATTGCGAGTAAAGATGGTCCGTCTTCGGGATTTCGGTTGCTCTATCCATCGGTATTGGAGTGGGAGCGGCGGAAGGTATTGTGGATATCTATGAATGAGCGAACTCAAGCTTTGGACCAGTCTATACTCCTCCCGTAGAGTGTACTCAGACCAGTTCTGATATATCATCATATATAACGGGAGATCAGTATAGCATGCTGAAACTGACTGGGCAGCATGCGTGAATTGCAGGAAATGCGGTTGGGGTGTGCACGTGCAATTGGGGGAGGAAACAATTCAGTCCGAGGCGGAATACTGTGAATACTTACCATGGGGTACCCAAGGATTAGATGCGGACAGGATGACTAGTGCACGAGATGTGCAGCACCAGGATTTGCAGCCAGGACATGTATCTAGCAACTGCTTGAGATTGAAATCGAGGCTTCACGGTATAGCATTGAAAGCAACCTGAAATTGAGGAAGTCGTAAAAATCAAATACATACATTCTCGGCGTGAACAAAGAGATAATACAAATTAGAAATGAACCAGAAGATGCAATAACTGTCCATATACTGCAGTGTCGATGCACGGCAGAAAAAAGAACGAACGAGTCCGTGATGGAAGGGGTCATAGCTACACGCCTGCTACGTCTGGCGCGGCAGTCTGAGTACTATCAAGAGCAACAAGTATCACGGACTCCGAGGGGGCAGTAGGCTGAGTCTGTGATGGCGACGCCTGGGGTTGGACTTGGTCTTGCTGCTGCTGCGTTGATTGTGCATTTTCATTAGCGTGCTGAGGTGATGCGCAACAAAAAAGAAGAAGCGCGAGACGAGCCAATAATCGAACGGGTAATGAATGCTTATATTTTGGTGGTGTAGTAGGATTAGTGCTTGGAGCAGGCTGTGACGTGGACGACCTCAGGGCTTGTGGTTGGGTTTCCTGCTGCTTTTTTTCTGGCGGCGGCGGTGGAGCAGTAAATATAACCTGGACAGAAATTCTTAAACCGCGATGATAGGAAATGCATGCGAAGAAATACATACCTCTCTGTCCTTTACTGCAGCCACTTCGACGATACGAGGACCACGAGACAATATGGACCGCCTTGGGCGTTGCTGGAGTTCAGTTGATCTATTGGTGTTGGAGTGAGAGCGGCGGAAAGGCGACGAAAGGTGACCGAAGAGCACACTCGCACTCCCAAAAGAGGGTGCGACAGGGCGAGGACGGCGGGAAGAGGAATGGTGATAGTTACGGTACGTTCCAGAGGACTGAGATCAAGAGGTCAGAACATGAACCAATGAAAGACGCTGATGACACACATTAGTAGCGCCATGTGTCACATCATTGTAAAAGTCTGGTGAAAGTTCATCGTCCATGGCCTGTGTGGCACGTACATCCATTAATGGCTCTTGAGCTGCCACCTGTAAGGGGGATATAAGCAAAATTCTCACTGAATAACCATGAGCTTTACATCAGATAAAGGTGGGAGGAGGTCTTCAAGGCTAGCTTCTTTGAGGATGACTTGAATGTCCCATGTATACGCGTTTGTGTTTTCGCAACCAGTGACTAGCAGCGTGCCATCAGTTGAAAGGGTTACACAATCTACTTCATCTTCGTGCTGGAGGGGTAGACCGATTGGGAGGTTGGTGTCGAGATTCCACAGACGTGCTGTCTTATCATCGGATGCACTTGCAAAGAAACGATCATTGACGGACAAGGAAATGGAGTAGACCCAGTATTGGTGACCGTCAAGGACTGCGGTCACCTGCCAGGTGGCTGTGTCGAATATCCTAATCGAGCCATATGAGCCGGAGATAAGTCTTTTCCCGTCCAATGTCCATGCCAAGCTCAAAACTTGATAATCGTGTTTGAGCGTGTTAAGCAGGTCGCCTGTCTTGGCATCCCAGATTTTGACTGCATCCTCGTCGAGTCCGCCCGTTGCAATCTTCGTTGCATGGGGCGAGTATATCACCGCATTCACCCACTGGTGCCCAGTTTTGATTATCAGGATAGTTTCGCCGCTCTCGACATCCCAGACTCTTGCTGTCCCGTCCCAGGACCCGCTCAGCACTCGTTTACCATCTCCACTCCAGCACAATGCATACACAAGATCGGTGTGTCCTGACCATTTGGCAATAACCTTCCTCGTCTCGACGTTCCATAACCTTACTTTCTTGTCATAGCATCCACTGGCAATTGTCTTGCCATCTGGAGACAATGCCATGGACCGCACTTTCGCCTTATCCTCCTCATCTCGCCAGTCCTCTCCTATCTGTGTGCCGTTCTCTAGGTCCCATAGTCGGAGTGAGCGGTCCCCGGAACATGTGATGACCTGTCGTTTCGCATGCAGATGTACAACACCGTTCACCCAATCGGTATGACCTTGCAACGTCTGACGTGGCGTGATCGCGGGCACCTCACTGGTGGAGGAAGACATGGTTGGTTGGCGCTCGGTATGTTGATTGGGGACTATATATGCGAGAGAGGCAGTGTATTGGAATCAGGTCAGGTTATCTGGCAATAGCAGTAATTGCTGGTGAGTTTAGAAACCTGTCTTTTTCACCTTAATTCAGAGCACATAAGCCATTGCTAATAAAACAGCCCACTTACTACGGAATCCACTTACCCAGAACTCTAATTTCGGGACTGTCTATGGAGGAGGTGCTGCGTCGTTATTTGTGAAACTAGAATATGCAAGAGATCTCTGTGAATCTAGAGTATCACTCACGAGAAGCACGGTCTAGACGAACCTAGCGCTCAATCACCAGCGATCAGAGGGCGTCTGGTTGGGAGTTGAGGAAGTTGGGCACCTGTTCATTTAAGCATATTTTAAGGTGTATCGATACCATGTGTCATCCTCGTGTTCGCTTCACAGCTTATTGCTGTGTAGATCAAGCGCTCGTCTGCAACCGGTGCTAGGTCCATTTTCCTATACGTAAGGGCTACATCGATGGTTGTGGCACACGTTCGACAATTGGTGCTGCACTCTCACTCTGCACGTCTCGTCCGGTCTGTTTTTTTCAACTCAATGCAATCAACTCTTCCAGCACGTTTTTAGTATATGGATTAGCACCTATATCCAGGTGAACTCATTTGTTTTCTAAAGAGGTCCCTGTGCACATTGATCAGTTGACAGGACGTATCATGGGTGTTACCACCATCCTCCCCTTTCAAATACAAATTTCCATCAGAAGTCTACATTTTACTCAAATTCTCGAATGTCGTATCGCACGACCTGAGTATCGATACAGTGTTTGAGGGATGTCAACACGATCCATCGAATTCACCATCGTGTCATCTAGAACTTATCTTGCGGAAATGGTTTTCTTTAGACAGGAGCCTCAAGTTCAGATATTTCGTTCGCGAAGGCCATTTCATAGGTACGTATCAATTCTCCAATCCTTGCCCAGACAAGATGTTGACATGCCATGCAGGAATTCCTGCGACTTCATGAACGAGCCTCAAACACAAAACAAAATCGTAGACGCTTCAGCGTTTTTGGAAGGACAACATCAAGTCAGAATGACTATATATCATATTGTCTTTGTTGTAATTCCTGTATTCATCTCACATATGAAGACATTCTGATTTCATCACCAAAACTGCCCAAATGTCACAAGAGGTAACACTAGGTACATCAGGAAAATCATAAAAATTCTTAGCCAACTTATCTTACTTATGTTTACTTGAAACAATACTAAGTGCACCAAGTCATGTAAGAAGATCATTTCTACTTAATTTCTACTTAGAGAATTCTTCACAAAGGAAATACAAGAAAGAAATCTGCGAATCAAGTGTTATTCAGAATTTTAAGTAGGCAGGTGATAATAAGTGAAATTTGAGATCTACTAAGTAGTAGACTCACTCAGAGTATCATTACTAAGCGGAAAACATAAGTTGATTTCAGCTAAACAATAATAAGTACTACGATAAGTCAAAATGCGATCTTATATGCATGATGATCAATGAAATTGTTGACATAATAAGTGCAAAAAGCGTCGAGTGTCTGCGAGTAAGTGAGATTGGTTGGCACAAAGTCGCCCCCAAATACTGGTATAAGGTGGGCCACACGAAATATACTATCAAGGTGGATGACAGACACACAGCGTGCTCCATCTTCAAGAAGCTCCGGCTCTACAACCCACATTCCCGTAATTTCATCTGGGGAGTCAGCCACACATTTGAACCACTGTACAAGTGCACAAGGGTACGTGATACCATCATGCTTCAAAGAAAAAAATAGTCTCACTCGAGCAATGTCAAGGCCATGCATGCCATCGGCAGACGAATCAGTGCTAACAAAGACACAATCATAGCGCCCAGGGCCATTTCTCCACGTATCTACAGCGCGAATACGCTCGTAGCGCATACCGCCAATCCCCGATAAATCACTAGGAGCAAAGAAGGTGGCCACGGCTGAAGTGTACAGTGTGATCTTTTCGTAGATCTCAGGAAGTGCAGACCGGGAGGAGTCAGAGCTAGATGAGTCAGAGTCAGCACGGCATTGGTCACGCAGAAAATGCTGAATCAAAGTTGTGAAGTTGGGTTGACCTATCTGATCTGCAATGAGCTCTGGGTAGATCCGTCTGGCTGTAGTAAGGTGTATGGTGAGCGGAAGCATGCAAGTATACACAAAACTACTTACCAGCTGTCTTTGCCAGGTCAACATGGGCAAGGACCGTTGGCCCATCAACAGCATCAGCATCAGGCTCAGCATTGGTGTTACCCTCACCCTCGTCTGCACTACCTTCGCCATCATTAGTTGCATGATGGTAGCGTCCAAAAGGCTCATCCTGGTCTGGGACATCTCATTCGATGTGTGCTTCCAATGGAGCGTTTAGTATCCCTGTGAATTGTAAAGGTGGTGATTAGTGTTGGCGAGCCCAGCATCATGAAAATCACATACCAAGTTTGTTGAGGATGTATGACAAACACGTCCCTCGTAGCATCCCGCGGTCAACAAAATCAACGCGTGAAGTGGCTAGCTTGTCGAGACGCTGATTGGTAAGTAACATTTGACTGAGAGCCTCGAAACGACTCGACCGGCGCCATGGCTCCTTGACGGCTTTAATGTGTTTGGACTCTGTTATAGATGAACAAAGCCCATTTGGTGCGCCGAACGCTCGAATGAGCTTATGGTAATGGATGAGTGAATGTTGTCGAGGGAGATTAAATCCTCTGGGTCGAACACCGGATGTTTGGAATATCTCGCGGTACCTGTGGAAATGCTTCAAGGCATCGTCCATTGCATCGAGGCTGTTAGAGCTGATGATGTTGCAGCGAGCGATGTAGATGAAGTCGAGTAACGCTCGCAAAGCCTGTACCATCTCTTTGGGTACATGACCTTCGATAGCAGGTATATAGACCTGGGCAGTAAATGCGCATTAAAAATATTAGTACTGTTGCTATGTAAAATATAAGAATATCGGTACAGACCTTCATGAGAGCTTTTGAGTCGTCACCAGTCCACTGTTTGAATCCTCTACCCTCTGGAAATCGTCGAAGGCCTGCAAACGCTGGAGCTAGAGCGATGCTAGTTGTGTGACACATACTACTATTCAGCAGCAGCAGCAGCTTGAAGTGAATTTGAAGATAAACTTACCGACGGTCAATGTCGTCCAGTATCTTGTTCACGTTGGCTTCTGTATATTGAGCTTCGATGTAGTCGTGCACCCAACTAACTAGGTGGTCCTTGAACACTCCCTTGATGAGCTGGTGTAAGATATCTGGGGAGAGAAGCTCGTGTATGTTGGCGCATGGAAAGTAATTAGTGAATGGCTGTATCAATAGTGTAAGTTCAAAAGAGACGAGTAGATGAAGTATTGTACACACCACAATGTCTCCAACAAGGCCGTATTCATCCCACAGAACACCTAGTTCGAATTCCTCAACCAAAACTTCAGTGTGATTGCGGGAACGTCGGCCATATGTGCCTTCATCGAGACCGTCTGCTGGTGCGGTGCATCTGCCGGTGTAAGAGCACCATAGTCCTACTTAGCATAGGGACACGAAGAATAAGACAAAAACGTACTTTGGACACCAATTTTGTACAATACATGCAAGCAGTGCTTGCTTGGGATAGTCAGCTATGTATGGTCCAAGACCATACACAGCTCGTCGAAAGTGGCCATCAGGGCAACGGACAACCTCCGGTTTGGTCATGCCAGGTTTGAGGGTTTCAAGCATTTTTGCAAGTGACAAGTGTAGAAGCTGGCAGCGGAACTTTCGGAAGTGTGCGTCCTTGGTGTCTTCATTATCAGCTAAGTAAATCAGTACCACATTAGTAACAGCAGCGCACACAATTAGTAGAGAGTACGTACCTTTTGGAATGGCTAAGAAGCCAAGTAGTACGACACCATTGCGGTGTGCACGCTGCACATTGTTGCGGATGTTGCCAATGGACATATAGACCGGCCAATATTGGTTATGGCCAGTGGCGACAGAGACTGTTGTCTTGTCACTTCCAAGGATAATAGGGACGAACATCGATCCTATTGTATCCGGATCTTGCGCAATTAAGTCCTGCAGTGAATGATAGAAGTGAGACAACAACGCGAAGGAGTAAGTGAGCAATGCTTATGGCCTGTTTCCAACACCAGTCGCCGGACATAAAGTCCTGAAATTGATGCGCTCCATCACTAACGCTATACTCCTGTAGCGGTGCATAGTCGAATTCGTCCTTGAAATCCGGGTTTGATATGATGTTGTGAACCAGGAGCCGAGGGTCTCGGAACCATATGTCATACTCAGACTTCATCCATGATGGAATGTCATCTGGGTCATCAGGTAAAATTCCGTTGTACTGCGAGCTGAAGCTTTGCCAGGGAACATCACCGAGAGGAGTTGAATCGATGGTGTCGTACATGTCGGTGTGGTTTGTGAATGGCGGGGTATCACCGTGAGCTGCTAATGAAGCTGCCCACAGATTGAATACAAAATCAATATCGCCTGCAGACATTTGGTTGCGACAGTACAGGAAATCAGCAACTTCAAACTCGACACGATCGTTGTATGGCGTCCAGTCGTCAGATCCACGATCTGATGGGCGTGGAGGTGGTGGAGCATCTGGGGGTATGGGATTCCCTTGACCATCGCAGATTCTCCCTTTGTAGAGGAGAATTGAGCATAAATTGTATGAGCATCAAGAGAAGTCACGTACCATTAATGATGGGATGATATGACCTAGTTACCTGAGGTCGACTCCAAGCTTGGCTGTCAGAACTAGCACTACTACCAGGAGGCTGATCTACATCCAAGCCACCTGTAGAGTCTGCCGGTGGCTCAGCAGAATGCCGATCCTCAAAGGTATCGTGTGGTGCATCATACTCAAAATCATGATGGCTGCCATGACCATCCTCAATGACATCCTCCAAGTCAGGTGGATTGAACACCATATCAAAATCACGACCGCCACTAGCCTGAGTGCGACTGTCAGAAGCTCCCTCTGATCTGCTCCAGCTGCGCGAATGATATGTTGAGTCAAATAAGGGACGTTCAGGGCCAGACTGAGACGCTGATGATGAATTGTGCTTGCAACTAGCAGGTGGGGGAGAACTACTGGAACTGGAGGATGAATGGTGTGGCAGTCGGAAAGTCTGTGATTCATGCCGTGATCGCATGTGGGAAGTGCGCCCGGACCTATTATGGAAATGGCGGGTGCAGCCTACTGCTAAGCATGGTAGCGTAGGCTGACGATGGCTAAGGGTGTGCATTTTGCGAATATGGAGGTTGGTACTGGATGGTATAGTGTGATGGTGTAGAACTGGCGGGGTAATGAGAGCCTACAAGTCTGAGCTTCAGAGGTGCATGCGGCATGATATTTATATGCAAACTTACCTTAGCATAAGAGCCTGTGAAGGCGCCACTTGAAGCGCGAGGTGTATGCGTTGTTGGGAGCAGTGAGAACCTTCCAAAAGTAACATGAGGCAATGGTATAACAAACATGCATACTACGTACCAACAACGAGGCAGCCATTAAGTTGGACAGCATGAATGATCACCAGGAGATCCAGATCGGGAAAAGGGCAGGGTAGTGGGCTCTTCTAGAGAAAGTGTTTGACATGCGGACTGCAGGCTAGCAAAAGTGGCAAGATTGACACGCACAAGTTCAATTGCAGAGTTCCATTCAACATCTGGGCGAAGTGATAATGATGCGAGTGGGGGATGAAGACGAAGCTGAAACGATGCGAGTGAGAGATGAAGACGAAGCTGAAACGATGCGAGTGAGAGATGAAGACGAAGCTGAAACGATGCGAGTGAGAGATGAAGACGAAGCTGAAATGATGCGAGTGGGGATGAAGACGAAGCTGAAATGATGTGAGTGAGGGATGCAAGTCAGGGATGAAGACGAAACTGAAACGATGCGAGTGGGGGATGAGTTGACGAGTGGCTACTAAAGACTGACCAAGGGTGCGGGATGATAGCCCATTCTGGAATGGGGCACACTCTGAGCATTGCGGAATGGAGAGGGATGGGCAGGTAGTATGGGACCATGTACAGCAGCCATAGTGAGCGGAATGGAGAGGGATGGGCAGGTAGTATGGGACCATGTACAGCAGCCATAGTGAGCAGAACGGGCTGGAGGGATGAAGACGAAGCTGAAACAATGTGAGTAGGGGATGAAGACGAAGCTGAAACGATGCGAGTGGGGGATGAAGACGAAGCTGAAACAATGCGAAGACTGCCGTATCAATCACAGAGTTCCATTCAACATCTGGGTGAACATTGAGAAGACTGCTGTATCTGGCATAATAAACTCATATTAGCATTCTCTGAACCACTGAATAGACACGAGCACATACCGAGGAACACGCTTGCCTGCAGGCTAGAAAATGTGGCGAGATTGTCACGCACAAGTTCAATCGCAGAGTTCCATTCGACATCTGGGCAAACATCGAGAAGACTGCCATATCTGGCATAATAAAATCAGATTAGCGTTCTCCAAGTCACTGAATAGACATGAGCACATACCGAGGAAAATGTGGTGAGATTGTCACGCACAAGTTCAATTGCAGAGTTCCATTCGACATCTGGGCGAACATCGAGAAGACTGCCGTATCTGGTATAATAGACTCAGATTAGCGTTCTCCGAACCACTGAATAGACACGAGCACATACCGAAGAACACGCTTGCCTGCAGGCTAGAAAATGTGGCGAGATTGTCACACACAAGTTCAATCGCAGAGTTCCATTCGACATCTGGGTGAGCATTGATTAGCTCTGTAGATAAAAAAAGATCGATATCAGTTGTATAGATATCATTGAACACATACCAGAGCGGGAGTCCAATGCCAGTGTGCCATGTTGGTGAGGCGTGGCAAAACCCTAAGTCCCGATTTGAACCACTTTAGTTAGTATTACGACTACCACCATCGTAAAGTTGACGAAATTTGCTCACCTTTCACGTCTTGCTCCTTCCACCACTCCGACTCACCAATGTCTACTCGCCGTGTTACCCACACCAAGAATGCAACTCAGCGTCCTGGTCTTGTAGACGCGGTCCCGAAGAAGAAACGTCGCACGGCTGCAGAAGTAGCTGCTGAGCGTCAGGCTAAGTTAGATGCCAAAGAAGAAAAGGAACGTGCCAAGGGCGCTGGGATCAAGCGTGTTGCTGAATATGAGAAGAAACAAGCAGAAAAGGACGCGTCAACCGATGCTACCCCGCGGGCTGCAGTCTTACTGAAGTCAAAGCCCCGTCCAAAGCCCATTCCAAAGAAGACTCGTGCAAAATCACCCACTCCGCCTCCTGAAGACGACGGATTCATTTCTGATGTCGAGATGGACGATGCCGCCATTGACACCAGCACCTACAACCCAGATCCATCCCAAGCCTCAGAAACAACTGACACCCACATGGATGGCTCAGAGTTGAGTGAAACTCCTACTTCGCCACCAAAAAAGAAGGCAAGGATCGACAAACGGGAGGGCAAGAAGGTGCCGGCTGAGAAGACTAAGGTGCGGGATGCTATTAAGGTGGCGCAACTGGAAGAGGCAAATGAGCAGGAGACGAGGAAGAAGAGGAAGACAGCCCAACCTCCCAGCACAATAAGCATTGACTCAGATACGGAGTCAAATGTCCTGGTCATTGATGCGACACCTACAGCAGCTCACAGCAAAAGATCAGCCCTTCAGCAAGCCGATCACTCGGATGACGAACCTATGCTTACTGATATCCCAGCTAAGCCTCAGTGGGCAATGCCAGCGTTGAGCAATGAGAACACACCTAAGGCGCGGCCTCGTGGTAGTCAGACTGAGGAAAGGGGTAGCAGGAAGGTGATGGAGAAGGCGAAGGTGAAGGTGACAGAGAAGGCGAAGGAGAAGTCAGATGATAAGGGGAAGGGGAAGCAGCAACATGATAAGAAATCGGTTCAGCCGAAAAGGTACGAAGTTCCCTTCTTCTTTTCCTGTCGTCACTTGTCCATCAATATCATGCTCACTCTCGATGAAACGACACTTTATTATTTTTTTCTCAGTGATTCTGCTAGTGCTATGGACTCAAAGGAATTTTCAACTGGCATCAATGATTGGGCTGCAAGCATCCCAGAGAACTCAAAGCCTGGTAGCAAGGCCAACACCAGCCAGCCCAGCATTTTTAAAAATAGATCAGCCTCGCGCCGCAATGGATCCATTCTTCCCCCCCTGACCAATGGCAGCACTCGATCATCGTCCAACTCAGTCCTGACTAACAATGTTTTGATTTCTCACGCAGAACCGGTCATTCGCATCAAAGAAGAACCCAAGAAGAACTATCACCTTGGAGTCATTGATGGAGGGCTCTCTGACGAGGATGAGACTCAAGGTCTCGAACGTGAGGCTGCAGTCGCCAGCCCTCCCAAAGGGAAAAAACGAGTTACGAGCTCAGTAAGTGTCTGTTTTGACGTCATGTTTATTTCTACTACTACTGACTACTACAGGCTCTTGTTAAAGATTCCCCCGTCAAGCCAATAGCCCGTCAAACTGAACAAGCGAAGAAACCCAGCAATGACGACCTCCCCGAAGGCATCGATCCCAAAATCTGGCACCGTGTCTTTATCTCGACATACATACAATATGTCGCGACATTGGCGAATCCCTGGGAGGTTCCCGCCAAGCTGGCCTGTGAGAAGATGCAGGTGATATGGGATGCGATCTTTCCCCATATTGGCCACACAGTGACAAGCCTTAGTTCAGTCTACTACATCGTAAGTGCGCTCAATTTTACTAACACAGTACTAACTTAGATCTACTTCAATATAGGCTGTCCAGCGAGTTGCCGACTCCTACCGCAGCAACATTGGCTCCGCAGCTATCGCAATTGTCATTGCGTACTTTGAGTCTCAGGACTCGCTGAGGGACTCTGATGACAATCGTGCGGAATTCGCAGCGTTCGCACTCAGCAACCTTTGATTCTTATACAAGAAGGCAAATGGTGATGACAAGTCTGTACGTACTCCTTCCATCTCAATCAATTTCCGAGTTGTTGTTGTTGTTGTGCTAATGCTTAACGCAGAAATTCCGGGGCCTTTATCAAGGCGCATTTGTTGTGCAAACCTTCGGTGCACACTTCACCGCGACCCGTGGTGCCCAAAAGATACCTGGGGTAGACAAGCCAGGTGTACTAGCAAATCCTGCTGGGGGTCTCGCATTGTCATGTGCTGCGGTAAGTACTCGTCATCCTATTTATTCTCGAAACTCATGAACTGACAATTTTAACTAGGTCGAACGAGCTTTAACTCTCTGGTCTACTCATACTCTCACCATCAAAATGGTTCAGGCCGCGAAGAACAAAACCAGCATCTCGTTGCCGAAGACGATGAATCAGTTGACTGGCAAGGTGTCCTGTCGGCAAACAGGATTCAACGACATCTCCTGGGGTACATCGACGCGCGCCTATGCGAAGGCTATCATGAAGAATCTCCGTGAAGACAAGTTCGAAGTCATCATTGCATCTGCCATGGAATTCTCGAAGAAGAAGAGTCGTCCTGGCGATGACGTTGATGATGCTGCTGTGGAGGATGACCTTGATCTGGATGAACGCGCTCAGCTGGTGGACATATCCGACACTGAGTCTGAGGGAAATGATGGATCTGACTCAGATGTGGAGTAGGAGCCTCAAAGTCGCTTGTTCATTCCTCCTTGAAGCCGGCGCCGGTGATTCTTGTTTTTTTTCGTTGTTTTACTAGTACTACTTTGCACAACTTGAATGCTACTGCATGTGACTTGAACAGATTCTTATCATGCTGTGTTTGACTTATCTCAGTGATTTTATGTCCTTAAGGGTGCGCTCAAGCTCAGTTCAGGACCTTTCAGAGCGTAGTAAAGTAGTTTGAAGTACATTAAGTGGTGCGCATGCAATAAACAGCCCTAAGTCACCCATGCAAAAGTTCAGTTGTTTTTTACTTAATATTGACTTTTGAAGCTTTGGAGCCTGAAAGTACTTTGAAACAGTCTTTCTGCTAGTAGTAGCCTTAGTAGTACCGTACTACTAGTACTTCCTTTCACTTAGCTCTAATAATAAGCACAGTAATCAGAGCAGCTAAGTCACATTCAGCCGAAGACCCTACTACCTTTCACTTAGCTCTAATAATAAGCACAGCAATCAGAGCAGCTAAGTCAGATTCATCCGAAGACCCTACTTGTGGCAAGTCACAATCCCCTTAATGTTTTTTGGCTGAATCCGACTTAAAATATTTATTAAGTGATGCTAAGTTTATCTAAGGTTCATTGAGAATTTTTTTGATTTTCCTGATGTAACACTACCTCATCTGGAATTTTTCCCATGATTGAGTGTTATGGTCCCAAGTATACGAGCTTCACATGAACTTTGCACACATCAGGTAACCGACTCGAAAATGACAAAATCATGTAAAGCTTTGTCTACTCTAAAATACATATAATATCTATCACAATTGTAATCCAAATGAGAAAGCTTTAAATACCCAGACTAAGTCGGATGGAAACTACCAACGGTACAATCTTGACAGTCAGTTTGCAATTACCTAGTATCAAGTTGACAGATATCCACAAAGCTTTACAAGCCTAGAGTGCTTAGGACAAACTCATCAAAGACTCAAAGGTGCTGAATACTGTAGATGATCGTGATAATTTATTTTCAAAAACCAATTTTATTGACAAATGTACACATGTGCTACATAGTAGTATACAGTAGACTATGAAACAAAGTAATAGTTGGAGGGGATCACCAAAGAGCCAGGGAGGAGAGGTCCATGAAGGAGGCCAGGGAGGAGAGTCTGAAACGGTGAAGGTACAACAATTCAGATGGTGAGTCTGAACAATGTTGGGTCTTGCAGAACCTAGCTGCTATTCGACCCTAAAGGGTTTCTGGACCAGGCTCAAGGCTCAGAGAAGAGGAAATATGATAGAAACTTGCTGAGTACTCAGACTCATACTGGTAACTGGTGAAAATATAACTTTCTTTATGTAAGCTACAAAGTGCCAACATAAGGTAAGGTAAAGACAGTCTCTCCAAGCCTAGCCAGAAATGAATCCCTACAACGGAGCCAGGGAGGAGGGTCCACCAACGGCCAGAGAGGGTCCACCAAAGAAGGCCAAGGAGGAGGGTCCTAAAGAAGGCCAGGGAGGAGGGTGCACGAAGGAGCCAGGGAGAAATGTCCTGTTACAAGTAACATCGGTCACGTGGCCCCCCTATCATTTTCCCTTCGTCCTCGCCCTCACCATCCACCGGCTCATCCTCCTTTACCGACTTTCTGTTGACCGGATCCTCGGGACCATTCCCATCCCTCGCATCATCCGCCTCCTGGCACGTGCACGCACATTCCTCCTATGACTCGACCACCAATGTGGTCCCGCACCTCTGACTCATGCCACCAATGTGGCTTTCCTTTTCTGTTCTCCTCTGACTGCGGATTCCCGCATGTTGTATTCTTACCATTGGTCCATTCCAACGTTTCTCGGTCTCATTCCGCATTTGACCATCCACCACTAATCTGGCTCTGTTGCCAACGCACCTATACCATTCTCGTTTCCCCTTTACCCTTACCTACTATGCGGTAGCCTTGCCCTGAACCCTTTCCACTTAGTATAAGTAGTCGGTCACTCTGTACTAGATTCTCTAACTTGAATCTACTCAATTTTCCCTGGAACATACTTCCCTCTGAACGCCCCTTTGGCTTCAGTCTTTAGTATCTTTTCTTAGCCGCTCCTCGCGACTAAGTCTACCTCGATCGACCTCATTGTTCAGACAAGACTGTCCTTACTTTGAGCGACTTCTGAGACATCTGTCTTTGAAGTCACGTGACATGCACATACTGTGATCGCTGCTGACTCGTTGTCACCAGTCTCACTTGCTATACCGGATCCTTCCAGTTATGTCATGAATGTTAGCGGACGACGCCCCTCTTAGGGCTCCGCATAATAGATCTATTTGAGTGCGTAACAGGTCCACCAAAGAAGGCCAGGGAGGAGGGCCCACCAAGGAGAGGGAGCACATGAAGAATGGACAGAAAGAGTAGAGGCGGAGCTCACAAGGACTTCACGAAAAATTTTCAAACCCCCAGCTCCCATGATATACACACCTTAGTAAGCATTAATATTACATAACATTGCAATTCCATTGCAAACAAGTATCTTCGAGTATCACAAGGTCACACTCTAGCAATGGTCTATCGACATTTATCTACCATAGGTCACACTTGTGGCATCTTATCAGACTTATAGTCTTCCTGTGATTCCTTCTCATTCAAAGTCATGTTGCTCCTACTTATGTATCACTTTGTCTGAGAATATAAATATAAATATTTCGTGTATTTTTGATCTGATTCTGTCAATAGTATCTATGAAAACCTTCTTCTCGCCGGTTTCCTGATGCATAGTAAAGATGGCAGCGACATTATATTGTAGTTATAATGTGGTATAACATTATATGTACCTTGCAATTGATATATTATGATATGTGTGGAATTGAGTAGAACAGCCAAATCACTTTGTGGATGATTGACTGTTGATCTTGGAGTTCCAGGGGACTATGGAGGTCAATTTTTGTATTATTGATTATTGATTATCAGCTCTGGACAGTGCTGGTTATTCACTAGATTGCGCCTGCGAGATGGGCATCAATGAGACTTGTGAAAAAAATCTCAAGTTATAAATCACGTGATGCAGCTGCATCACAAACACTATGAAACTTCTGGCAACCTTGGTTGATTAGATATTTACCACCATGATAAACTCAATTCCATTGCTTCAAAGACCAGCACCTTGCGGCAGTGTAGATGAGTACTATGTCATATCTGTGGTTCGTGTGTGCCTGTTATCTCCTCCTAATATTGTTGTGTTCTTTTTGCAACCTCTGCATGCTTATATGCGCGTCCTTTCGCATTTTTTTTATGTCTTTGTTGCTGACTTGGCACCCGACTACACTGATGAGGGTGCTCTCCAACGAAGACTAGCAGTAAGACCTGCCTACCTCGAGAACATCAAGATAAAAGCCTGCTTGCGGAGACTCTAACCACAGAACTCAAGCTCTTCAATCCACACTCAATCTCAACTACCAGTACACTTTGTGTTTTAACAATCCGAAACAATGTCACCCCGACCCTTTGTCAGGAATTTGACCTTCTAGTTGTGAGTGTCCGTGATCTTGCTTTGCACAAAAATTTCACTCAACGTTTCACAGCAACGACCTCGGCAAGGAAGTCACGATAATGCCCACTTAGAGTCCCAACCTGGACGGCCTCTATGAGGACTTCTTCCTGATAGTTTGGAAGTAAGTGCATCTACTTCTGTTAGGGACTATTTAAAACCTTGTGATTGTTTCAGGGTCAGCAAATTCGGGAAGTCGGGTTGGTGTTCCTATTCTCTTGCTGCCAAGTTGCCAACTTACATATGAGCCCTCTTTCCAGGTCCATACTAGGCTACCACGACCTACACAACCCAGTAAGATGATCGATGTAGCACTCAGATCGGTGTTGGGCTTGTATCCTGCCAATTCCATAGGTATCCCACACACGTATTCCTCGACACTCCATTTACCTTCCGAGAGTTCCGCGCACTCATCCGAGTCATCCGAAGGTCGTCCGTCCATTTCTGAGGCCTGTATACAGTTCCGATCCTCTGTACCATGTCCCATCCGTGTCTGTTTGACTTCACTGGTGCATTTTCCACTTGGTTATCTGTTATTGATTATGTTTAGGGGCACATATGTTGTCGGCCCGTCAGTTATACGCATATCAAACACGCCTTGCGCCTTATTACATGCATATCTCTGTAGTGGCTCACCTTGAGTCTTATTACATTTCGGATGTCTTATCTCGCTACTGGTTTCGCCTATGCAGTTTCCGGACTTTCATGCTGTAGGATATAATCTGCCTCACTAGCTACTTGCACTTCACTTCACTTTCCCTGCTACGAGTCATAGTTAGTAGAGTCACTTTCGGATAGTCGTACTTCACGCAATCAATCTTTTGTTCATTCAGAACGATTGTTTGGCCTGACCGCTGCCATTTCGCATCTCGCTGTCTCTAAGTTCTTTCGATAGGCTTTGCTTAGTTATACTTCACGAGTCTTATACTTCGATACACCATTGTACTTCTCTCGGAACCTTTGCTGTTCATCGGAAGCTCTTCGGACGCTTCGCGCAACCTCGGACCTTCGTTTCTTGACGTCGGACCACTTTCGGACCACTTCGGACGCATCCTCGGAACATCGAGCGTGCTCTTGGTAACTTTCCTTTCTCTCATCCTCGATCTTAACAAGATATCCCTTGCATTATATCAAGGAGTATTTCTATAGGCAGTCTCTTTGGGACGAGCATATCACTCGCACACTGAGTTCTTAAGGTAACACTTTGTAGACCCCACACAGAATCAACTCTTTACATCGACAGGATCAATAGTCTTGAAAGTCGCTCATATATTGTATAGGCTTGCTTTCTCCGGAGCCCAGGTCGAGAGTGGGAAGGTCATCAGCGCTGCGACCTCTGTCAATATCAATGTGAGCGACTCTCATCTACTCCGAAATTGCTAGCACCAATGCAAGCCATAATGCAGAACAGCGAGACAACCATCTTGACAGAAGCCAACAATGTCTATCATTTCTCTGTAAGTCTGGCTTCTGTTGATTTTCATCTCGACCACCGACAAATAACTCGTGTAGCCCCCTCAGGCAGGAACCTCTGGCATCCTGCAGGCCCAGAACCACACTGAGACTATCCAAGAAATAGCAGTCGGTTTGTGACCATTATTGTCTCCTCTTCTTCTTCTTCTTTGCCATCTTAACCGGATCACTATCTCTTGCTGTACTTGCGCCTGAATTGCAAGGTAATCATAGTCCTACTTTTTGGTTCAGAATTCTCATCATGCTTTACTAAAGCCATTACATGTGCCTGTGGTGCTGCCGTCAAACTATTCGCTACGATCGAGTGTGTCCCTGATATCGACTCTGCAAACCCAAGAGGACTAAAGCCTTCAAAAGTCACTGGGGAGATTATGTTCAAGGAAGTCAAATTCAGCTATCTGTCTTGCGCAGATGTTCCAATTCTCAAAGGCATTGACATCACCTTCCCAGCTGGCAAGACCACTGCTCTCGTTGGCGCATCTGGATCTGGTAAATCTACGATCGTATCTCTCACGGAATGCTTCTACAATCCACTCAGTGGCTCTGTTATGCTTGACGGAATTGACTTGCGAGAGCTGAATATCAAATGGTTACGCTCTCAGATCAGTCTAGTCTCACAAGAGCCAGTGCTTTTCGCGACGACTATCAGGGGCAACATCAAACACGGTCTCATTGGCACACTGTTACAGTAACATGGCACAAGTCCCCCGCCAGCAGACAGCCCTCTGCCACCGCATGGCTATAGACGATACCGGAGTCTCACCAGCTCTATGACGATAGATGATGATAGACGATAAGCGGCAACTGCCGGCTTAGATAAGCGGTCTGGACCGCATATGACGACACATGACGACATAGGTCTAGAAGACCTATTTATGTTATCAAGATAGAAGGCAAGCCTCGTGTTGCCTCATGTACTGATAGAAGGGTACCGCATGGACCCTATCTACGATAGAAGCCCGCCTCATGGACGCTATCTCTGACTCATGTAGATAAGCAGATTAGAACCCAGCTTTAGGCTGAGCTTAGATATGAAGAGTAGCCTTATATAAGGTCGAAGATTACAAGTAGACGTTCCTTACTTTAATCTTACTAGGTTTACCCTTGAACTCCTTGTCCCGCTAAAGCTACCTGCTCGACATCGACTCGTACCTTCAGTGACGCCTCTCACTGTCTGTAAAACCGCTATCATCTCAGCGTAACCCCTCGTTAACCACCACGAGCTACGTTCGAGTATGCAACCTTTGCTTGTCTGTAAAGGCCGACGACTCTCAGCACTCGGTACCACTGTCGTGGTTGTCGCTGTTAGATTATCCTAGTTGCACACGACCGTTTGTCGTAACACACACAACACGAGGATCCATCTGATGAGGAGAAGTTTAAACTCATCAAAGTGGCCTGCATCAAGTCTAATGCAGATAGCTTTATTAGCCACCTGCTACAAGGATATGACACTATGGTTGGTGAGTGAGGTTTTCTTTTGTCGGGAGGGCAAAAACAGCGCATCGCAATTGTGCAAGCCATCGTGTCGGACCCACGGATCTTGCTCCTTGATGAAGCCACAAGTGCCCTTGATACTCGCTCAGAAGTAATTGTACAAGATGCTCCTTTGCCATATGTAAGTTCACAAAGCATATATTATCAGTTACGCTCATGCATTTCCGCAGGCAACGGTGCCGCTTATCCTGTCTCTGGTATAATCTATGGTAAGTCCTGTTGACAATCAAAATGGATGCCATTTATCCTGGTATCCGTTGGCAGGGCACGCAGTCTCCGGCTTTAGCGTGACCACAAATTCTGAGCGAAGCTACCAAGGTGACCGGAATGCTCTCTGGTTGAGTTCATATCTTCCCGGAGATCATGCTGGTGCTTATCCCGAGCCAGGTATTTCATCCTTGCCATTCTATGCGCATTGTGTATGGGTTTCCAGAACTACTTCCTTGCTTCTGCTTCTGCTGTCACTGTCTTGACTGCCAAGCTCCGTTCAATGAGCTTCAAATCTATCCTGCGACAAGACAGTGAGTGCTCAATCGCTACATTATTATCATTTGCTCATGAAGGCAGTTGAGTACTTTGACAATGACAAGAACAGTGTGAGTCCTATAACTTCTCCAGCTCGTACAGGATCCTCATTAAGTGTATTGTCTACCTCCAGGCTTCATGAACAGAGGAGAAATTATGCCCACATTTGTACTCTACTTCAGCGATGTAACGAAACATTGATAGTCTGAAGCTTTTGGGGTTGACGTCACTTCTCTCTCGTCCCCGCCCCTTTTGCCTCTGCGCTTGGACCAGCTACTTGCCATCTCATGCCTTGCCCTCGACTCCATTGGTGTTCTTCGACTCGGAGGATTCGGACAACAACATGGTTCGGTCCATGAAGGTTCGGGTTCGAACCTAGGTTCAGGACCGGACTGCGGCAGCACTACGCTCACTGTAGACTGCTAATTACCGTGTTTACGCTACATTATAACTCTACCATACTTACTGCATGTATTTGAATAGTTCAATATTAATGCTTGGTGGTTATATTGCAATGTCAGCGTGATTTGACAATGTCATATGGCAGTGATCTGGAACATGTCTGCGTGCATATCACGATTCTGTAACGTTCCATGGAGCATATCACAAAAATTGTTTCCTTGCATTCACATATATATGAGGCTCAGTTATGATATTCATCACAGTAATCACAGTATGTTACAGTCATTACAGCAGTATATATGGCAATATATAGTTTGGGCAATTTTGGTGATGTTTTTGATGATGCATTATCTGTCTCCATATGCACCCTAAACGGATCCCCTCCCATTCACGTACGAAGAGCTTTTGGCAGTCTTCACACGGGGATTGAGCTTACCAGAGCTCCGCATCATCGACTTTCCATTACATACAGCTGTAACACCCAGTTTATGCAACAGCTCACCGACACATGTTATGGATCCAAGTCCTCGCACTGCATCAGTAAAATCTCGAGTCTATTTTTCATTCGCAATTTGTATTTATTCTCATTTTTCCTGCTTTGACCGGGTTTATAATAGTCCGATGATCGTATATTGAGCACAGATGGCTGTAATCGCGAGAGCACCAGCGAAAAGCCTCCGCCGCCGCTCTAGGGATAGATGAGTAGTATAATCCATTGATAATATGTACAAGTATGAGGGAGGCAAGGTTCAAGCTCAAGCTCCGATATCTCGGGTTCACGATGCCGATGAATTTGGTGTCAACATTTACAATCAAATGTTGGCTGCATGCGGGAGTATCCGAACTGGCTCTAAGTTAGTAAGTTACACCTCCACTTCGCTCGACCACTTGTGATGCATGTGATGAGTGACTCGGAAGACTATAGGCCAGATCCCCCTCCAGAAACCTGCGAAGCAACCGTTCGTGAAAGCTCGGTATGTAGTCTAAAGGCTTGCTCACTGCGGATGGGCGCTCATGAGAATTCATCACTGCTTCGCATCCTTTCACCGACGACCAGTATCCCACTACAACTGAAAATCTTATTGGCTGCGTCAACCAAGGCACATCCGGCGACCCTGCTTCGAAGGTACTTGCATCAAATTACATTGTTTTCATCTCTACATTTTGTTGATCGGGCAGGTTCTTGATATCCCCTCTGGCGTAGAGGAAACCCCCGGTCCCAAATCAGTCGGTGCTGAACTTCAGGTTACCCACGAGGCTTCAGCATACATGAATCCACTCGAGGGGGCTATCTCCGCGTCCACGAGCGCGAATGTGAATATTAGTCACCTTCCATCAGGTTGGGAGATGCGCCACACCTCCACTGGCAGAATGTACTTCGTTGATCACAATACCCGCACTACGACTTGGGATGATCCAAGATTTTCCTCGAATCTGGATCCTAATGCCCCTCAGTACAAGCGTGATTACGGACGGAAGGTGATATACCTCCGCGGTCAATCTGTATCATCAAACCGGTCTCTGCGTCTCTGTCAGAGCACACCCATACTTTGCTCCGAGTCCTCAACAAGGGTACCCACTCTTCCACGCGGCTCATCTCTCAGTTCCATTCTCAACGGCCGAGGTTCAACTTCCAACTCGGAGCTCCCAACCTCGTCAGATAATGCAACAATACTGACCAGACCTCCTATAAGACACACGGTCACACCTTCTGCATCATCTTCTGTCCGTACTCCATCAATCTCCGCGACGCAGCCGCGCGTTCGGAATCCCACTCGCAGCAGCGGTGGTCATGTCCCCCTACCGGCAGGATGGGAAGAGCGTCGGACGCCAGAAGGACGTCCCTACTTTGTCGACCATCTTGCACGCCTGACGACATGGACAGACCCACGTTCCTCTGCTGCGGAGTTTGTAACATCCGCCGCCAATAATACCCCAGCAGGTCTCACTACCGCAGATAATTTCCAGACCAATTATCTCCAACCCCTGAAAAATTTTGACACCGCCATTGAGAAGATCGCAAATGTCTGGGCTGTTCTCCTTAGTTGATAGCGAACTAATCAAGTTATAGGTACACCCACACGCAGAGATGGCATTGGGCGTACTTTCTGCTGCAGTCAAAGTACGTTCTATGTTTCCCGGAAATATCTCAGAAGTCATGATTCCACGCAGATTATTCTCGCTCAAGCGGAACACGACGAATCGCTACAACGCCTTCTCCAGAAATTAGATGAAGTTTACGGCTTCATCACCCAAGACGACAACCTTTCCAAGGTTGAATCGATGCATGATGTCATCGGAAAGATCGCTCAGCAGACTCTCGAGTGTGCCCGTTTCATCAGGGAATACTCGGAGACAAAGAGCTTCTGTGAGTCGTCGGACTATTGCATTCGCAAACGAATCTTATGCTTACTGTGATAATAGGGAAGAGAGTCGGTAAAAACATTGTCACGGAAACAGATGACATCGTCACACGGTACAACAACGCCTTGGATGGGCTTATGCAGCGATTTCGGGATCAAACTCATCGGGACATAGCTATCTTTGTCCAGTTCGCGGGTAAGGATCTATGCATGCCTCTGACTTTTAAAGCCATTCATAGCCTTTAAGGTGAAACACTCAATCTCAGCGGTATAACTTATGCAGCGGGCGCGGGACTAGATACTGCGAAGCAATGTCTGTCAGGCACCCGCACGGAAATTCTCTCCCAAATCACTGAGTGGATCAATAGTGACGGAGATTCTGTTCCACGTGTGATGTGGCTTTCCGGTTCTGCAGGCAGGGGGAAATCAGCCATCGCCCACACGATCGCTAAGTGGTTCGAGGAAATGGGAGGCCTTGGTTCGTGTTTTTGTTTTGATCGGCATAGAGAAGCAGACCGCCGTCATGAAAAGATTTTCTCCACCATCGCGCGCGATCTCGCTGATCGTGATCTGGGAATGAAACGAGCATTGGCGGATGCAGTCAAGAATGCAAACTCCCTCAAGAACACGACGAACATTTTCCAGCAGTGGCACAAGCTTCTCACGGAACCGCTAAAGAAGTTCTCTGCTTCGAGTGTAGGGCCCGTTTTAATCGTGATCGAAGCACTGGATGAGAGTGGTGAACTGGAGACGCGACATAACCTCCTCCGCATACTGGCCGGTAGAATTCAGAATGAAGAGCTTTCCCAAATCACTGAACTCCCTTCCAACTTTCGGATTCTCGTCACCTCTCGCTCACTTCATGATATCGAAAAGGGCTTTGAAGGTGCTAATCATATTCTACGATTGTCTATGGACGCTATTCCATCAGAAGTCATGGAACGCGACATTCACGCCTTTGTATCTGAGGAGCTAAAGGAGCTACCAGAATTACAGGACACACATCTTGCGGTCCTCGCTTCGAAATCTGACGGACTCTTCGAGTGGGCGGGTCTCGCGTGCGAACACATCAAGGAAGCCTATTTCGGCTCATCTCCAATGGACCGCTTCAATACTGTCGTAAACCGCAATCCTGGGGAGCGGAGAAACCTTTTCTATGATCTATATAGGCACATTCTAGAAGAAGTCATGCCAAAGGATAGGTATACAAAATTCCAGTACCAGCAAGTAATAGCGAGATTTCGTTCTGTGATGGGACAAATATTTTCCGTAGCCGAACCTCTTCCTTTAGTTTCACTGCAAGCCATGCGGCACCATTTCCCGGAAGTTCACGACCATTATGAAATAGGTGTAGTGATAAAATGTATGGGAGCCCTCTTCAGCGGCACCACCGACTCATATACCCCCATCCGACCCCTTCATGCGACCTTTCAAGAATTCCTCGCGGACGAATCTTTCAGCGGAGACTTCTTCGTCGAGCGAACGAAGGCGCAAGAACGCAACCTTTCATTTGCGTCACTACGAGTGATGACACATGACCTTCGCTTCAATATCTGTGATTTGAAGTCGTCGTACCTCCCTAATTCCCAGGACACGGAACTGCCTCAACGAGTCAAGACATACATTCCCCTACATCTCTCCTATTCTTGTCGACATTGGGCTACACATGTTCAGAAAACGGATTTTGACGACGAGCTTGCAAAGGAAATAATATCACTCTTTGACGATGAACGACTGATGTTCTGGATTGAAGCACTCGGACTTCTCAATGCAATTAGCGATGCAATAACTGTTCTTCTACTGGTTACCAAGTGGCTAGAGGTGGGCACATACCTACGAGGCAGGGTCGGACGAACAGCTCATAAATAAGTACAGGGCCATTCTGGATACGAGGATTTGCGGTCCAGCACGATGGATGTACAAAGATTCATTCAAGTGTTTGGCGGCATGATTTTGCACAGCACGCCACATCTGTATTTATCAGCGCTCCCATTCTCGCCCTCCAACTCCACCATCGCTACCAAATTTACGGCAAGGTTTCCGAATAACCTTTGTCTGGCATCTGGCCGTGATGTGAACTGGACAGTTGTTCAGGCCGTAATCAATGGGCGCACTGGATCGGTTTTATCAGTCTCGTTTTCACCGGATGGTGCTCGTATCGCGTCTGGTTCAGAAGATAAAACAGTGCGGCTGTGGGATGCAGCGACGGGACAGCCATTGGGTGAGCCCTTGGAGGGGCACACTGGATGGGTTTTGTCAGTCTCGTTCTCACCGGATGGTACTCGCATCGCGTCTGGTTCGTACGATAACACTGTGCGGCTGTGGGATGCAATGACGGGACAGCCATTGTGTAAGCTCTTTCAAGGGTGGACTGGAGCGGTTGTGTCAGTCTCGTTCTCACCGGATAGTACTCGCATCGTGTCTGGTTCATGGGATAACAATATGCGGCTGTGGGATGTAGCAACGGGACAGCTATTGGGTGGGCCCTTGCAGGGGCACACTAGACAGGTTCACTCGGTCTCGTTCTCATCAGATGGTACTCACATCGTGTCTGGTTCATTTGATTACACTATGCGGCTATGGGATGCAGCGACGGGACAGCCATTGGGTGAGCCCTTAGAGGGGCACACTGGAGCAGTTTGGTCAGTCTCGTTCTCACCGGATGGTACTCGCATCGCGTCTGGATCGGAAGATAAAACAGTGCGGCTGTGGGATGCAGCGACGGGACAGCCATTGGGTGAGCCCTTAAAGGGGCACACTGGAGCGGTTTGGTCAGTTTCGTTCTCACCGGATGGTACTCGCATCGCGTCTGGTTCGGAAGATAAAACAGTGCGGCTGTGGGACGCAGCGACGGGACAGCCATTGGGTGAGCCCTTGCAGGGGCACGCTGGTGTGGTTAGATCAGTCTCATTCTCACCAGACGGTACTCGCATCGTGTCTGGTTCGGAGGATAACACTGTACGGCTATGGAATGCAGTGAAAGTGCAACCATCCCCCGAGTCAAGAGAGCTAGACTCCTTCGCATCTCCGCTGCATCGAAGCACCGCACCTCTAGCCCAAGAAAGCTGTATCATGCCAACCAACAGTTTGAACAATCGCCTCATTTCCTTCTCATCCAGCCTGGAACACGCTCTGTCCAACCCCACTGACTTGCTCAAACCCAGCTCTCGTCATCGTTCTGATTCAATCTCTTTCTTGCTGCAGGCTGATGGATGGGTGATGGGACCCAATCATCAGCTCCTTTTCTGGGTACCTCCAGCTTCACGAAATCTATTTTATTCTCCTGACACTGTAATGGTAATCCCAAGAGGAGGCCCTGAGCTTGATTTGAGCCTTATGGCACATGGGACACGCTGGTCGAGTTGTCGAGATGCGTGAGTTCTTTATCTTTACCATTTATCCTAGCAGTTGCTAATATCGATCCTACTAGCCCCTCGTAGTGATCATTTCATTGTTGCAATATCGAGCGTACCATTTGATTCTTTGATTCCTTATCAATTTTATACCTAGCACCGAGTCTGAATTCACAGTTTGTCCGACTGAACAATGCGCTGAAAAGCAGACTGGCTGAAACCCAAATGTTATAGAAGACAGTTGTTCTGTTTAAGAAATCTTGATCGCTCGCGGAATTCTGCTACTGAGGACATCTCGATCCTGGAATACCCGACCGTCCGACCGCATCCGCGCCAGCATAATAATCACGCATCAATCACAACACAATATAGTAATACAAGCGTTCCGATCACCTTCGGACGTTTCCTATCCTCAATTTCAGTAATAGATTTTCGCCGTCGTCTTTTTCCCTTCGTTCTTTGTTGGAAACAGTGCCTGAATGTCTACATCGTACTCTCGAAACTGCCGTGTATAGTTGTCCGTGCACGAAAGGCCATGACGGTCGTCGAAAAGGAGAGAAATTAGGAGAGCAATGAGCGACTGCATCCGTGAGTCGTCGTCGATCAATTTGTATTCCCGGGCCGTCATCAAGCAAGGCCACGGGAGAACGTATTCTCGGAGGCGCGGACTATGTGACATTACTTATGGGCGGCCGCAAGAAAGCTGCAGAGGAAGCTTTAAAGTTACCGAAAGACTGATTAGCAGTGTGTTTGCAACTATTCCATCCCGCAGTGCACAATTCTTAACCATTTTATAGAGTCCTATTGGGTCGCTGTAACGCTTGTGGTCCATCGTTGGCATCTCACCCAAGTGGACCTAGATATATGTCGTGGGGATATCCACCATTTCGTCCATCAATGAATGAACTTCAACGACAGGAGCTTTAACCGCAGTACGCACACTCCGTATATACCATGATTTACATACCATTGCACGTTTACGATTGAATCAAAACTAGAGTTTCATGCTGACAATTCTCTATTTCGATCGAGAAGTACATCCGGGGCCCGGGCTCGTGCAGCTATGTTCATATCGAATTCTATAGACCAGATTTCGTTTCTTATCGTTATGAGGACCTGCGTATTTTTCAGGAAAGGGCAGTGTCTGAGGGGGACTTTCATCCTGCCTTCACCGACATACCCCAAGCTGCCATTGATCAAATCTACATAATTGAACAAGTCATCAATGCGCAAAACGGAAATCGAGTCTTCTGTTTCCAACATCCTTGGTCGTACTCAGATAGTGGGCACGTTCCTATCATTTAACAAGTCTTTAGCGCCAGAGCTCTAGCTCTTTAGAAAGTTCACGATAAACTCACCTCTGTCGTCATCGCATCCCAAATCTTGGCTCGTTGTCGGTTGCGCCAGATGTAATATGCCTTCGTAGCTGGGTATAAAATACAGATGTTGACGCAGCAGATAATGATGAGGGTCCTATTGCCGCGTTGATCTGCGCGCGGAGATGAGTGTGACGATTATGTTGCCTGGAAAAGAAAAAGAAGAGTGACATACATCTGGGAGCATCGCTGGCTACGTAGATCTGTGCGGATACGATTCCGCTGACTTGCACGAACCTAGCGGAAGATGAATATGTCTCCGGTTTGAATAGAGACTTCCATACATGTTGTACAACGACGCGTTGACCGTTCGACTTGCCACTGCCCCGGCGTTACGAGAGCACCACCCTACCTGTAACAAGAGATGAGTATTTATCTCGCTCGAGGATTGTTTTAAGTAGTACCTGGATGGGATGGGTATAACTGATAACACGAGGATGTCAAGAATGGTCTTTAAGAATATTAATGCTGACAAGTTCGAACTTACGGATATGACAATAGACCAGTCGCCACAGCCTGAACAGTTGAGTAAACCGCGTATGATGCGCTGCGTAAAATGCGTCACTTACGAAAAATATCCAAGGGTTAGGGTTGCTAGGCAATGCATAGAGTGCAACAAGGAAAGGCAATGTCCAGAGGTCCATCATCATCGACACAATCGTACGTTCATTGACGGACTCTGAGACAAGCGTGATCCAAAACATGGTGATAATTCCGATAGCCAGAGAGGGTATCGTAAGGAGGTTGGTATCAAATGTATTGAATCTGAGTTTCTGGTCTTCAGTGCGTCGAACGAAGGGATACTTGTAATACCCACCCGATGTTCGTAAGTAGTAAAGTGAGATACGTCGAGGGCGGACTGTTCGGAATGCCAAACATGAGGCCGCTACGTTTCATAAGTGCCTAACTCTTGCAAAGATCAAGGAGACAGCGTACAGGATGTAAATTGGCCAAAGATCATAATCGCACACTGCTGTCCAGAGACGACGCAATGTAAGGCCCTCGCGGTTGTGCATGTCACCCTGAGGGGGTGATTACAAAGTCTAACGAGACTGGGACATAATTACTTACCTTACTGGGATCATCCCGAAGTATTCGGTTGACCATGATGATTTCTTCTCTTTCCGTGAACCAACCCTTTGGCCGGAACCATGCTTTGGTCTGCGTTGGAGATGGGGGCATGTTGAAAAAACAGAAAATTCCTATAAGCAGAGTGAGGATTCCCCTGTGGGAGGGTCGAGTTCGCGTATCTTATGTCATTGAAAAGAAATGGACGCACTCAATTATGAATAGCCACCTTAGATCAAGTCAGGTTTTTGCGAAATGAGCATTAAATTTCTACTGACCGCCATCCAGCAATGCCAGCCACACCATCCATGTGAAGCACGCCATAGGCTATAAAACTAGCGAGGATGGCGACGAAGTTCTCAGACATCCAGAACAGGGCAAGGCGCATGGGTAGCTCCGTCTTCGTGTAAAAATCTGTCCGAAAAGTCAGTAATATAAGATGAGGTAGAAGGCAACTGACACACAAGATAGATATAATATCAGGTCAGGGATAAAGCTGTGGAATGTGAAAAAGGGTGCTCGAGCGCGTGCAGGATTTGGACTTACCCGCCTTGCAAGACGCTGAATTCACTAGTCAGTGAAAAGAAGGTCTGGGACAGTAATTGCATGACATTACCCTAGAAATGCTCGGCAAACCAGGAATGAGGTCCTACCAGTCAGCCAGAATTGTGACAGAGACACAAAACCTATGAGCTATCGATGAGAAACGTTTTGATATAGTTGTTCTGTTACATACTCCAGAGACAGATTTGCGTTGGTATCCAGCGATCCGGTCCAATCTCAATACGACCATAAGCCATACGAAACAGTGTACAGTGAATACACATACCCGCTTCGAGACAAGCTGTGACGGTAGTTCTGCGCATAAAAATGCCAACAAGAACACAGTATTTCCGAGGTTGAAGTCTGGATGACTGAAAATCAAAATGTGATTCAGATAGCAAACGAACAAACTTGCCGTCTGTAGTCAATTCAATATCCTGCAAGAAACTGTCCGAGTTTGCCTGGCTGATGTTGCTCCTGTCCAAGTTCAAGGCAGAAAATGCTATAGCTGCCATAAGCATAATCTTCCAATCCAACTTGCGGACCAGGGCCTTTCCTCCCATTTAACATCAGCAACCTCACTTTAAAACACGATGGGTATAAAAACTGACCTTTTCCTCCCTGTACGTCCAACGAGCAGTTGGATCGAATCTGTGAAGATTCTCGTAGTCCTTATTGGGCCAATAGTATTGCGCAAGGCCAGGATCATCAAAAACAGAGCGTCTGGTCGCAATTGCATCAAGGTCACGAGAGAACATCTGCTTTCGACGAAAGATGGACTTTGTCCACGAGAACTGTTCCTCCGTCTCATCTACCAGGTCATCAGTGGGCAAAGAAGCACTTCTTTTTTCGATAGAAGACAGCAAAGAGACAGGCCTAATCAGGCTGTCCGTTGTCGGGGTGTGCTTCTCCGGGGTGGCACTCACAGAGGTCGTCATCGAAAGAAACGAGTGTGGAGGAAGAAACACCCGTGACCCCGGTATAAAAGCACTCGAATAAGACAGGCACGGCCGTCCCACTATCTATACCCAGGCAGAATTGTGCGATGATGTCAATCAATGGCGTAAGATGCTATTCTAACAATAGGCACTACCGTATACGATTGACCTGCAAATTTTGTTTCACGATTTGGACGGAAGTGCAGCGCGGATTCAACGACTGGATGCTGGAGCGTTCGCCTAGTAAGTCGGTACTCGCAGAAACAGCAGGATAGTCGATTTGAGCACATTATACTCGCAAGAGAAAGCAGGTGCGCGCCAACAGGGGTGTGACTATTATAAAGATGTTATCATGCATATGGTACGCATCACAAAATGGACGAGGTGGGGAAAAACAACCATGTACTTACCTAGCCCATCATGCTCATGGGGCCACGACCTGTGACTCGGACTCCCACATGAGTACTGTAATAGACGGGGCCCTCCGCACCTCCGAGTCTAGCCTATCAGTAAAACCTTTCCATGCAAACTCACCTCGGACACTTCTCGGTAGTATTATCAGTTGTTAAGTTGAAACTCTATCCCGACTCGAGCTACCAGGCACCGCATGAAATTATTGTTCGCTCAAGGTTCGCCGGGGTCACGTATAACTTTTTGTTCTTTTCGTTGTCCCTCTTTTCGTTCATAGTGCTTAATTCCTCGCCTGCTTCACCTGCGATATCTCGCATTCCACTTTGCGTTTTTGGTTCGGTTTTAGTATTTGCTGACCTGCCTATTGTGCTATGAAAATAACCAGAATTGTTTGACTGCTTGCACAAAGTGCACCTTGTCTCTGACAATGAGTGCCTCGACTCATGCATGCAAGGCTGTATGACCGGCGTGCTGTTGAGTTCGATCTGATTCAGGAAGTGTCATCATCATAATGTCATAACGGCACGTAGTAGTATTTACGTGTAGCTATTCTTAGATCAAATACTACTTTAACTTTACCTCAAGCTCCGTGGACCGTGTCACGGGTTCTTCACTCACTTGTTCCGGAACTACTACCATCCGAGCGTCTCTAGAAATGCTGCGTTCATTGTCAGTCAAATATTCTCCCCTACTGACAAGGATTCGCCCAGGAGGTCGAGCACTCTCATCCCAACCTACCTCTTCATTAGGCTGTCTCCCCACGACGGACTCACCGGTCGTGTCGAAGCTCGCATTCTTCAATTCTGTAACTGGAGACGACAGCAAGATACCAAGCTATAGAGTCCTCGATGGGTTTGGCATTCCAATAGAAGGCGCTGAAGTGCCCGAGGCATGTGTCGCCTCTTCCGTACCAAATAGACCAATTGACATTCAAGTTCATTCAGATCAGCGAACAGTTCGCGCGACGATTGTAGGTTGACTTCGCAGTAATTCAGTATCGGAGCTCACACAGCCTTGAATTAGATATGAAAATATGCAGTTGCTTCCGACGCTGGATAATATACTTTACAATGTCCAACGTCAAGGCAAGATATCCTTCTATGTACGTGCACAAGCGAATGATGCATCTCGAATATTCTCTGACAAATCTTTAGATGACTTCTGTAAGATTAATGGCCACGCAGTGTGAATTATAATTACTGACCCTTATCAAGTATGGAGAAGAGGCTGCTGTGATTGGCTCTGCTGCTGCACTGGCTGATGATGACGAGTAAGTTTCCCTGAGAACCCGTTATTTCGGTCGAGTTAACAACAAGTTACGTTTCCAGAGTGTTGGGTCGGATATTAATTCATTATTTATATCTTTGCTAACTCCAAGTGTAGCACAGTACCGTGAAGTTGGGGTGCTCCTATGGCGTGGCTTCAGTCTTGACCGTGTCATGGCCCAGTGTTTCGGAACCCACGAAGATTCCGGCAAAGGTCGCCAGATGCCCGTAGTATGTTACCTCGTTATCCCTTCCTTACTCAGAATTCACTAACACTCCGTTAGCATTTCGGCTCCACACAGCATCATTTCCACCAGATATCATCTCCACTCGCCACTCAAATACCACAAGCCGCTGGGGTTGGCTATGCACTGAGACGCGACCCAGAGAGACGCTCCAAAAACGTGGCCTGCGTATTTTTTGGGGAAGGGGCAGCGTCTGAGGGAGACTTCCACGCTGGAATGCTCCTTGCTTCCACACTGCCTTCACCAACATTGTTCCTGGCACGCAACAACGGCTTCGCTATCAGCACCCCAAGCTCACAACAATATTATGGCGATTCTTTGAGCGCAAGAGGCCCAGGTAATCTAATCACAAGTTGCGTGTTTGTATCACAGTGATTGAGTTTTCTTTGCAGGCTATGGTATCGATACTATTCGTGTGGATGGAAACGACGTGCTTGCAGTAATGAACGCTGTTAAGGAAGGACGAAGGCGGTGCTTAGAAGGTGGTCGGGCAGTCCTGGTCGAGATGATGACTTATAGGGTTGGCCATCACTCGACGTCAGACGACTCGTTCGCGTATAGGGGACGCCAGGAAGTGGAGGATAGAAAGAAGATTGACAATCCCATCACGCGTTTCCGCTTATTCATGGAATCCCGGGGATGGTGGGATAAGACAGAAGAAGAAGAGCTCAAGTCTCGTTTGAAACAGGATGTGCTCACATCGTTCAAGCGCGCGGAGACTCTTAAGAAGCCTGACCTGGCAGAGTTGTTCAGTGATGTATACGCAGAAGAGCCTTGGAATATAGTGAGCATAGCTGGATCTATCAGTGACGCGTACTCATTTTGGTTACAGAGAGAACAACGAAAGGAGTTGGCGGGACTACTCGAGAAATATGGACAAGTGTGGGAGCCATGGCAGAATGACCTCAAGATCTTCAAGGATGAAGGGAAGAAGCTGGCCGATTGATGATTCCCTCGATACCCATCTCATAACTGTCATTCGGTTGATCAATGCACTCTTCCAAGATGACTATTTTCGCAAACCCAGCATATGTGGAACTGTATAAATATTGCAATTTTAGTGCACAGAACTAGTGTAATTATATTGAATGTGGCACGAATTTATCAGACGAATTATACGCTATGGACATATGCTGGCCTAAGGCTCGTGTATATAGCCTTTCATCACGTACACTGAGGCGCAATAGCCCCTGTGACGCGCAGAACCAATTTCATGTCTCGAAACCTCGAAAATCGATACGGCACCGAGCCGGCGGCTATTCGTGCTTATATATGTTAGATGTACATTTCATCCGGGCATGATTATTATGATAGGCTCTTGAACCTCACAGCCCACTTCTCAGATGGCTCTCCCACACACCGGAATTAGCCCCTAAAACGCAAAGCAGGTTTCATATTTAGCCGACGATCGCGCGCTCTGATGAGGCTCGCTTGTTTGTCCTGCGCAGCGGCTCCCCACTCTGTATCTGAGAGTGGACGTTGTAGCGCATTGAGGACATTAAGACACGTCATGCTTGTTCTGCAGCACTGGGTTCAGGGCCGATGTTGAATGCCCAGGGAAAGTCTTGGCTGATTAGTCGTATTCGGTTGTGCCGTGCTAGCGTGAGTACTCGAAGGGACTCAGATCCCCATCCTGCATATGAAGATGATGGTGGAAAATAGAGAGAGTTGAGCGGGTATCGCCGATCGTATACCAGTTGCGCGCATGGTGCTGCGAGGAGGTAGGCTGATGGAAGGCATCAATATCAATGCAATCATTATTACAAGCTGGGTCTGGACCGCACCGATTTGTGTGTCCTTATCGATCAGTGGGATTGAATTCTTTGTTCGTCGTGCAGGGTCATCTAGGAAAGTACGCAATTCAGCATCTTGGCAGTCGTAACTAAACGAACGGGGACGCCTACGTTTAATCGCTGCATTCTCTTTGTGGTGTCGAGCTGCAGTACGCGTCTCAAAAACACCTTGGAGAGATGGATTCTGGTGAGCGCCACCTTTATCATCGAGTCAGATTGTATGATAACCGGAATCAACGACAAGAACCTACCGTTCCACGTGCACGAGTTGAAAACGTCATGGGATTGGCATTCAACTGGCCACATGATACCTACAGAAAAAATGGGTTTACAGTAAAACGAAGGAGGGGGAAAATACCTTGCGCCCCAGAATTCGCGCGTGGGTGAGTGTCATGTCGAAGATAAACCGAGTAAGGTTCTGATAACGGTTGAGACAGATAGCCACATGTAGAACATGAATAGTTGCTTACGGGTATGAATGACATTACCGTCAACGGGACGACGGTTTGACGGGGTGTTGAGGTCAAATGTGACGTGCCGTTCAGGGGGCTTCTTGAACGAAGGCGCAGCGACATGAAGAAGCTGTATTGGAGGTTTGGTCCACCCATTGCAGCGAGTATTGTGCAAAGCTGGAGGGAAGGTGTTGGGATCAGGGATATCCCATCGAGGACGAGTTGAATGATACATGGGGGATGGGGTGTTAGTGTGCGATGACTTTGGAAACTGGAAGAGGCGGAATCGTGGTGAAGAGGAGATTATATACCATCAGACAATAGTATGGCGAAGCCTTGCCTGCTTTACTACAGCATCCTATCGAACCATTAACTGGCCTGCTGTACAGTGCTGTGAAAGAAGTTACCCTGCCTGACGGCCAGGTCGAGCACTGCCACACTGCCACCCCGATAAACGTCACTTCCCTTTTATATTATTCAGCGGTGTGATGAACATACCACCAGCGTTTTCATTTCTGGTCTTCGCCTTCTGTTCGCAGTTCTACCTCTTTCAGGTCAAAATCTCCTCAACATGACCATCAACTTAGCTCGCCATCGACCTCCTAATACCTTTGCTGTATGTGCCAAAGCACTGCCAGCCAAGTGATTCTATGCTAATACATGTCAATACCAGTGAAAGAAGGTCTTTGGCTTCTCGATAACAATATCGATCCATACACAGGAGTTGGGTCAGGGCGTCGTGGGGCGCAACGTAAGTCGACTTCCAATTCCTGCCAGATGGTTCATAAACACAGCATCCCAGCCTCACGCTACCAGACCTCCCGCCTAACCCTGGTCTTTGGTGGTACTTCTTCACTGAGATGTTCGATCATTTCAGACCATTCTTCCTCATGGTCTTTTCTGTGCGTTCTCATTTCGTCGTACACGCATGCCGTCTAACAGCATAGTTAGGTTCACCTTGTCATATACATATTACCTATCTGCATAAAATTTCAGTAAGACATTCTTGATAATATATACGTGCTAGTTTTCATGGGTTCTGATACGCCCCATCCGTAGACACGATCCCCTCTATGCCGCGTTCCTCTTCGTAGGCGTCCTGGGGACGTTCAAAGCGTACTTAACTCTCGCAGACCCAGCTTGTTCCTCAGCATGAGATCCATCTTCCCTGAAGTACATGGCTGCAAGTCCCCTTCTCTCCTACAACCCTACCCCGTCTCGTACTCACTTCACTCGCATTCTTCCAGACCTCCGACATCCCATCATTACTACTCTCCTCCACCTACACGCTGCGCTCCTCCTCCTGCTTCAACATATACTCTGGGTGAGCGAGGGTCGTGGGAACGCGAATTTTTACTATGCTGCGAGTATGGCGGGTGGTGCGGGGCTTGTGGATGCACGTTGGGCGGGGATGCGGATTGCTGTGGGGGATGCAAAAGTATGGGCTGAGGAAAAGGTAGATGGTGAGAAAGGCAAGGGTAAGGTAGTATGGTGGGAGGTGGTACAACAGTGAGGGGTGAAGAATTATTTGAGGCTGGTTGCCGTTTTGAAAGTACCAGAATCCGTACAGTGTCGCACACACTTGAGCAGTGGCCGAGGTGGGAACTTGTATGGTCATGGGAGTCTTACAATGTTCAGCTTCAAAGGTGAGTGTACTTGTCATTTATAATTAGTTGTTTCTGGAGACACAAGGATGTTTGGATTATATTGCTTCTGATTCACGAGTCCAAAGCGCCCTCGTGTTTCACTCGTGTGCAGCCGTTATTTTTATCGCATCTAGTTGGCAAGGCTCAACTTAGTCCCCCATAGACAGACCAATAGATGGCAGACGGTCGTCCCTTCTGCAAAGCGTACACCAGATCCTGAAATACTACACATTACTTAGTACAACATCTCCTTCATACTGTTCCACATGGGCGATAGTCGCATCTCTCCTAATGCGAGGGATTGAAAGTCATAGCACGTCTCGTGGTATGGCGCAAGACTCCGCTTCGATCTGTCAGCGCCACAAAACTTGATCGGTGAGGATACTCTCTCTTTCGATCAAGACAATAAAGTTCACTCGCGATGTCTATGATGCCGGTGTTAATACAAACGTAGAATGCAGATGCTGAAATCTTAACTTTATGGTGAGCGTTGCCACTCCGAGCAACAACATCAAACATTTTGATCGACCATCCACAAATCCCTCTCACCCCAGATCCCCACCCTCTTTAAATTCGGCCGTATTCCCAATCCTCCAGCAAGCAATACATCTGCGTTTGAAGATCTGAAAGCCTGATCTCCCAGCTAATATTAAAACCTTGGTGTCGAAGATGTCTGAGACCCTCCCACACCCAGCTTTGGGAGTTCCATCTGGGGTCGTGACGCGCGATAGGGATGCTTGCCAGGTGTCGCTCCATCAGGGTTAGCTGATGCGCAGCTACTTTTCCAACGGCGAAGCTTCCGCGCCATGCATCTGGGTTTGGGTATGGTTGGTTGCGTCTGAAATCTATGGTGTAGGTGTCCATGTTTCCTAGTATGTGGTATGTGTTCCCGATACCGGGAGCGGTTGGGATGTAAATCACCCAGTGAAGTGGGTAGGGGTGTAGGGGTTCTTTCTGCCCTTGCCAGAATTGGACGACTTCGACGTTATAGTATATGACTGGGACAGGCATATTACAATATGGCTGCGGGATTTGGTAAGTTGCAGTTGGAACGGCGCTGGATTGTGCTCACAGCAAAGTCGGAGGAGTGTGGGGTTTAAGTTCGCCGATGACCCAGATTTATATCCAGGCCCTGGTAATTTTGTTTGGCGAGTTGCTTTAACGTGTGGGTGCAACATGTCAGAATGTGAATACGGTGTACGCTATGGGTGGACTACCAATTGCTGCTCCCGGCATACAATTAATAGCCCAATCAAATGAATTGTCGGTGTTGCTTCTTTTAAATGATTCCCGTTATCGCACAGCCGGCAGTGTTCTGGGCCTCTAAGATTAAAGAAGCGCACTGAACTTGGGAGGAACATCTGCAGGTCTTCATAAATGCGACATATTGTTATATCTCTCGTCGACGACAGGTCAGTTCACTCAGACCGCCGTTTGGTGTCGAGTTGCAGTGCTTGAACTACGTCACCAAATTAGGGCGTAGCTATTTTGATCCTGCCGTGTCTGTCGCAATCGTGGCGGGCCCAAAAATGCCCCGTCAATCGGATCTCATAAGTTACAACCAACGTTAATTGCCACCCGGACGTACGGTTGTCCAGAGACTTGATGGAGAGGGGATGACAAATAAGTTCATCGTTATGTTTGGTTCGAAGTGGGATCTATTGGGAGATCATTTATAGGTTACCATTTCTATGGATGCTGTGGACCACGAAGTTGAACGGCTTGTAGTACAGGCACAGGACTATGCCCAACTGCGCTCGGAGCCGGCGGCGTTGTGTTTCGTCAGTAGGGATTATTCGTAGAAGGGCCGAAACCTGTGTCTGACTCGGAATAAGATTGTGAGCACTACTTGGACCTGAGTACCTGAATGAGCGGGAGTGAATGATGGAACACCATCGTGATGGTGCAAATATCGAGCGGAAGCCTATTCGATATTCAAATATTCAGGCCTCATGCTTGAAGCTTAAATTAAGCTTGAATGTACGTGATATGATGGTAGACGAAAAGGAGGAGAGATATGGGCAGCTGAGATTGAAAAGGATACAATAGGTGGCGCTCAGGTAGACATGAATTGGTTCCGCAGGATCAAACGCTCCGTGCTTGATGCCTAGAGGACAACATGGGATAGTCACTGCTCAGCGCTCCATCATGAGGCTCAGCCAATGAATGGCTACTCGTATATATTAGCACTGGCACTACCCACTGCGTCTAGTTGACTTATTATAATATTTAGGTGCTGGAGCGTTAACGTTAGTGTAGTACTCGAAAAGCACGACCAAAAATGGTGAGGAATAATGTATCATCTGAATACATCTAGGACCTGTCGAGACCAGATAAAACACGAGAGCCAACAGGGTTAAGTAAATGCCAGAATGCCCTGCCCACGCTCAGGATCGCTCATCCGATGGACACGGACTGTCTGGCCGACGTGGATGTTGCCCATATCTTGGGGCGTGATCAGGATATACTGTTTCTTGTCCGAAGCATTGGCGGTGTCAATCATCATCTTCATACTAATGCGGCGATTGACAGCATCCATGAAAACGTCGAACTCATCTAAAGACGGTCAGAAAGAGGAGTGTATCTGCATATGTGCACTGACCTAGGCAGCGAAGAGGGCAGCCGATCGCATCCCAAAGTGAGAGTAATAAACAGATCGTCGAGAATGATTTCTCCCCGCCACTCAGTGACCGGGGATCTTTGTCCCTCCCTTGCGTAGCCATCTGATCATCGGTTTGAACCTGATTACAGAACGTAAGCCGTAGGTCATTCGTATACAAAGAGGCATACCTTCAGCTGGAGCGTTTGGTTGGCATGGTCAAACAGAATCTTTCCAAAGTACCCACGATTGGAAAGATGGTACTGGAATACAACCTTGCATCGTAAAGCAATGTGACGCCGGAATTCTTGCCAGCGGTTTAAGCGAATAACAAGCGACCTCTTCAGAGCCTAAAGAATAACGTCAGTGAATTGGTCCATTAGCGCGAGCCAGCCTCACATTATTCAGCGCAGCGAGACTTCTTAGTTCCTTTTCTACGCTGTCTAGGACAGCTTTCGCATTGTTCACCTCAATCGTCATTTCCTCGACCGTTGCGCCATGCCTGCGCTCCCGTTCTTTGAGCGCTTTCTGAACGGATTCGAGAGTGCGCTCCACTACATCGACTTTGCGGGGATTTTCAACCCGTTCGCAGTATTCCTCAGCACTCGAGGTCCAGTTCTGATAGAAAGTTAGCGCTCAAGCTCTCTTATGAATGCTGAGATACTGACTATGAACTCCTCCTGTAGCTGTTTCGCAATGGCATCAATAGCTTCAACCTTTTTAGTTTCGTCCTCGAGCTTCTTTGTGTAGTGATTTTTGTTGCTTTGGGCTTCAAGACGACTCGTAGCAGCGTCCTCGATCTTTTTCTATATTCTAGCGTTAGGTGACAGCAGACGGAACATGGAAGTAACACTTACCTGAACTCCCTGACGTGCTTCTTCAAAGTTATGAATCTGGCCTTTGATTTTGTTCAACTCCACAAGTAAAGTAGCCTGTTCTTGATCGATAGCAGTTCTCCTACCGACAGCATCCTCGAATTGTTGCATGATCGAGGCCTTTTCCGCTTCGGCTTCCTGTACGGAGAAGATTGTCAGCCGGGATAGATGAAATTCACGTGAACATACATCTTTCGCGCTCTGCAATCCCATGATATCAGCCGGCATCTCTTCTTTTGCCTCCTCTTGAAGCGAAGCAAGCTCTTGTTTCGCAGCACGGTGAGTTTCGAATAAAGAGCGTTCTTGTGCCTAGCAAACCATGCGTGTTCAGGAATGGTATAACAGAGAGGAATGGGTGAGACTAACATTCATCCCATTGGTTTCGCGTGCCAGGGCTTGAAACTGCTGTCTGAGCTGAAGAGCCTCATCTTGTGCAGCCTTACATTCGCCCTCTGCATTCCGCAAGTTCTCTTGCCAAGTGCTGTAAAATGATTCAGCATGACTGTGAGATCGTACAATATCGACGGACCTAAGCACAGAGGCAGAGTCACTTGATGTGAACATCATGTTGCGGGGGTCATTTGGAGGAAGCCTGTGTAATTTAATCGACTGACCACCTCCCTCGGCATATCGATGGACACGCATGTAATCGGCTGCCCAGGCGACACCTCCTCCATTCATGCGTTTCAGGATGTTGTCAGCATCAAGACGCTTGGGCGCAACGACCGTGCGCTCAATATTTGCTTGGTTGATTAACAGGCGGAGGACGTAAGGGTCTGTGATCTGGATAGCAGCATTAGATATGTAGTAATGAAAACAGTACAAACTTGCCTCCAGGACACGAAGAACAGTGGGAATGTGATCGGGTGGCTCCCCTGCGCTGAAGTCAAACATGTCACGCTCGGATATGATAATATTAATATGAAAGCTGTATCATGGTCAGCCTGACGAGGTAGCACAAGGATTGACTAACGCACTTCTTCGTCTGGTCAAGTAACTTCTTCAGTTGTGGTCTGTCCCTGGCATCAGTGACTGCAAACGCACTCATCAGGCTTCCGAGCTGAATTCTCATCAAATCTGCCCACGCCACGTCCTTCAGCTTGACATGTATCCCAAGCGGACCAACAGGCACGTCCCCATGCCACCTCATCTTCGCAATCTGGTCGAGGACACCTTTGATGTCTCGGCCGTATGGAGCAAGTGCATTCTGTCCTTTCTCCTTGCACTGAGAAATCATACTCTGGGCCGCAACAACACGCTCCTGTGCGCTGTTCTTCTTGGCTTCGGCGGCGAGCCCCCTGTGCTTGATGCTTTCCTGCTCAGCCAATTTTTGACGCTTGGCTTCAAGGAAGTCCTTGTGCGCTTGATCGGCGTTCGTGACATCTGTTCTGGCGGACTCCAGTTTTCGGTTAAGCTCGTCTCGTTTTACTTGTGTGTCTGCAGCGAGACGATGCTCTTCTTCAGCAATATTTCTCGTGTAGTTCTTAATGGCATCATTGAGAGAGTTAAGAGAAGTGTTCATTTGTTTCTCGTCATTCTATGAAAAGACAATCATGTCAGACAAGAAGTAAAGCAGAAAATTAGGTATATAGACCTTGAAGTTTCCTATCTTCACCCGGTTGCTGCGCATTTTCTCCTGTAGATCGTTGCGCTGCTTGGTGAGGTGATCAATATCGCCAAGTGCGGAATACTCCTTATCGAATTGTTCTACAGCATCGGAGGCAAGCTGGACTTGGGACTAACGGAATATGTGAGCATATGAATATCGGTACCCATGACTTTCTAGGAGCACACCTCGGCTGTCTTCATCTCAGCCTCGATCTTAGGCAAGCGGCGTTCCGCCTTCGCAACTTCCTCAAGCTTTGCCTCCATTTCCTAGAAATTATAGCTGCATCAGTTCGTTATTCACGATACACACAATCAACCATGTCATGCGGATCAAGGGAGATGTTGAGAAGATCTGTTCTTACCGCTTGCTTCGCTGCGACGTGAGCCCAGGCAAGCTCCTTCTTGAGCTCATCAACCTTGCAGCGCTGCTCTCTTGCCTTGCTTGCTTCTTCAAAGCGCACGCTAGCCTCCTTGAATGCAGCGCGTAGATCAGGGAGAACTTGCTTTTTCTGGTGTAACACCTTCTTGGTCTGGTTGATATTATCAAGGCAAGCGTCATATTCCTCAGAAAGCTGCGATAGCTGGGTACCTCGCAGGAAGAACTGCGATGCATGTACGTGAACTAAGTACATTAGAATGTGGAAGCAAACCAACCTTGTATTTATCGGAGGGATGGGAAGCACTTAGAAATTGCCTAGCAGCATCTACGTAAACTTTAACATGGAATCGAAGACGCATACATGCACGTAGTACTCACCTTGACTGAGGACATTCATGGGATTATCAACTTGTATGTTCATGTGATCACAGATAGCTGAAAGCTCGTCTCTCTTTGTGGATACAACCTTGCCGTCCTTACTCTTGATTTTCCATGAAGAAGATCCATCCTTGGTAAATTTACGCGTGATGACAATGCTCTTTCCATATTCTTTGGGTTTATATGCTTCTTCGCCCTGGTTCTTGAGCGAAATGGTGATTTCTGAAATCCTTGTGTGATATCTCAAGGTCAGTAACACAAACCTCAGTGAGTGTGTCGATCTTACTGTTGGCCTTCACGAATAAAAGATTTCAGGCCGCTGCCGCGTCCCGTCGAGTTTGCTTTTCCTCCAAGTGCAATGGTGATCGCAGACAGGACGGCACTCTTTCCACCTGATAGGTCAAGTCAATGAAACGAAACACAAGAGTTGTCAGCTATTGAAGATATAGTACTCACTTCCATTGTGACCTATAGAGCTGTTTTAGCATCTGCTTAACACACTCGAAGTGACACTTACCGATAATGAAATTAATCTGAGGTCCAAACGTGAAAGTAAGTCGTTTGTGGCACATGAAATGGTGCATCTCAATGGACTCAATTATTCCATGCTCTGCAATACCCTACGGCACATAAATCAGCTTGAGCCATAGGCAGAGGTAGCCGACATCCTACTAACTCCAAAGGTATTGCGCTTCTGCTCGAGGCGCTGGCGAATGGCCTCGCCATTGAGTTCTTCGAAGCGCTGTTCCTCTTCCTCGTTGTGCTCCTCCTGGGTTAAATCTTCTTCGTCTTCTTCGTCGTCGCTATCCTCCTGACGCGCCTTACCATTGCCATTGCCAGGCCTCCTATCACGGTGTCGCGACCGTTCAACAACGACCTCATCATCGCTATCGAAAGTTCTGGCACGCTTGGATTGTTGAGACAAAGCATTTGGAGCCTCGTCGTCGTCGTCGTCGTCAGCAGCGACTTTGCGTTTTGCCATTACTGCTGAAGGTAATATGGAAGACAGTACTATGTGTGCCACTGTACGTGAAGCGCGCCGCGACGCGTTGCAATTGGAAGGTTGCCACGCTATCAATAAGAACAAACAATAAAACCAACTCAACCTAATTACAGAATCCTTCAGGTTGTATTATGTATTCTACATACTTGAGTGAGACGGTAAGGTATCTCGTGACTCTCGGTCGTACCCTCCCACTTTAATGCTCCCTCCTGTATAATTTTCTTGATATGTGTACGATTAAAACCAAGCCGAGCATGGACACCATTATTACTAATCCCAGCAGTACTAGTGGCTTAGTTGCTTTTGCATAATTACTCCGCCATGACTGTTCTAGTCCTCCAAATCTCCCTGGCATACTTTCACACAACCTCATACTTAATGACACGTACTGTCAATTGGCATCGACTTGCATTATCCTCAGGCTCACTTGCTTGAGTCCACGCCGCTCATGTCCGCTAGATTTTTGGGATGCAGGATGATTCATGCATCCAGTGTCATTAGTTGTCTGAGCATCGCGAACAACATCAATAGCTCTGACAGTGACTCACAGTGGGCTCCTCGATCTCGCTAGCTTGCATTTTGGTTTTTTGCGAGTGCCCTGTTACAGCCGGTGGGAGACACATCGTGCGTGACCTGACGTTTCAACATTGCAGTCAGATCACAGAAAGGTCGAATGGACTCGAACCCCTTCACCTTCGGCTCAACCTTTCAGGCCGTTATCCGACGAGGCATTGATAGGCACCTTAATAGACTGCATTTGCAAAAGTCGAAATGACCAACGCACACAAGCGGGTGCGCAGCATGTTGTCATCGATTTTGAATCTTATTTCAATCAGGCCCTCAGGCCTCGTCCGCGACGGTCGTCGTTGTCCCATTACCAACCACTACAACGTAAACTTTTTTGCCAAGAATTTCGTGAAGGACTCCAACCCTATTGAGAGAAGTAAGATAAATGGGGTGTGTGAGAGCCAGCTGGCTCATATCTTCTGACTGGAAGATGATACGAAGGTACGATCTAAGATTTTTTTTCAATGCAATCCAGACTGCAAACGCTTTGTCTGCATTGGCAATCTTCAACTTTTCGGTTACAGTGTTTCATCAAGAACACCAGGGCCATCAAATACATCACCTCGAATACGTTCTTACTACGAGATAGGACTTGCATACCTCGTACGTCAATCTTAGGATCTAGTTGGGCTCGATGGTGAGTCACGCAATTCAAATACATGAAGGTTTGATTGACTGATGGCTTATTCAATTCCCAGGAGACACCAGACACTTATAAAAGTATCCAGCCCAGACGAAGCACACGTCACAGACTCACAGATGAAGTTTTCAAAACCGTCAGGTCAACCACCGCCAATCCTAGCTTACCCTTGCCGAGTTTTCAGTATCTCAGTATTTAGATGCATCCTCTCATAGACTTTTTAGGCTCTTTGGGAATGATCACAAGCTCAGTCGGATCAATGATTATGTACCTGGAGCTCGTCGATGATGACTACTTTTCTGGGACAATATGGCCTATTGATATCTGGAAGCTGTTAAAGTTAATCCCTTGCAGCAGAGGCATACTCCGTAAGTACCTCGACTTCGTTCCCTCTTAATTATGATTGAATGATGTCTCTTTCATCTCTCTTGCAGCCATAAACGTCGTCGGTGCCTGATCCAAGAGAAAAGCACCTATGACTCGAAAAAGGGTCTAAGTTACCTGTATGGTCACTTGACTAGATCTTTCTGATTTCGAGTTTGCAGACTTTTCATTCATATGATAAGTTCTGAGTGATCCCATGGGTGATCTCCAGAAACCGTAGGGTGTAACACGCGCTAGCTCTAGTCACGCTAGTGCTTCCCAGTCCCGGGCTTGTACCCAAGGCCTGAGTTCTAATCCGTCCTGCCAGATATCGGAAATTACAGGACACCGCCGCAGGACCTTGACTCGGACGTTCGGACCCATGCATATTCACAACATTATTGGGCTGGTGGCTGCTGCGAGGTTACCACCGGATCTTCGTAGACGGGACCAGTTGTAACTGTTTTCCTTCTATCGGTCTGCCTACGGGAGACTACCGCTGGGTAGCAGAAGAGAATTTAGCAATCCGCAATCCACCTACAAAATATTATCAGGCGCCCACTGGGATTTGGTTACCGAGACCTCCATTAAAAACGTGTGAAAATTACTACGGGAGGAGTTTCTCATCGACACTTTTATGAAAGCATGACTTGAGTACGGAAAGTCATCTAGTTCCAAGTAAAGGTGTATATGTTGTTTTGCGTAGTAGGTATATCGTTCAAGTAGAAAAAGAAGGATTAGTGTGGCAGGTAGGCACTCGCGATGAGCCAAAATAAAAAGGATTTCCTCCAGGTTCCTCCGTGTGTGTCAAGGTCTGAGTAAATTGCCTAACTAGGACTATACGAGCAAGTGAACAATCGAACATTGAGCTCAATCTGGGTAAGCGAAGGGTCTTGCAGCCACCCGCGAGCTAGTCGTCTTCTTGTTCTCCCCGGCACGCGACGAAGTGCTGTCCGCTGTGCTGCAAGGGGCGCAAATGGAGTTTTCAGCTTCTCAAAGACAAAAGGCCAACAGTTTGCATGGCACTGCAGGGCCGTCCAACTACCGAGATGCATCTAGTCTAAGTAATTCGTACGTCTGATTCTTAACTTCGTTAGATCATTCTGAATGAAGCTATGTAGAAGAGGTACATGGAAAAATTCACCTACTCCAATAACCGCCCCATCGAATAAAGTGAGTTGGCTGATACTCATCAGATCCAACCTTGGTGGTAATCCTCTCACTGTCATGTAGCGTAACACACGCCTCGGGCCAGCAGCGAGCCCCTACGATCAAATCTCCAACGGCAACAGTCTCCGAACAAATCCGAATGCACGTCGAACGCTTCTTGATACCCCCGCACGACCATCATTGCCACAAGAACCCAAGCACTCCAAACTTGATCACGCACCCTCCAGTACCCTTGTTAAACGGATCACCAATTCGAGTTCCATGAACAACACCCGCGCTTCCATAAGACATACAGGGCAATCAGATCCCGAGGTACAAATCATCGACCGACCTCATGGAATGAAAAGTACGCCTGCGCACCACAAGTATCCATTTGGTCGAGAGGTTCAAGTAATTTCAGATGGAGAAGATCTTGGGGTACCTGTACCTCGTCCTCATCCTTTGTCGTCTTCACCAGACCCCATGAATCTTCATCCTTTCCAGACCTTTCCAAGTGACCCACAATATGCTGACTCCAGGAAGGGCAAAGGAAAGGATTCCTCTCCGACCACACAACCCTACACTGCGGTTGTGTCTGATGAAGTTGATGATATTGAAGACTTTTCGTCAGAGGCAGGCAACAGCCAGCCTTCGCTCCCTCCGAAACCTCAATCGCAGCGAGCTGCAATAGTTGCGCCCATACCGGAATATATTGTCCGCGATACTCGAAAAGTATTCGAAGAGAAGGTTCCATTCCTGGATTTACGGAAACTGAGTGGTAGCGCTGGACTTGTCAAGCAAATGAAACCGAAAAAAACAATTAAGGTTCGACATCATTGTGTTTTCTTTGTAATAACTCACGCCTTCAATCAGTCTGTCCCAACCTCTCGATCACAGCTTGATCATATTACGACGTCGTCCACGCAATTCACATCTAAGGAGTTTGCTCGCACAAAGGACCCTCCACTGAAGCTCCCTTTGCAAGCATGGGCAATCGGTTTCAAAATCTTCAGGGCCGAAAATGGTTCCGAGCCCCCTGTCTTTGAGTATGATCCAAAGACCAGACGTCTCAATGTAGCTGTACCTGGACAGTCTCCATCTTTCTGGTTTCAACAAACCAATATGTTTAAAGGCGTAACAGTACGTCCCCAACATAAATTATGTGGCACTTGTGCTAATATCGATTAGGTCACAAATGACGAAGAGAAATCCTTGAAAGACAACGTAGTCATACAGCTAGAGACGGCAAAAGACTGCGAAATCTGTGAAAATGGAAATCCAATAGATGAGTTTGAACCTGGTGCGTGTACCATTATGACGGGTGTGCTATGCGCTGAACCGCTGCGCCCAGGACTGGGTCGCGGACGCGGGAACCTGACGTTCTTGTTTAGTACGGACGAAGCCAAAGGATGGACGCAATCGATATATCAGAAACTACGCTTTCGCCTGGCTGAAGCAGCATCTACACGCAGCACTGCAAGGTACGAAGCCATTGACCACCTAAGGAGAACTTGCCTGATTGAAAGTAGACCAACGGGCGCAATCTGGGGGAACGTCCAGCAGTTTGCAGAGATGTATCAACAGCAAAGTCGTCGTTCGTCTAATTCTCGCCACGAGCCGATGGCCTCTTCCATCAAGAATGCATCCCCTGCGCCAGATGTGTTTAGCTCTACAATCAATTCTGGATCGTGCCTAGCACCTGATATGTAGGTTACTTTGTGACTGCTTCAATTTTAGTCGGTGACCCACAATCTTCATAGTAAATCAGCAAACGCCGGGGCCGGTACATCGCGGCGCTCTGCTGCTGCAGTACTCCAAACTCCATCAGAATCTCCTCCCATAGCAGATCCTGAAGAACTGTGCGACTCTTTTATCATTGGTACTTTGTTTCATTTCTTATTCGTTTTACTAGAATTCTCGTATATCCCCCATCTGGCCCTGGCGCATTGAACATCATGGGCAGCGATTTGAACAGGCTCAGACCGCACGAGTTCCTCAATGATACATTAATAGAGTTTGGCTTAAAGTACGGTCACCTGCCATTTATTGAGCGTGATGCTAATATATATGCAGGCTTTGGCTCGCTGATCTTAAGGAGCAAAATCCAGATCTTGCGGAACAAATTCACGTCTTCAGTTCGTTCTTCTATAAGAAGCTCAACAACAAGAAAAGGCAAGTCTTATCGGTTTCATTGTAAAGTTCCGAAATTACACACCTTGCCTGAAGCTTGGACGAAGGATACCAAAGCGTGAAGAAATGGACGTCCAGGGTTAACATATTCTCAAAGAAATACATAATTGTCCCGATTAACGAGAAGTGAGTATGTCCTCAACGAGGTTGACCCTTCCTGACACCGTTCTAAAAGTCTTCACTGGTACCTTGCCATCATCTATGAACCCGAGTACACTCTTCTCCCACCCCTTCCTCAGAAAGAACCTTCTCTTTCACAACGAGCAAAGCTGCGGCGAAAGACTGCTATCGAGCCAGACGTAATTCCTGCGACTGAGCCTGAGGCTGTACCACCCCAGGACCTACCAGCACTAGGAACACGATCAGAGCCAGACGCTGAATCGGCCTCACTGCACGCTACTTGCGCGTCCACGCCAAGTATTACGCAAGATGAAAACATGGATGACATCTCACCTGTGGAATTCACACAGTCATGTTCAATATCTAACCACCTTCCTCCGAGACTACTCAGGGTTTCACCATCCAACTCTGTATCTACACAAGGCAGATCCGCTTCTATTGGCAAGGCCTCAGGGAGATCGATATCCGTCGAAGCACACGTAGACTTACTCTTATCGACGTCTTCTCCGTGTCTGGAACCGATGGATGTTGACGTCACCGTTATCGACATCGACACGATCCCAGAGGGGACCGGGCCAAAGGATAATCTTCCATCTTCCAATGCGTCAACTTCAACACATGTCTCCGAGCCTCCCAGCGTTCCGTCATCGAAACCTCCATCTCGTATGGGTGGTATCCCTGCGGCTCACTTCTATGGAGCTTCTACCAAAACAAAGGGGAAGCAGAAGGCTGTTGAGCCAGTTGTTGTGCCGGACTCCGAAGAGGAGGACGAACGTGATGAGGACGAGAAGCACGAAAGGGAAGTAGACGCTATGTTGGACGTCCAACCCAGTCTTGCCACTCAGGATCCTCTTACGTAAGCCTACGCACTTGTCTTTTAATAATCGGCTTATAATGTGTTGCAGCACTTGGATCTTCACGCTGGATTCCCTAGGTTCACGGCATCCTCAAGCACAGAAGGTATTGCGATATTGGCTAAAGGCTGAAGCAAAAGACAAGCAACAATTTGACGAGGTGAGGTTGGCTGAAGTCAAGCTCGCGCAGGTGTGCAGTCCCGTTTTTCAAAAAAGGCCCTTTTAAACGCTCCATTACAGGTCCCATCCCAGCCCAATTTTGCCGACTGCGGTGTCTACCTGCTACATTTCGCTAAAACCTTCCTTTCAAATCCTGTTCACTACTTTAATCTTATCCATCAAGTGCGTGTCTTACCTAGTTCTCGCTTTTTGACTCTAACATTAGCTGTGTTCTGAAGAGTAAGAAAATATATCCTGCTGAACAGCGCAAACTCGACTGGAACGAGCATGTGGTACAGCACTCCCGCAAAGATCTTATTGAACGGATCCAAATCCTTGCCAAAGAGTGGAAGGCTTCAAGGGCGGCGAAGGAGGAGGACGCGAAACGTAAACGCGAGAGCGAAGAGCCCGGGCAAGCTGATGGCGATTCGGATGTGGAGGTGGACATCCTCGAGGATCTGAAGGTTTCACAATCGATGCTCAAGTCCAAGGAGAAAGACCGACCATTGAAGAGGTTGCGTGGTTGAAGGGCCTCTCAGCAGCCTCAGTGACAAGCTACTTACGAATTTGATTATTTTTGAAGCATACTCTTTACATCCTGCATACTGAGTTCCATTGACGGGGGTGCCCTATAATAATGTCAATGCTGGGCATCAGAACACACACAAACAACCATTGTATAATAAATTTATTTCCGAAGTCCCAAGTAGTCAATACTTGCTGAATGATACAGGCTGGTAACCTCGATTCTCGTACTCAAGCAATCGTCATGTGCCAATGTATCTATCTGGTATCAAAGGTTATGGAAGGTGGATTGTCTCCAGGGAGAAAAAAGTCGTTGGATGACGTGAAGAATGTATATTGAGTTTTTAAAAATGCGATAGAGACCGAGCTGCGATACCTGATAAGTACAGGTCCGAATCACGCTGGTACTGTGATGAGATTGATTAAACGAACGAACAGGCGCTCACGCCTATGGATGCACACCCCCACAATGGAACACGGGTTAAGGTTTGTGAGTAACCAGAAGCAAAGACTGTCGAGATGAAGATCCGAGCATGAACCCTAAATCATGGAGAGTTCCTGCAATGTAATGAAGTTCGAGAGACGCAGCTTAGAACTGGATCTCGACGCGGCGCCGATGTTTCCAGCTCCGTCCGGCAGGCACGTTTAATTTTGCCGCCGGAGCTTGGCCAACCTCCTCCAAGAACTCCTGCATTGCCTCACGGATAGCAGGTGTGGGCTCGGCTTCATTACGGCGTGCAACCGTGTTTGTAGGCGACACGTGCAATGATGAAGATGTAGAAACCCCGACCGATGCACGAGTACTGGTGGGATTCATGGTTTCATTGGCGCTGCCTCCGATAGCCTTTGGGACCGTATTCGATGGTGACTTATGAGATATGTACCAGCCGATTCCGATACCGGCAGCAATGAGCTACAACAATAGATGAGTTAGGAGGCAGGAGAGATAAAGAAGGCACATACAACTAAAAACATGATCCCAACGAACCAAACCCAGCGTGACAACTTTGAAGACCCATTCTGTGTCTTTATCAACCAAGAACTCGTCTTCTTCTCGTCCTTCGCAACGATGCTGAACCTCCTCCAGAAGTCATCTCCCTTCTGGCCACGTCTCGGCACCAAGTTATCCTCTGAGCCTCCACGAATGATTGTGTCACCTGCATACTGTATATTTCTTGGGGCGGGTAACTTGGCGGGACGAGCAAAGACGGGAGTAATTGGGGTCATTGGAGGCTGGAGAGGATGCGGAGTGTTTGGGACTGACGGGCGAGGGGAAGGAGTCTCGTAGATTGGGACAGGTATACGTGGTGGCTGGATATTTATGTCAGCTGGGGGGCGGTTGGCTTTCAGTGCATTTGGCATGGGTTGTGGAGGCTGGTGCACGGGAGGGTCTTGGACAATTTGTCTCATTTCGGGTGTTGCAGCGGGAGATGGTATATTGAGTGCTGAGATGGGTGCCGGATAACCGGGACGTGGAGCAGCGAGGGGTATCGGGGATGCATTCATAGCACCATGCTTAGATTCGGTTACCATAGGAGGCTTATGCATAAGGACTTCCTCGTCCTCATCGTCACTCAAGTCCCCAGTCATGAAACCAAGGCCGACTGCACCGAAACCAGACTGACGGTTGGAGGAATCTTCACCGTCAAGATATTGATCGTACCTGCAGAGTAAGTCAGTTTATCTGCCAAGTTGAAAAAACGAAGCGTGTGAACGTACATGTTATAGGCAGAAGTGCGGTCGTTGGGATTTGGTTCTGCTGGCTTACGGACACGGCGCTTAGAAAGCGATGGTTGGTCGAAAAGTTCGTCTGGATCGTCTGTTGCAAATGGTGGTTTGCCAGCAAGAGGGGGTCTTCTGGATGACTCTACACCGGACATTCAGTGATTACTTGATTCAAATATGCGATGTGAGGCGGCTGGCTAGAAAAAATAAATACGAAAAAGCGAATGGACGCCTCTCTTGATGGAGACTGGCTGAGCTGGCAGCGCGCGAGCTCTGAAAAAAAGGAAGAGAGAGAAGAGATGAAAGAAGGCGTACTGATCAGCTCGAGTGGTAACCACTTGAACTAAAGTGTCGTGGGACTACTCCTCACATATCACACAGTCACATCAGTTGGTCAACGTTTCATCTAGCTTCCAAATCGACGGCGACATTAATCTGTATAGTGTTGCTCCTCGAACGCAGGCTCGTATTACTCTACCACTTATAATGGTACAGCTCGATCAATGTTTTTACCATTACAAGGTAGGTAATAATAATCTGCCAATTCGATATTATGGCGATCCGCCCTGTTGACAAGGTGACACAATAATAGCCTGCGACAAACGCATTGCGCATTGGCCGCCACTCCAGAAGGTTCTCATTCTACATACTGGCCGCGGCAGCTCTCGACTTGCAAGAGCCCCAGGTACGTACGTATGGATTCTCAGAAACCATCTAGTCTGTGAATTGACGATTCAGTGACATATAGTATCTGGAACCCCTGTTTTCGATGCAAGTCCTCCATTCCATGGCCAGAGCCAGATCTTGTGTCTAAACGTATGTACATTATGACTCCAGAACATCAATTCAAATCCACCTTATCTTGATGGGCCCACGCAACGTGTACTGCAGTCGTAACAATGGAATCGTGCGCCATACAAGACAAATTAGCAGCATCCACCGTTTCACCCACCAGAAATGATTACTTCCATCACCTCCAAGGGAGTGGAGACTTCGACCCAACGCCCATGAACATGTCGGCATTCGTAGATAAGTGCACTTGACAAGTGGCGGAGTCCCTTGATTTTCAGACCCGTGTTTCGCACCTCGAGGATACTTGGGTTAGTGGCTGCTACCAGTCTTTGATTGACAGCTGTCAGTGGATGATCAGAATGGCCAATCACAATGTCACAGCAGATAACAATTTCAGCTTCCTAGTAGCATCGTACTTGCGAACAGCCCCACGAGGTAGAGGTGGGTAGAAGTGGCAGCCGTAACCTGTCTTGATATAGCTAGGAGCCTCAGAGCGAATGTTGATCGAATCGTTGATCAGATATACTGATATCGGTAAGCATGAGTTGCACATTTCATGCACATTCCAGACCAAGTGCTGCTAGGCTGTTTGAGGCTTGTATACACGTTGATCATACAATCCTTCAAAGCTTCACCCGTCCCTCACAACAGAAGACCCCACGTGGTGCCACAACCCCATTTATGACGAGATTTCTGTGGACGCCTCCAATCATTAAACCAGAAAAACAATGATATTCGAAACAACTGTACTGATTTCGGTCCGAATAGTTCCCCCTTGTCAACTGGGGGTCGCTTCTTGCTTCGCAAGAAGACGATAGAAATCCGCCACGAGGTATAGACTCCCCGCGACAATCACCAGCTCCTGTACCCCATCTTCTTCCTCCGTTCCCTCCGTGGTCATCCATTCCAATGCACTCTCAAGTTGCCCCTGAATATCACCTTCGTCGGACGCAACCCACAACCCTACACCTGATACAGACTCACGCACGGTAGCGGCGATCACAGATGGTGGCACAGAGTTTACCCAAGGCATGCCTTCCGGCGAGGTGAATCGTACCGCGGCAACTTTCGTCTGTATCGAAAGCCGTGTGCTACTTCGAGAGTCGAAGAGCGGGGATAAGGTATCCTTCGGCGTTTTAGGCGGAGAACGCGATAGGGCGAGGATATAAGTTAATCGTAATGTCCGCACTTTTGGATTTCCGTCCAACATCGTAACGAGGTTGGAAACATATGAAGCGAGGGTTTCTGATGATGCACGATTGTGTGCACCATCGACAAGGACAGTGATCGCCCGTGGATAAGGTGAGGACACCCTGAGACTATGGAATGATAGGCGACCTCGCCAAGTGGCATTTCTAATGCCTGTAGTTATGTTTTCCAAGACACGCTCGCTAAAACCGCTTGGCATCCTCGATGCACACGATGGGTGAGTCATTAGAGTGGATATGACGGTCAATACGAGACTCAAGTTCTCCACTTGATGGCTTCCGTTCAAATCTAAAAGCGCGGATAAGCTATTTGGGAAAGCCGGACTGGTGAATGTAATAGGCTGAGGAGGGGGAGGCCTGAATGATTCTGCATCCAGCGAGAATGCAGGTGGCAATGGACCATCTATGGTTTCATCCCACGCTCGTCGCTGCGCAGGGTGAGTTGCTATGAAGTGAGCGCCGGTCTGTTCAACGACAGACCGCACAACATTCTCGACAGCAGCGTATTTCTGAATGCCTAAGACAAAAGGCTTGTTCTTCCTCGCAATGCTGGCCTTCTCCTTGGCAATGAGTTCGACGGTATTTCCAAGGAATAATTGATGATCGAGATCAACTGTCGTGAGAGCAGAGAGGAGTATGCACTCGTCTGGTATATAATTGGTCGCGTCCAGACGACCACCCATGCCCACCTCAATGACCACAACATCCACCCTATGTTTCTCGAAGACATGCAGTGCAACAAGTGTCAGCTTTTCAAAACTGGTAACTTCTGTGCCATGGGCTTGGTCCGCGCTCTCGACAGCTGCACGTGAAAGATTGTATTGTTCTAGTGATATGCTCTGTTCATTGATCAAAATGGAGTCTTGGACGGACACTAGATGAGGGCTGTTGAATCGACCAACAGTAAGACCCGACGCAAGGAAGATGGATGATAGCATGCAGGTGACACTTCCTTTGCCATTTGTGCCAGCGACATGAACAGTAGGCCGTGAATACGGAGGAAGATGTGGTGCAAGGAGCCGAATACGCTCCAATGAAAGTTTAATCGACATGGTCAGACGTAAAAATCGGCAAGAACCGGCAATACGGCTCCAACATCGTGCATCATATCGAACTCGGATGTGGTGGCACAAGTATAGGACCTATGGAACCTAGACTCTCAAAAATTTATGCGTATATATCCGGCAAGTAGTTGACGCTTGCAGAAGGCCCCCATCTGTTTCCTCTCCATCTGCAGATCTACAGTGCTGTGCTGTGCTCGAGTTCCATATGGTAAATTGCCAATGGTCCGGCACGTTCACTACCGTGACTCACCGCTAGGTTGTGATTGACCAATCCTCTTTGTTAACCATGTGGAGGGGCACCATGATATATAAGCCGAGTTGCCACTCAGAAAACCAGTTTTGTTAACCAGACCATCTCGTCATGTCACGGTCTTCCAACGAGCTCAAGGTTTGCCGTATACTTCTACCCATCGTCAGACATTCCATTAACCATCTCTCCCGATATCTAGAATATTTTGGACGGCTTGAGCCAAGGATCATTTGACTCTGTCGCCTCAGCCACTCTCTTTGCTCTGAGGGATGACTGCACATTCCCCGAGGTCTATCAAATCACCATCGCGCTGTACGGCATCATAGACTCAGTTCATCTCCAACAAGTCAAGCGTGGCATCATCCCTGAGCCCTTGCAACAAGCTTTGGCTTTTCGAGGCCTAGCATCGTTCATGCCATTTTGGCTTGGCCGCTCCGTCTACACTGCCAGAATGCTCAACACACTGACTTCCCGCTGGCCCATCATTCGCGAATGGCTGCTTTTCCTCGGGGCAGACTACGTGTACAAAGAGAGCATTGATAGAACCATGCGTATTCTCGCTAAGCGAGCAATCGTCGACTTCTTAGGCATCTGCAGGCATGATACGCTCGGGGACTCGCTCCCTATCGTCCTGTCTAGCCCAGGAATCGTGTCTTTGTTGTTCAGTATGTGGGATTTAGAAACAAAAGATCGTTATTTCAGCTCCTGCGTGGAAGACGATGACATCCCCGGTCCCCCTCCGATTATCCGCACTCCAGCCATTCTCGACTCTTGGATGTGCACATTTTCTGAGACGGAGACCTGGAATTGGCACGAAATCATGCGCCCGTTCAATAATGACGGAGCGAGGATCGCTGCAACAGCCCTTGATCATCTGGAGCACGACCTCGCACAGCACCCCGTCGATTACGACTTAATTATCTGGGACATCCACCTTCTGACCTCCCTTTCCGTAAACAACACGATCCGCATCCCATTACTTATGCAACACTCCATGCAGAAAACAGCAGGCGTTATTGCTACCATGGTATCTCAGCGGCCTCACTCCATCAAACAACGTCACTTAGTGGCCAAGGCCATTTCGTACGCATGTTGGTATATAAGGGCATATATAGAAGACACGGATGGGCTACCCTGGATCTCTGAGGTCCTCGAGGCAGGCCTGCTGCCCTCGTTGCTAGCGGTTGAGCCGTGGGTGAAACACCTCAAGGATAATAATGACGAAGACTGGGAGCCACTCTGGCTTCTTCTCTCGAGCATTTTCCCCAAGTATGCGATTTTTCGTTCCGTGCTTAAAGTGATGGGTCGGTCTATCAAGGCCCTTAACGCCGTTAAGGCGGTGGACAGGCCAAAGCCTGATGGCCCAATGCACAAACACTGGTCCACATTGGAGGCACTTGTGATGACCCGACTCAAGTTGTTAGAGACTGATGATGTCGACGAGGCACATGTTGATTCTTGTCAAAGTTCAAAGGTGCGTATCGTCTCACATATTCCTCTATGATCTTCGTAGTGATCGTTGTGCAGTGCAACAAATCCGGGGCAGCAGGCACCTTCAAGCGCTGTGCTGGTTGCCTTCACGTGCATTACTGCAGTAGGGAATGTCAGATTTATGATTGGAAACAAGGCGGCCATCAAACATATTGTCGCGGCATACAAGCTCGCCGTGCCAGTAGGTGTTTCATAAATTTGCAACTGATACCGAATTTCATTAATCGATTCCTTGCAGAAGGCATCATGTCCCGTATTTCTACTCGTGATCTCCGCTTTCTTGATCGCGTGATTGCATCTGATCTCTCGTGCCATAACGAGCGAATCTCTAGGACAGCAGCAATACACGCTTCAGGGCCTGCAGTCGTTGAGATTGATTATACCTGTATTCCTTTCCGCATCGGTGTTGGTTGCACGGAATCGCTACCTGTGCCAGACACCTGCAAGTGCGACAAGCTAATGCAACAAAAGTGGGACACTATGGTGGAGCTGGCACGGAACAGCAAAACGTCGGGGCAGAAACTTTTGATTCGTGCCTTCATTCCATGCGGGTCTGCGCCCAAGGTGAAATTGCAGCTCATCCCAATCAAACGGATCATCCCCGGTTATGACCCGAGCCAGGACCATGATCCCGCCGAAGCTAGTGATACTTTCGATCACTTATATTCATGCGCGGGACATTCTTTTACCATTGTTGATCATTCATACCCTGTGGAGACTCTCAGGCTCATGACTAAGGAGATGGACGCATTGACTATTGAAGGAAAGGCGAATACCACCGATCCGGCTCAGTCGGCTTGAGGAGTCTTAGATACGTTGTTACATGTCCACATATACTAAAAGCGAATTGTGTCGCACTAGGTTTTACGCAGCTTGTCCAGTGTACATATTGTACCTATTTAGCGACGGACAGGGGCTACCTCATTGTTTGGACTTAGTCAGTCATCGCACACATGTTTACCACATTGCAGAGCATCTCTTAATACCGTAGTCCACATATCTCGTCCCTATGAAGAGCCTTGATTCTCACACCTCCTGCTAATTCTTCGGACTAAACATCCGAGTCGTGATGGAAAAAACAGACATCCAAGAAAGCACGGCAGTCACCTTCGAATGGACCCTTCGTGGTCTCAAGAATATCTTCGAGTCGAGGTAATTGCATCGCAATGCTTCCCAGCTACCGCTGACCAGAATTGTAGCAAAGGCGAATCGAAGTCAAAGGTTACCAAGTCTGTGAGATTCGGACATGGACGCTGGCAGGTATGCGTTACACTGTATTCCCTCCCCGGCCAGCTTCATCGAATACCGCTATACAGATTCTTTTCTATGCGAACTCTGGCACGGAGGGCGGAGGGTTCGTGAGCTTGTATCTGTCCTGTGAGGTGCGCCCCAACATTCCTCAGGCATCACAAACTCGTTATTGACGCCGGTATCTCTAGCCCACTGCCGAAGAAAAAGACAATGCGGTGGACGGAAAGTACGTCGCAGGGAGGCTTCGGCCTACTTTGAATACACCCTCGCGCACACTAATCTCAAATTCATAGGTGGGTACGAGAGGGCGTTTACAAATTTAATTTCGAGCTTCGAAGGTCAGACTTCAACGTGTTTATGGTTCATCTGCATCTGATTCTTTTCATATACAGTCTCGGAAAGACCGCATTATTCAATATAAAAGAAGCCCACAACCATTCATTTTCATCGAAGGTATACTACTGTTCGGTTAACTTTTCGATTCATGCTTAGTTTGCTCATACAGACAGCCAATTGGGGATGGTGCGTGAGTCCCGTTATTCATAAGATATATTATCACATCTTCGGACAGGGCTCAGTTTGCGCGACGAGATCATGTATACTATCATTCAAATGCCGTCAAGGAACAGGACGCCTTCCTCATCATCTGTACTATCACATCATCACCGGCCGAACCTACGCAACCACCGTCAGCACCAGCTCAGCTTGTACCGAAGGATTTCCTGGAACGCGTAGGGTCGCTGCTTGATGACCCACTATACTCTGACGTTGAGTTCGTACTGCCTTGCCGAGGCAGGTCGAAGGGTTTTAGGTGTATCTACGCCAACAGAAAGATATTGCAAAGAGCAGATTACTTTCAGACTAGTAAGACCGACTGAATCTGTATAGTGCATGATACTTACAGTTGCACTGTCCTTAGTGTTCAGCTCAGGATTCTCCGAGGCTTCTTCAGACCATGGCCAATACGATGTCGATGATGGCGACGGCGCCTCGGACGACACCTATCTTAGTCGTCAGTATGATGATTCGGATGATGAAGACGATGAATTTACGACACAGACGATCGATGAACCAAGTTTTGATGGCACTGTAGAGTCGCAGATCGAAGAGGACGCTGGACCTTTTGTGGTCCCAGTTGCAAGTACCGGCGACACCGAACTAAATGTCCATTCCGTAGAGTCGGATGCACAAATGTCGAGTGGTCCAGAAGACGGTAATATTCAACCCAAGTTATCCCACCCGTCATCCCCAAGGAGCAATAGCGTAGCTCCTGACACGAATGCACACGATTGGATGAAACCCACAGCACCTGCCAAATGCAAGGAGGTTGCGGGACCCAAGAAAATGCGTGTCTTCATCCGGGACGTTGCATATGCAACTTACAGGGCTGTTCTCTACTACGTGAGCGTGGTTTAGGGTATATTTGGTACATTTATGACCTATGCATTACAGATCTATACTGATGTCATTGTCTTCGCCCCCATATCCTCGTCGTTTAACTCAACGGCTCAAAAGAAGCCGCCGACAATAGTTTCAACAGCGCAAGCCCCCTCTGATAGTCAGTCTAATTTGCTCGACCTTCCAAAAGCAGGGAGCTCGACGGAAACTCCCACCTCAAGGAGAGAGTGGATCCGAAAGTGGCAACAAAACCATCCAGGGCGACCATCGCCTTGTTCTGCGAAGGCTGCTTATCGATTAGCAGACAGTGAGTCAATCACACACCTCCCTGATTGTCTTCGTTATTCACTGTAATCTTGACCGAAGAACTTGGCCTTCTTGATCTGAAAGAGCGTGCATATCAGGTAGTTCCTACTCTCGTACGGATGTGATTTGTGTTGACGCACACGATACAGCACATTCAGAAGTCGCTCACTGTCGACAATATTCCATACGAGGTGTTTTCTCCATTCTCTGCCACCTTTTCGGACGTCCGCAAGGTCCAAGTTAGTTTCTTCCTTGAGCACTGGGGAGATATCCGTTCTTCAGACGCGATGCGCAGCGTGTGGCAACAAATTCGTATAGGAAGACATCCTGGATTCGAGGAAGGTATGTGCTCAGACTATCAATTTTCACGACATGGGGGGTGACGCATCATCCAGTATGGCCCTTGATTGCACAGCATTTAGAGTTTAACCCGAAAGCGGGAGGAACAGGAGATGCGGAACCGATTGAGGGTTAGAAGTTGGAGCAACAAGCTTGCGTCATTGCAAGGACATCATGTATATATGTTTCTACATACTGATCAAACTATTGTCTATACAAACTCGGTACTGAATATACAATGACTCTCCTTCAAGTTGTCCACAAAGAAGAAACACTTGCAGGTTTCCAAGCAGGTTGCAGAGGACACATCACATTGTTGGCCACTGTCTCACCATAAACTGGCCCGGCTTGGGCTCAAAGCCCCGGCTTAGGCTTGACCTGGGGCAAGAGGTGTGCAAAAGGGAAATCCCGAACACACAGCTCAACTTTACATAAGCTAAAAAACCTTAATGTACAGCCACTTGAAGTTGCCAGCAGACTGTTCTAAGTTCCTCAATAGTGGTGTCAGAAGTTAGTAGAATCGTTTCTAGAGTTCTAAGGTGCTTGGACAAGATGGGAGAGGGCTAGAACTAGTGATGTGCACGGCCTGGCTTCAGGCCGTGGGCCGGCCCAAGCTGAGCCTGATTAGGCTGAGCCGAGCCGGGCCCAAGTCAGGGCCTGACCATGGCCCAGGGCCCGGCTTGATGTGTTGAGAAGCCTGAGCTGGCGGCTCAGGCCGCGGCTTTAGTCCCTGCGCATCCATCATCAACATCCATGCGTCCTTACTTTAGGGAGTCGAATCGTCTGTTACAGACTTCTGTGGACATCCGGACATTGTGACTCCGAAGATGACTCCGAGGCAGAACCAGGTGCCGCGTCCATCAGGGATCCATCGAAACCATGGAGGGCTGAGTTCACAAGCTATATCGAAACCATTGAGGCTGCTCCCTCGGCAGGTATGACCACTATTCAGTGGTGGGGTGTAAGTCACTTTCACTCGCTACTCACTCGATGCTGACTATTGTTTTAAGATCAATGCCCTAAGGTATCCAGTGTGGGCTTCACTGGCAAGGGATTACTTATCCATTATGGCAGCATCTGTCTCGAGCGAGCGAGCTTTCTCGCAAGGAGGCATCACAATCACCAAGCGGTGTAATCAGCTGAAAGGAGACATTGTCGAGGCTCTACAATGTGTAAAGTGTTCTCTTCGTAACGAACTTATATTCCGGGAGCCTGGTCCCTCATCCCTTACAGAAGAAAGTGAAGATTCCGAACATGGGACTGGCGGGTTAGAAGTCAAGCCAGCAGATGATGAGGGGTGGGATACACTGATTTTGGAGGAGGAAGAGTCTGATGTTGATTCAGCAGACGACGATGAAGTACTGTAGGACTCGAGCGCTACTTATATTGAATTTCGAGTCATTTTGTTTTTGAAAGCCATTGTTGAGCCCAAGCCGAGCTGCGGCTTTGGCCTGGCTTTGGCCCACAGCTCGGCCTGAGGTTTTGCAAAGCCCAAGCCCCCAAAAGCCGAGCCCAAGCCAGGGCTTTCAGGCCAAGCCGGGCCCGCACATCACTAGCTAGAACAACAAAGTATATCTCAGTCTCTTGAAAATGGACTCTAGCATCAGCAAACTAGGGGGTCATTGTACAAGCTTGTACAAGCTTGTACAAATGGCACAAGCCCACAACAAAGTCCCTTCTTTACAAGCCTGTCACAAAGTATTACAATCTGTACAAATGGGCACAATGCAGACACATTGGACACATTGGACATATTGGACATATTGGACAATGTATGCAGACTTCGATAGACTTAGCAGACTTAGCCAGACTTAAACAATGTTAACAAACGAAACAATTGAATAGACTATGCAATGACAATGTAGCTCAAATGACTAGTGTTAAACCTTACTATATGATGATGTTGACGTCCTTGTCGCGCAAGCTACTGTCTGAATCATCGCGAGACCCATTCATCATCCCAAACTGAGCCCATTCCTCCAACATCTCCTCAAGTTCTCAACAACAATCAGGGATATCCATCAATGTATCAACAGATTTTTGTATGGAGTTGAAATCTGACCTGCATCTATCAGCGGACAGATCAGGGACCTTGTCTGTGCCGGTGTCACAGAAACCAGTTAGAACACCCTTAGCCTGTGGAGACTGATCAGCAGTGGGAACAAAATGAATTCAAACAATCATACAACTGCGGCCACAAGAATGAGGCCATTGACAGGAATTGAGCGTTGGAATTCGTCCATCAACTTCAGCGCTTTCTTACCGTTGCTGTAGTAGAAATCTTGGCACACATCGTGAAGAACCTGTGATATAAAGTTCTTATACTTGCCCTAAAAATCATTATAACAAGACATAGCCCAACGTGATCGTCACTAACCTCAGACGAGTCAGGAAGCCAAAGGTAGTCACCAGACTTGAGCAATTTAGACGCTGCTTCAGTAACACGTTCCTGCACCAAGTGCCCGCGTGTCACGCCACCTTTTGGAAAGATGCCATATAACTGTTTCGCAAGAGAGATGATGATTTTCTTGAGCTCTGTATGGAACGTAAACAGGTCGTTACAGAGCTGATCACTTGTCAGTTACTAATCATGTTCACAGACGGTTCTTTGTACTCACCAACCATGACATCTGGTCACGATATTCTGGAAAATATCCTAGAAACATCAGATTGTGATTACCTCCGACAATGTGGAGGGATATACCTCTCTCCAATCTAATCTTCTTTGAGTGGTATTTCCATAACACTGCATCTAGTGTTACGCTGACCGTCGGTCGGCGTGTGCGAACTAGGATAGGTCTTCTCAGCGACGACTCGAGTGAGTCTACTGAAGCTGAGGGTGGTTCTCGGCTTGACGGAACGTCAAGGGTTCCTCCAGTGATCGCGGTAAGACGGCGCTCGTTGAGATACAGGGCTAGCGGATACGGCTAAGAAGCGGGGAGCGACTTAGAAGTGCAGTCTTATGCAAGAAAGCTGGAAGGCTTAGTTGAACAAGTTCTGGGATGAACCTAGTAGATTAAAGTAAAGTCTAAGTACAATAATCTGTCTACTTATATGTGCTACATATAGGTATTCTAGCTCAGTCTGTAATCTATAGTATATCTAGGATCTATGATAACAAGACATGAGGTCAGATAGGGTACATGAGGCTTAACCTCTGATCAAGCATGCAGCGCCAAGTGCGACTGCGCATAGGTACAGGAGACGCCAAGAGCGCTCCGGATCTTCATGAAGTGACATGCTGTATACATGCGCTTGATCTAGGGTGACCATGAGGCGTACAGCCTCCATGGATCAGGTACAAGGCCATCTAGGCCAGGGGCGGGGTCATAGCGCCAGGGGCGGGGTCATAGCGGTCCAGACCGCTGTCTTTCTAGGTGCGGGCGGCGCACCGCCGCGCCGGGAGTCTAGCAGAGCGGGGGCAGGCGTAGGCAGAGCTGGGGCTCCTGTAGGTGTTACGGATGCCTGTAACATCTAGGACTTCTCGTGCAAGTTCTACAGCATCAAAGTGCTCTGGTATTGGATGCGTTAGTACAGCCTGCAGGCGCATTTCCAACTTTGCTGCCTGAAGAAATGCCTGCCAACATGGTGGGTAAAACCCTAACTTCGAAGGGTTTGATTGATTGTTGGTCCAATCCCCTTTGTGCTTGGGTTGGTCGCGCACATCAGGTGTAACACTATGAGATTGATAACGGCCTGAAGTAGGAGTGAGGGAAGGCACATGATCTGATTGACCAACATGACTAGGTGGAGCCTGTGATGAGGCACGCCCACGAGAGGGAGGCTGGGCGCGACTGGATGATGTGGTCGAACGACAAGGAGACGGTCTATGGGTGGAAGCACGAGAATCATTAGTGTGTGGAGACTTGGAGCGAGCAACCAGGGTTGATTGAGTTGGTGAGCGCTGATGAGGAGACAGTCTACGAGTGGAAGCACGAGATGCATTTGGGTTCAGAGACTTGGAATGAGCAACAGAAGGATGATGAGATCTATGAACAGAAGACTTTGTAAACAGCGCGTTTCGAGGCAAACACTGAGGAGACTTCATGTGACCAGATGGAGCACGTGTATTTTCAATAAATCAACGACGAGATGCCTAGTCAGGAGTGATTAGACACAAACTTTGGTAAAAATGAGAACTTACACGTTGGGATGTATATTGATGAGGAGACATTGAGTGAGCAGGTGCACGTGAGTATCTACGAGAGGACTACAGCAAGTCAGCATTTGCAAATTTCAAGGGTGATAAAAACAGGTTACACTTAATAGACAGCTCAGGGAAGGAGCCTTGCACCGTCCATTTTTTGCCTGGTGGCGCTCCAGGACATCAAAAACGCCTGGATCATCACGCTCGTTATCTGTTTGGACATCTGGGCCATGGTCTTGGTCTAATCCCATTGGATCATCGTCATCGTGATGCCTGTCATGGCATGCTTGCAGATCCTCCCTCGAATCTTGTTCATCTTGCTCGTCATCTTCCTTGTTGTCCTGTTCTTTGTCCTGTTCTTTGTCTTTCTTGTCATCTTGTTTGTCGTCTTTCTTGTCATCTTGTTGGTTGCTGTCATCAAAGTTTCTAGAAAAATCTTCATTGTCTTGGATGACGTTTTCGTGATCTAGTGAGTCTTGCTGTTTATGACTCCTTGTACCAGGTTCTGTAGCTCTAGTCTTCTGGCTGTGACCAGGCTGGGTCAGATCCCAACCATCAATAGCATATGGCACCTTGAATCCAAACCTGTCAGAACACTGGGCAGTGTGAAGAAATGGATGCGGAGAGTGAGCACGTTGGCATTCTGGCTGTGCAGCATTGGCCTTCACAGATGTCTTTCTAGGAGCCTGGAATACAGTTCATTGTTAGCTTAGTAGCTCGAACAGAAAACTTACTTTTTTCTTTCCTCTTGCAACTTGTGAAGGAGCCATCAGATTTTCTTCTGAATCACTGATTTCAACAGTGTTCTTCCTTCGCCTTGTTGGGGCCGCCATCACCATCTCACCAGCTTTTTGCAGCTGGGCTACATGACCTCCGACACCTCGATTGGATCATACACTTCGTCGTGCGGGCTCAGCATCCTCCCCAGAATTGTTGCATGGAGAAGCATGTCTGGCTTTCTTCCTGGGAGGCATTGAGTGGTGCTGGCGGTTGGCTGCAGCCTGCAGGCGTATTTCTGTACATTATAGTAAATATTTAATTACACAAGACAATTTGAGCGGCTTCAGAAATGAACGTTTGAGCATTGAGCGTACAAAGTCTAAGGAAAATCTAAGTACATAAAGTTCTGAGACCTGCTGCAGATATACATAGAAAGTACTTAATGAATATGTATGTCACTATTCGAGAAAATACTGTCTAGTTGTTTTTCTAGAAAGTTTAAACCTACCTCCTGCGTCGAGAATGACTGCTTGAAGCAGGCCGAGAAGGTGGGGGAGGGGGTGTGAACGATGAAGGGCCAGATGGCACCAATGAATGTGCAGGGTGGCTTATCCGGCTTGAACGACGAAGCTGCGGACCCCGAGTTGTGGCTGGAGAAGAAACAGAGGAATGCATCGGAGTAGCAGATGGCATTGGAAGTAGAGGGAGCAGTATTTCAGCAGGACTCGGAAAGCTGTCGATGTTATCCAACCCCCGTTGTATAATCTCCTGAATTTGGTCGTGAGAGATGTCTTTATTGTTGATGAGTGTGTCTCTAATCGCCATGCACCAGTCCTCGAGGATGGGGTAACATGCTTGGAAATATGGTGCAGGCTCATAAACCGGGGTTTTCTTCATTATGAACTCTTTCTTGAGGCTTCCGCTAATCCCAAGACCGTCTACGTCCATCATCATGTACACTTTATTCCATCTACAGGCGTTTTCGGGGGGTATCCCTCTGTTTGTGATTAGACCACCGGGCCCACCATATATAGTCATACATTTGAGGAAGATATAGAAGAGTGACTCAAGGTCATCGGAGGCCCTGTGCTCAACTGATTCAGGAGTGGGAATGCCTCCCATCAGTTTGAGAAGGCGACAGGATATGTATGGTATTGTTCCCTTCGAAAAAAGATAAAAAACGAGTACTACAGAAGATATCAATGTAAAACTTACCATTTCACATGAATCCTTCGCTTTACTGTTGAGTTGGACGAATTTGGCATGGTCAAAATCGATAAAGTAGCCTTTTCCCTCATATATGATGAGGTTATTGGGACTGAGATCTCCATGAAGAACCTTCCGCTCAAACGTCAGCGTTCTGTGGGCTACCAGTATCTGTCAGCGTAGATAATATTGATGAATACCAGGAGAACTCACCGACAACAAGGTCAAGAAAAACATTGACCAGCTCAGGTACAGACTTGAAGGTGGTTAGCAGGAGTCCGCAGGGAGTCAAAAGCATGCAACGGTGAATTTTGTTGGTGAATATAGGTGAATTTGGGAGGTGATCGTGAACATGCTTGCGAATGTTTGATGTACTGTTGACACGTCCATCGTATTCGACATCCCAATACTTTACTAGTGGACCACATTTGGAACACCATCAACTGCTTGAAGAAAGTTGACTTCGTGATCTATGATGTCAGCATCTACCCAACAGTCCTTCAATGCATACTCCTTCTTATTTTTGTCCTGGACCTGATAACAAACCATTCCACGTGAAAACAGCCCGCAAATTTTCCACAAAATGGCCAAAATCCAGTATACCTCACCCACATCATCTATAATCCAACCTATCGCTCCATTTGGCATGACATCAACTCCCCCTGGTACATTATTGTGAGGAATGCCTCAGCAAAGGGAGTTGCAAACATGAATGGTGGGATCGAGACCGAGAGCAGAGTGACTCGCTAGCATCATTGTGTTCAAGACATCAACAAAACGCACAGCATCTCGATTGATTAGGAGAGGTGCTGAGATTATCATGCCAGAATGGTCCAAGTAATAGGCACAAAGCTTCTTGTTCGCGATACTGAAAATAAGAATGAAACGGCACCACGGTTGTTCGTGTATGATGAGGTAGCATTTGGTCACAACCCCCAGAAATATTGGTATGTCCTTTCCCTCCACCAGTTCTGAGATGGTGATCTCTACTCCTGTCAGAACATATGCCCAACTCTTCTCGTTCCCATCGCGCTTCTTCAGCCTATAGTCCATAAGGACTAAATCAGGTTTTTTGGAATTGGTAGCATCCGGTACAGGAACAGTAGAGAACTCTGAAGACTAGTATCGTGATTCTGGTAGAGTATGGAATGGCAGTGAGCTCGACTTGGCTTTGACCCTGTTATGCATGTTGTAGTAGACGCTTCTGAAGAGGCGCTCCCAATTTTTTTCTGATGTCTTTACAGCCATGATTGGACGATTTTCCCCAGTTTGATATGATCTCTGCGACCAGCTGCCATCCGTCTCCAGCGTACCTTTGCCTTCATCTTCATCTTCATCTCCACCTCCATCTCCATCTCCATCTCCATCTCCATCTCCATCTCCATCTCCATCTCCATCTCCATCTCCATCTCCATCTCCATCTCCATCTCCATCTCCATCTCCATCTCCATCTCCATCTCCATCTCCATCTCCATCTCCATCTCCATCTCCATCTCCATCTCCATCTCCATCTCCATCCTCTCCATTGTCTTCTTCCTCTTCAGCTCCATCTCCATCTTCATCTTCATGTGCCTCTTCCTCTTCCTCCGCTTCTGTATCAGTCTGTGACTCCTGCTGATTTCTTTTCATCTTCTTCAGCTGACCAGAAAAAGGAAGAGTAAGCCTCCATTTTGGGTGAGTGACACCCCGTGGATTTATTAATACAGATGACCCATGCAGGATAAAACTGTCCTTCTTCTTGACATATCTAATGTCATTTATCTCTTGTATTTTGAGACTGGATTGCAGGATAAGGACATCGAGGATAGATGATGTCAGGCCTTGTATGCCCTCCTCCCACAGAACATGTTTACCACCCACTAAAATGCCGTCTGAACCCACCAGGAGCTCGTGCTTCATCAATTGATCCATGTCCGCCTGCTTCTGAGGTGCAAAGTCGCCAATGGCAGGGATAGAGCTAGTGACTATTGCAAGGAGATGGCTGAGCACAAAGGATGATGATGTTGATGCCATGGTGATCAAGTGAGTGTGATGCCCTATCTACAGTGAACAATGCTTGGGCCTCTTGCTAGTTTGCTTTGGGTCGTGGCACGTTGATTCTTTCTGCACAGCACAAGTTTGACCTAAATTGAGAACACAAATGCACAAAATTTCGACTTATCTCCATTATGATTGGTAACTTCACCACGCCTATGTAGGTAGACCCGGGTATCTAGTATGTATCTGCACTGAGGTAGCCACTATATTCTATGTATAATGGTAGCACAGAATATATGTATGAACAAATATGTATCTATTCACACTTATGTAAAAAAAGTGCCCCAATTCAATATATATGCAATGAACGAAGATATAAACCATAAGCCTCGAAGTCTACTGGGGCCGCAGAATTAGTACAAGTAGGCTGCTGATAGGCTGATGGTTATTGCAAAGTCGAGCTATGTGATGTCTGTAACAATCTCAATGATAATGAATTATAGCAAACACAAGAAATAAAGACTTACCACCGTGGGTTCTGAACGAGTGAATGTCACAATACCATTCTTCTTTCATTCCAAATGTATACACCCAACATTAAGATCTGCTGTCAATAACCTGGAATTTGCTGCCTGTGCACGATGGCACCAGATGCCGAGAAGCGTTGCTTGGTGTTCGAGGATGCAATCAGCCAGGTGCTTTTCGGCTTCGCACACTTTTTGTTTGGCTTTGGCTGCCGCGAGCGCGAGGTCAGAGTGGTCAGTTGCACCTTCAACTCCATGCAATAAATTATAGTTGAATTCCTGCTGAAGATGAATAAGATCAAAAAAATAAAAGGGGCATCTTACAAGGTGCATGCCAGAAGGAAAATCGTCTTCCACTCCCATATGGTGTCTCCGAGCTGTATTCAACACTTGCGGATCCAAATTTGAATGGACTTGGATGGGACTAGTTGGAGATGCACTGTTTTGCACACGACTGCACACAGAATGATGAGAGCTGGTAGAATTCATGGGATAGATATTGTACGACATAGGCATACCAGTAAGGTGTCAATACTGACCATGTGAAATCTTGACGATAACTATGTCAGTACCAACATGTCCAAATTGCGGGAAGACATTCACTAAGGACAGCAGTGTCACTTGCCATCTCAGTCAGCCCCAAACATCCTGTCATAGCTCCATCTGGGACATCATCAATATCTCACAGTTTGCCGAGGTAGAACTGCCATTGCGCCACGCTTCACCTCAAGCTAATCCAGAGGAATGGGCTGGTAGTATGCACAATTCGGACGACCAGGTGCATGCCAACTTTGATGTCGACTTCGATTTTGTCAACGATGCTTTTGGAGGAGCGGTATGAGGGTGCCAGGATGTGTTACTCTCAGGATGGCCCAACCTTTTTGGATGTCTTTGACGCCGATGAATATGCAGAGTATAGGGAGGACAACCTTTTCTACCCTTCCGCATCCAAGGAAGAGTGGGAAATCAGTGATTTTCTTCTTTGTTCATCCCTTAGTATGGCAGCGATTGATGTATTTCTGAAGCTTCCCCTGGCAAGTACCAGTCTTCGCACTCTGCAGAATTGATTCCAACCTTCACCCCCTGTTCAGATTCAAAAGTTACACCTTTCATTCAGCAACGCTAGGGAATTGCGAAGCCGTGCAGAGATGCTTCCTAGTGGACTGAGCTGGAAGTGTCAGATCATCCCCTCGACCCATCCCACAAAATATCCAATTCGATTGTTTTGGAGGGACCCTATCAAATGCTTGGAAAGTCTTTTCACCAACCCTCTCTTCCACGACAAGCTTGATTTTGTTCCTCGTTGTGTTTACACAATGGCAGCACATCTTATGCGGGTGTACTTGAAATAGATGACGGGTGATGCTGCTTGGGAAATGCAGGTACGTGCAGTATTTGTTTTTTTAGAAAACAAAATCTCAACACACCTCTTGTAGACTCAGTTTCCCAGAGGTGCTACAGTTCTTGGAACCGTACTGTCATCCGACAAAACCAATATAACTACCATGACTGGTGCTAGAATCGCTCATCCGCTTCTTCTGGGACTCACCAATATATGCATGTGTACTCACACAAAACTTTCATCAAAAGCTTTCCTACTTATGGCTCTTCTCCCTATCCCACATTACCTACACCCTAATAAATGCATGCGAGGTGTGCTTGAAGATCGCCTTATACACCAATGTCTTTCAATTGTTCTCCAGCCATTGATGAAAGCAGCCGAGGTTGGAATCATGATGTCTGATCCGGTTGGAAATGTTCAGCACTGTTTCACTCCTCTCGCAGTGTACATCGTCGACACCCCAGAGGCAGCTATGCTTGCCTGTGTACGCGGGAAGACCTCTCTGTTTACCATGGCTTCTTATCTGCAGTTCGGGGATAGTTTTTGGCATCCCTCTCATACTCGCTCTATCACACTTGATCAGCTCGACAGCATTACAGTCGATCCCAATGATCTTGAGGCATATTTTGACACCTGTGCTGAATACCGACTAAACGGTGTTTGTGCACCATTCTGGATAAACTGGCCACTCACTGTCCCTCGATCTTTCTGATGTCAGAAGCCCTGCATCATTGGCACAAGGAGTTTTTCGACCATGACTGCCAGTGGTGTCTAACAATTGTGGGTGCCTCAGAACTTGATTTCCAGTTCTCGATCCTACAGCCCATCACAGGTTACTGTCACTTTGCTGGTGGAATCTCAAAGCTCAAACAAGTCACTGGCAGAGATCACCATGATATCCAATGCTACATTGTTGGCCTGATATCTGGTGCAGCCCCTCATCGTTTCATCATTGCAATTCGTGCCCTCATGGATGTTCGATATTTGGTGCAGTCCCCTACTCCTAATGATGACTTACTGGCAAGTATTGACCGGGCCCTTTCGACCTTCCACGAACATAAAGATATTATTCTGACATCAGGTGCGTGAATGGGAGCCAAGAAACCTATTGATAATTGGTTTATTCCTAAACTAGAACTCCTCCAGAGTATCACTTCTGGCACGTGCAATGTCGGCACTCTCATTCAGTGGTCTGCAGATGTGACTGAGCATGCTCATATTTCAGAAATAAAAGATCCCACACGCTGCACCAATAACAATGACTATGACCCACAGATCTGTCGACATCTAGATCGAGATGAGAAGCTGCGACGTTTCGCAATTGCCATGATGCTGAAGAGTCATCACGTGTACTGTGATCCCAATGACAGGCCCAGAGAAGTCCCTGAGGATGAGGACAAGCAGGAGGAGGAGCCAATTGATCCCGACGAGCAGGAACCTGACGATCCACAGACTGCACTTCTAGAACAAATGAATCACACACGTGTCACCATGAACTACTTCAGTAAAGCAAGGCAAATCATAACTGTGAGGGATAGAGCTATTCCTCACCCTCCTCAAATGTTTATTGCTGGTGGTACTGCCATTCACCTCAACTACACTTCTTCTTGCACCAGAGTTGGTGTTGATGATGTTGCTACTGATTTCAATATACCAGATTTGCGTGTAGTGCTTTCAGAATTTTTGCTACATGATGCGAGGGAGAGAGGAGCAGTTCACATGGTGGGGGGTCCAAGAAGAAGGCCATTGATCGACTGTCCTCCTATCCTTCAATTTGACCGTGTTCAACTATGGTATACTGTCCGCCTTCAGCAAATGTCTTTTCACAATTCTAGGGTCACATTGCCAGCTCAAACTGTACATGCATCTCCTCCTGGCCCTGGGTGGCCAAAAGGCTGAAAGGACGCTGTCCTTGTCAATGTCAAAGAAGGGTTTGTTTGGCCCGAGTCAGGTCTGACAGGTGAGATTTTTTTTATCAATTTGAACATATACAAACTTTGATGCTTTGAAGGTCACGTGATATGTGAATTATGTCTTGTCATGCGTCCAATTTGTCAAAGAGGTGCTCGCATCACTTGGAGAGATCAGTATCTGTGTTATGTGCAGGGTCTGACCATTGGTTCGGTCGATCCTGCCACTCAAATGGATACTCTGAAATGTACCAAGTATGCTGATGGCACACCCGTTGGTAATATTGTTCCCCTGCATCAACTTCATTCATTTATCAGTGTTATCCCTCAGCTAGGGGATGCGGCTGATGCTCAACTCACGAAGGCAACGTCTATGTACTATTCTGAATTGTTTCTTCTAAACAAGTACTTCAATAAAGACTTCTATTATGCCCTCTATTACGCTTCACGTCGGCAGTAGTGTATGTACATTGTTTACATACTTCTTTGTGTACTTGTCTGGCTTTGTATCACATTGTCGAGTTTGTGAGCCTTGTCACCTTGTGTGTTTGTGCATTTGTAATATTGTATGGCTTTGTTATTGTTGTGGTACCTTGTCACCAAATTGTTAGTTTGCTGATGTAACATTGTATGTACCTAGAATGACAAAGTATCTAGGTCTCATTAGCTTTTGTAAATGATAGGTAGAGCTATGTACTCACATCTCATTCTCTTGAAAACAGACTGAGATGTTCCTATGAAATGTGAACTGTTTTAAGTGTGGATGGAATAGGAATGAAAATTTTAGCAATATATTGAAACATATGAGCCGATGTCAAGCATCGCTTGCTCTGCTCTTTTGGTATGTGCTCGAACTGTCCTCTCTCCTCATCGTCCCAATATGGGATCTCTTGGCTAGCTACTCATTGGATCTCTCGGAGTCCAATACTCCCCCTTGAGCAGATTCCAAACTCATTAAGCCTTGAAGCTTTTGAAGGCATGGACATAGTAGGGCTTTAGTGAAGCCATCTGCGAGATTGTCATCTGTTGGGCAATACGTCAAGTGAAGAGTGTTGTCGTGGATAAGGGCACAAATAAAGTGGTAATGAATTGAGATATGCTTTGTACAGGATTTGAACTTGCTGTTCGAGGCAAGTACTATGGCTGCCTGGTTGTCACAATACATGGGAGTGGGGAGACAGACATCTTCATAGAGTTCCTGGGTAAGGTGCTGGAGGTACAGTATCTCTCATGCAACACTCATCAGAGCGATATACTCAGCTTCTGCGGTGGATAAGGCTATCAGTGGCTGCTTGCAGGAGCTCCAAGCTACCAGTCCTCCATTCAGCATGACAACATACCCGGAGATTGAGTGCTGGTGAGATTGTGAAGCCCAATCTGTGTCAACAAACACCTCAAGGCCTCCATCTGTGGAACTGAGCATGAGCTCAAAGTTCGAGGTGCCTTTCAGGTAGTGTAGCACCCGTTTAGCAGCCTCCCAGTGCGCTCTGCCTGGATTTTGCATAAATTGCGATAGAGTGGCAACAGCAAACACAATATCTCGCCTGGTGCTGGTGGCTGCATACATCAACAAACCGATGACTTATTGGTATGGGATGTTGCTCATTGCCTAGAGTTTAGCATGCGTTACAGGGCACTGCTTGGGAGTCAGGACGGTGCTGGAGTCCATGGGTGTACTCGTGCTCTTAGCATCTGAAAGACTAAAACACTCGAGAATGGTCTCAATGTAAGCCTTTTGGGAAAGTGTGATAGTGTGGGCCACATGGTCTCAAGTAACTTTAAGGCCCAATAGCCAGCTTAATTTGCTGAGGTCTGATATTTCGAAGTACTCCTGAAGCTGAGATTTGAAGCATTGAATGTGAGAGATGTGATTCATGGTAATGGCCATGTCATCGATGGAGACAGTGATAACAACGTGTTCATCCTTCATGCATTTGAAATACACAGCCTGATCCACTTGTGAGTGTGCAAAGTGTTACGACAAACGGTCAGTGTGCGACTAGGATGATCTAAACAGCGACAACCACGACAGTGGTACCGAGTGCTGAGAGTCGTCGGCCTTTACAGACAAGCAAAGGTTGCGTACTCGAACGTAGCTCGTGGTGGTTAACGAGGGGTTACGCTGAGATGATAGCGGTTTACAGACAGTGAGAGGCGTCACTGAAGGTACGAGTCGATGTCGAGCAAGTAGCTTTAGCGGGACAAGGAGTTCAAGGGTAAACCTAGTAAGATTAAAGTAAGGAACAGTCTACTGTTAATCTTCGACCTTATATAAGGCTACTCTTCGTATCTAAGCTCAGCCTAAAGCTGGGTTCTAATCTGCTTATCTACATGAGTCAGAGATAGCGTCCATGAGGCGGGCTTCTATCGTAGATAGGATCCACATGGTATCCTTCTATCAGTACATGAGGCAGCGCGAGGCTTGCCTTCTATCTTCTATCAGTCCATGAGGCAACACGAGGCTTGCCTTCTATCTTGATAACATTAATAGGTCTTCTAGACCTATGTCGTCATGTATCGTCACGTGCGGTCCAGACCGCTTATCTAAGCCGGCAGTTGCCGCTTATCGTCTATCATCTTCTATCGTCGTCGTCGTCATCTGTCGTCACAGAGCTGGTGAGACTCCGCTATCATCTATAGCCGTGCGGTGGCAGAGGGCTGTCTGCTGGCGGGGGACTCGTGCCATGTTACTGTAACATTACCCCTCTACTAGCGTCAAAGTCACTGACTTTGATTATCCTGTGTTCTTCGTCAGCTTCCATCACCGGAGGTGTTGGTGTGGAGACGGCTGGTACAGAGGGAGTTTCTGGTTCGGGCGAGGGCGGTGCTGGGTGTCTGAGCGTGAGGTCTGCGAGCGCTTTGTGGTTATGCTCCCAATCTAAGAGAGCTTCGAAAAACTTCTCTTCATCTCTAAACTCTTGGAGTACAATGCGTCCATTGAGTTGAGGGCAGTGGACCGACAGATGGTCAGGTCCTAGTTCATCGCAAATGCAACAAACATAATCTGGACACTTCCTGAATGAGTGTCCGTATCCTCCGCAACGCTTGCAGAGCGTGGTACGGGTACGATCTATGGTGGCCGCCTTTCGTCTCAGCGGGCGCACCGGTCGGGATCTTTCTTCAACATGAGGCCTTGCCTCGACTGTTCTGACAGCTTGGTTCGCGATGTCTGGGAAGTCGAGCGGAAGGAGGTGAAGCGCGAGTACGCGAATCCTTTTCTGTAAATGAAGCACGGCAAGTTTCTTCGTGCCTTCATCGAGGTCATCACGATTGGCTACGTCTTCCAGCAGCTTCGTGGTACGGATAATGCAGACAGCAAGGGATGTCCCTGCACCGAGTCTGGTGTCTTGCTCGCCAAGGATGTCGTCGATCACTTGGGAGTACATGGGGGTGAGAATAGCGGTTTCGCTGAATGCGTTGTTCTCAATCGTCTTAAGGATTCGTCCGTAGTCGGAGTCCTTAAGTGCAATGCGGATAGTTTCTTCTTCAATAGAGGTCGTCATGATGTTGGGAGGTTTCTGGGGAAGGATGTTCTTGGGAGAGGCCTTATATGGCATTCCAGATCGTTCCAAGCTCCGCTTGATTTCTAGACTTATCTTTTGTCAAGTTCTTCTATCGTTATCTATCTAGCCATGAGGCTAAGATCTTCTCGTTATCGGGACACGAGGGGTGGTTCTTCGCTATCAGAGGGGAGGTGCCGTGATAGGTACGATCTTCGTTAATCCTTTGTTTAATCAGGATCAAGGTTCGTCATCATCAGAGGGTGGTAACCATTGCCATTGATGGTATCTGCTTCGATCTCTTTGTTTGATCAGAGTCGAAGTCGTTCTAGAGGGTTCCGAGGGCTTGCAGGAGTTTCCAGGGAGTTCGTCTCATGATAGTTTAGCCTCGTTCCGGAGGATCGTCTTCTTATCTTTTGTTGAGATCTATCATGATCTATCTGGATGTCGAAGGGGGGTTCTGTGGATAAGAGATCCGCGGGCTTGCAGGAGTTTCCGAGGGTTCGTTCTTTCTCCGGTTCTTCTTCTTTATCTTTTGTTGTTAAGATCTTTCGGATCTATCTAGATATTGAAGGTCATCTTCTTTTAACCTTTTGTTGATATAATCTTTATTGGGTGAGAAGGTTCGGGGTCCAGGCATAGGTGCCAAGGCTTTTGCAGGAGTTTCTTGGGGTCGTCTCGTGAGGAGGGGTCTTCTTAATCTTTGTTGAATGAATCTTCATTGATTGTCGAAGGATCGTGGATAAGGGGTTCCAGGGCTGTAGGAGCCGTTCGGGGAGTTCGTCCTTTCTCCTAGTTTTACGTCATCTCGGACAATCGTAGTTTAACCTTGTTCCGGAGGATCGTGCAGTTTAAACGTCATGCTGGACAGTCATAGTTTATTCTCTTTGCGGAGATTGGTGCAGTTTAAAGCCATGCCGGGCTCACGCGCAGTTTAAAGCCATGCCGGGCTCAGGTCGAAGTCGTCATCAGATGTTCATATCAGAAGTAGTCAGGAAATGGTATTCGTGGTGGGGGGTGTCGTGCGTGAAACGAGAATAAATCAGGGATTTTACCCCCTCAATAAGCCGTTTAGTCTACCATGACTAATCATCTTCTAAAAATCGAGGCCGTCGTCAGGGCCTTCGTATTCAATGTCGTTTCCTTCGTCATCAACCATGCGCCAGTTGTGCGTCGATGGTTCTTCTAAATCCAACCATATATTTTCAATGGGATTGGAAGCAGGGTGTGGCGCGTAGAGCACCCGGGGTTCGGAAGCGAGCGTTATTGCTTCTTCGCTTCGGTCATCGTCAGATTCCATATCTGTGAAGCGGATAAATTGTGGTCCGACTTCTTCTTCTTCCTTCTTTACAAGACGAGCGAATTCGTCAGGGTCATCCTTTTGCAGAGCCTTCAGGCGGTGGGCCTTGTTTATAATACGAACACGTTCTATGAACATGTCGAAGTCTGAGTCAGATTCGGGTGCGGGTTCCCGGTGTTGCATCATTGCATCAATGTTATCAGCGGGGATCTCCGTGGAAGGTATCGAGAGATTCAGGGAATTCGGGATGGGGTTTTCATCGGCTGTGTCAGTATCATCAGCCGGGCTTTCGTAAAACCTGAGTTCCTTGGCTTCAGGTGGTTCTGCCGTCGACACGGCTCTTCCTTTTCCGAGAACGGAGATCGGTTCTCCGGAAAATTCAAATCTAGGGGTCTGGGTTTTCTCTGGTTCAGGGGCCAGTCTGGGTGCCTTCGAGATAGGCGGTTCTTCTGTCATAACTGCACGTCCTTTTCCGAGGACTGATGCAGGCTCCGCCGAGAACTGATAAGGTTCAGGAGTCTCTTCTTTCATCGGCTGAACAGCCGGTCCGATCTTCTTCGCAGGTATTTCAGGGATGATATAGTCCGTGATTACCGCAGGTCTTATGACCTTCTTCTGAGTTGTCTCCGGATCAGTGGCCGGTCTCTTCTGCTCAAATTGTTGTGCTGCGAGGTCAATACGAGGCAGCGAATCTTTCTTCACGATCGTCGTTGATCGTGGTGCGGGAGTAGGGAGTTTCACGGATGGCAGGTTTCTGTGCCGTTCCTCAAGAACTGGTACAATCTTTGTCGTTGGTGCCAAGCTCATAGAAGCGAGGCCACCAGAGAAGGCACGGGGAGTGGTCGGGGAAACGGACCTTTTCCTTTTCTTCTGAGCGCCCTTCTTTTCTTCTTTCTGGAAGAGGGGCGTTTTGCCGTTCTTCTTCCAATCGGAGTCTATCTCCTTTTCTTTCTTTCGGGAATCTACGGTGCTCTTAAGAGTCACTGTGCCATTCGTCCAGTTGATAGCGGGGTTGTGGCTGATAAGCCAGGGTTGTCCAAGCATGAGCTTCTCTTTCGGAGTAAGCTCTGCGAGGTAGAACCGTTCGGTACATACCCGTTCATCTATTTGGAAGGAGAGGGTGCAATACCTCTCAATCAACTTCTTTCCAAAGCTGGATCCATCAGCATTAGAGAGCGTGAAAGGCTTCTCTAGCTGGTGCGACGAGATTCTGTGCTGCGTGCAGAAGTCCTTATTTACGAAGGACTGGCACGCCCCTGAGTCGACGACCATAGATGTCGCGATGGGGGTGTTTCTCATTCTGGTCATCAGGGTGGCATTCACCCGTAGTTCGTTCTTCTTAACTCCGGTCTCTTTGATAGAGTTCAACTGGAGGTCTTCTTCGATCATCTTTCTCCGCGGGGTTCTGGGCCATTGTGGGCAGCCCGCGGCTTTGTGGCCAATGACGTGGCATACAAAGCATCTTTTCTCGTTCAGGTAGATACGAGTTTCTTTTCCCGTAAGGTGGGAAGCAGCCAGGGTGTTTCGGGAAGTTGCCATATTGGAGATGGTTATCTTCGATCTTCGTAGTGTTCCGAGCAGGAAGTCTTCTACTGTGACAGCGGTTCTTATATTCTTGCGACTGGTCAGGCCGGTACGTTTCGGGGTTTCTTCTACAGATCTTCGGTAGCGTTGAAGATAGGTACGATCAGGGATCTGGCGTCACAGATGGGTGACGTGCGAGTTGAACTTTAATCTTTTGTTGCGACAAACAGTCGTGTGCGACTAGGATAATCTAACAGCGACAACCACGACAGTGGTACCGAGTGCTGAGAGTCGTCGGCCTTTACAGACAAGCAAAGGTTGCGTACTCGAACGTAGCTCGTGGTGGTTAACGAGGGGTTACGCTGAGATGATAGCAGGGTTTACAGACAGTGAGAGGCATCACTGAAGGTACGAGTCGATGTCGAGCAGGTAGCTTTAGCGGGACAAGGAGTTCAAGGGTAAACCTAGTAAGATTAAAGTAAGGAACGTCTACTGTTAATCTTCGACCTTATATAAGGCTACTCTTCGTATCTAAGCTCAGCCTAAAGCTGGGTTCTAATCTGCTTATCTACATGAGTCAGAGATAGTGTCCATGAGGCGGGCTTCTATCGTAGATAGGATCCATGAGGCATCCTTCTATCAGTACATGAGGCAGCACGAGGCTTGCCTTCTATCTTGATAACATAAATAGGTCTTCTAGACCTATGTCGTCATGTGTCGTCATATGCGGTCCAGACCGCTTATCTAAGCCGGCAGTTGCCGCTTATCGTCTATCATCATCTGTTGTCATCTATCGTCATAGAGCTGGTGAGACTCCGGTATCGTCTATAGCCGTGCGGTGGCAGAGGGCTGTCTGCTGGCAGGGGACTCATGCCATGTTACTGTAACAGCAAATAACCTCTGTCCGAACCCAAACCTGCTTATCCACACTTTCCCATGCATCGGCTGCATCGGACGCGCATTCCCATGCTTCGGATACCTCGGAAGTGCACTAGGAAAGTCCCTCACCCATCCATAGTCCGTCCAAACCCCATTGGTATGTGAATTTCCTTACCTCGAGGCTTGTAAAATGTGTTGCAGCCTTATTACATGTCCTTACATATTTACTATATTTCCTATCCCTTCCTTCTCCGAGTGAGAGTCTAGACAGTATAAGTTGACTACTACTTAGGACTACTTACTACACTTCCCTCGTACTGTATACCTCTCCCTATAGGTTTACCTTTGAAGTAGTCCCTTGTAGTGCACACTTTTTAGCCCCTATTAGGTCCCTATACCTCTCTATACCTAGACTTTCCTTACCTCGCAATATACCTTTGCCCTCACTCTCTCTAAACCTCGTTCCTTGACATTCCCTATACCTTGTCTGCACTTTCCTGCGCTTTCTGCACCTTCAGCTGTGCATTCACGCGCTTCGGATAGCCTCAGATACATTCCCACACCTCGCGCATTCCTTGTCCACTATTTTCCCGCGCTTAATGTGCTCTCGGGTCGCACATATCCATCATTGTTGTAGCACTCGAGCTCGCACTAGGCTTGTATTCAGCTATTTTCCCATGCATGTCAGATACACGAATCACTTCCAATGTTATCCGACACTCATCCGCACAATCCGATGTTTATCCACTAAACCCGACGCTAACCCGCTAAACCTGACGCTAACTCGCTAAACCCGACGCTAATCCGACGGACCCGACGTTTCCCGCGCATCGGACCTGATGTTTTCCCGCGCACTTGTCCTCCCTATGTCTTGTTCCTGTCGTATCTATCCCCACTAGGTGCACAGTTATTCATTTTCACGTCGCTAACATTGTAGAATGCATTATTACATGTCCGCAGTACATCGTGTCTTATTACATAGGACATTGGACCCGAAAATCAGTGCTACTACTTTCGCCTATAGCACTCCGAAATTCTACATAGATACTATATATTTCACATACCTCCTACCTATTTACTTTACCTTTCTACCTCCAAGTAGGAGGAGGTCATCCGATATTTGTAGTTCTTAGTTGGATTCCGCAATATCATCCTTTCTTTATCTGAAACATCTGACAGTAACCCGCCATTCGCTATCCCCGACATTCACTATATTCCCGACGCTAACCCAATGCAAACCCAACGAAACCCGCTAACCCGAAACCCGAAAACATCGGACCCAACGTTTTTGACATCGGACTCGTAATTATACCTTCGGACTTTGTTTCCCGCGCTTCAGACTATCTTCCTTTTGATATAGCTGATTATTCTAATACCAACAGCAAGCCCCTCGGGTCGAACGCACTTGTCTTGCAAGTAAAGCAGACTAGGCTGTGCACGACCACAACACATTTTATATTGCTAAACACTTACTTCGTGTAGTGTCCAGCAATTGTTGTATCTCTACATCGTTCTAGTAGCAATTCCCTTTAGGGTCAAACACGTCTGTATAGACATAGCAGCTAGGCATTAGCTTGACCCAACCTTTTCTTGCCACCCAGCAAGATTGTTGTTTCCACACCACTCCCCCTCATTGAGGGCAGTGTAGTATCCAGGTGGTGGGTGGACTCTGGTGATGTGTGAGGCTGCAGAAGGGTCTGGTAGCATTTTGTGGGTTCTTGGAGGCATGGTTGGTGGTTGTGAGGGTGTGGTCGCTGGTGTTGCCTGGCCAAATAGATTGGGTGGTTGTACTCCCCCTTGGCTGGCACATCCACATAATACAGTGAATCATTTCCAAACCTACAGGACAGCCCACCTTGACATTCCTCCATATGCCTTGGGTCAACCCACCATGGGCCCACATTGTAATATTACCCCTACCCCAGGGCAGGCCCGTCCCATGATATTGTTACCCAGGCCCCCTGGGTGGGCTCAGGTGAAAATATTCTCTGAGACTACAGGGTCGGCCTGTGATATACATTTTGTAGACTACAATAATGTATAGGTTAGTATATATATACTCACCGACACTCCAATTTCGGCAACATCATAGCATCAGGAATCAGCAAAAACTGATCACTGTCACTAATAGATATATTTCTGGGTCCGCCGATAGATACATTGCCGGATCCGCTAATATGGGTACTGCAATCACCCAGTCAAGACATGGGTGACCCCATATGAAGAGATCACATGTTTTAGCTTACACAGACAACCTCATGTCAAACCACAAGGATTGTCAAATAAAATGACTGATGGGAATGATCGCCAACACATATACATACTGTTTGTCCCTGTTCATCACTGTTTCCGATCTGCATCATCCATCACACCTTCACCTCTATCAGGTCATCCATGTATGAACAAAGAATCATTGTGTACTAAATGGCCCTGCACCACTTAGCCTCGGTGAGTATTGACTTGTACTGCCAATGGGAATGATCGCCGACACATTCCTAAACCTTTTGTCCATATTCATCACCCTTTCTCATCTGCATCATCCATTACATCTTGACCTCTATCAACATTAGTATGTAAACAAAGAATCATTGTGTACTAGATAGCTCAGCACCGCATAGTGTTGGTGAGTACAGACTTGTACCTCACATAGTTGACCCAGGGCATACCTACAAATTCATGTACATCATCCCTCATATACCAAATCCATGCTATTCTATCACCATCCACTTCATCCATCCCATGCCTCACTATTCGTCCGGAAACAGCTGCCATGACACTGGAATTATATACAATCTCGATTCCAATATTAGGCATCCTCATCCTCCCCATTCCATAATTGCCAACACTGGTCATGCCATTGAACCATTGTGATTGGGACAGTGGATTGCGGTGCAAAGGCGAACACCGGTTGCACATCACAGCGAGTGTGGTAAACACCGATGCCCAGTCTCTCAGACAATCAATTATTTCTTGCAATTGTTTGTCCACCGCCCAGAGGCCAAGGCCTAATGCTGTCCCTAATGATGACCAATATAGGTTCGGGTGCATGACTCTCAATGCTGCAGCAAAGAGGGCCGCCGGTCTTTGTATTGCTAGACACAATCCACTATCACTTTTGAGCGTTGCCGAGACCTCTGGATGGAACTTAGGAGACTAGGCATAATGAGAATGGTGGTGTTAGACTTGTGGCTAGGAGCTCTGACTCACTGGATGGGCTTGCAAAAACCATGCCAGGGATAAATTAATGCACCCCGGTGTAGTACCACTACTACTAGGACAAAAGTTGGGTTCATGAGTCCTCCATTTCTCTTTGTTTTCCACACGCATGATACTTTTTGCCAGCGGGGATGACATCCTTTCAGTGGCACATATCATGTCATGCTGATATTGTCAGCATAATCACTATCGGCAGATCTATGGCACTAACCTGAATTGCAGGATCTATGGCACTGGGAAGGTACCACATTACAATTATACCATACTTGTCAAGGACCACCATTGGCCGATCCAGCAGGATTTGCATATCCGGTGGATATTTGGTCAGGAGGTATGCTTCATGTTCCACTTTGGTGCCCTTTTCTGTGGCTTGAAGTGCATCTGCATACCTTGCCATATCAAAATTAAGAGTGACTAACATTGGTACAATTCAGAACCAGCATGAAACTAACAAGGGAATCATACCTGGATTGCGATAAGCATCAGCAAGCTTCCTTGAAATGTTAGAGCATGCCGCTAGCATCACAAAATCAAGCTCAAGTGGGGGAATGATATTTGGCATGCCAGCAATAAGGGCAGAAAATTGGGAACAAATATATTCACTCGCAATGTGAGTGATGGACAAAGCCCAATCAGACAGAACTGGGTTCATGGGCTCCTAATGAGATGAACATGAATTTCGAGATATATATAAGCGGGATTCAACTCATTATGTAAGGTTGGGGGCGTTGAATTAAACACGTGGAAGACACGCCAATCAAGCAAGGATGGATGTAATAATCAATGCCTGCTACAGCCTGATAATTACATTGAGATAAAGCTGTGAACAAAACTGTTATGTAAATGGCAAAACTGATACAGTAATGTCAAGCATTATCTACTTCTGGGGTCTGGAGCCAGACACCGACTCGCTGAAAGAATGTCGGGCAACAGGAGAGGAACTGGCAATATTTTCATTGCCAGCACCTGTGACAGGAATGGAAGACGGTCCAGAACTTCCATTCACACTTGAAGGACAGGCAACACTACTTGGGAGGTTGAGATACAAGCCTTCCATGGCTTGCACCTGGCCCATACTGACAGGAATTATGCTTGGGTGCGCTGTGTAGGCACCGTTCGGAATGAACACTATGTTGGGAAAGGGGTGAGGATTGGATGCCAGGGCATGTTGGTGAAGACTTTCATATCCATCCTGGAGGACGTTCCGATAATGTTCCTAATTTGTTAATGTTTGCTCCATGGCCTACAGTTCCTCATCACAATTCGCCAATTCTGCCTGCATCAGCTTGACATTACGTTGCAGAGCTGCTACCTTGGCATGAAGATCATTCACTGCACGGAGATCACCTTCCTGCTCCTCAAGACGTTTGTTCAAGGCAGCAACAACGTCAGTGGTGATGGAGTTACAGGCATGTAATTGTTCAACCTCAGCCTGGAGGGTCTGTACAGTGTCCCGGAGGCCATGAATAGTGTCTCAGAGACCATCAAATGTATCAGGGAGGTTGTCTTTGTTCACAGAGAGCGCCACAGGAACATTGACAGCCTCCAGTGTCATTGCCTTCAGGTCAGTTACCACCTCATCTCCCAACAAATTGATTTGCATATCTGCTGGGATTGGCAATAAAGAGTCAGTGAGTGAACCAAGTATTGGGGACAATGATGGAACACTGCGGACTGGAGAACCTTGATCAGGGGACACAGCACACACCACTGAACCAGAAGCAGAGGCTCTGGTGGATCCTTCTTCAACAAGCATATCTGCAATGGTTAATAATTTTACATTGTTAGATTTGTAAACAATCTTACCATCATTTGCTGCGGGACATTGCATACAGGACCGAACTCGGTGTCCCCGCTTTGTCGGCGGTGGTGGTATGTTTGGCTTGCACTGGCCCTCACTGTTACGCTGACTGTAGGTCGGTGTGTGCGAACTAGGATAGGTCTTCTCAGCGACGACTCGAGTGAGTCTACTGAAGCTGAGCGTGGTCTAGCCTTGACGGAACGTCAAGGATTCCTCCAGTGATCTCGGTAAGACGGCGCTCGTCGAGATACAGGGCTAGCGGATACGTGCTAAGTCATATGGGGGCGACTTAGAAGTGCGGTCTCACACAAGGAAGCTGGTAGGCTTTAGATGAGCAAGTTCTGGGGATGAACCTAGTAGATTAAAGTAAAGTCTAAGTACTATAATCTGTGTCTACTTATAGGGAAGTACTACAAGTATTCTAGCTCAGTCTGTAATCAATAGTATATCGTAAATCTATGATAGCCAGACATGAGGTTCAGATAAGATACATGAGGCTTAACCTCTGATCAAGCATGCTGCGCCAAGGGCAGCTGCGCATAGGTACAGGAAGCGCCAAGCGCGCTCCGGATCTTCATGAAGCGCCATGCGGTATGCATGCGCTGATCTAGGGTGTTCATGAGGCGTACAGCCTCCATGGATCAGGTACAAGGCCGTCTAGGCCAGGGGCGGGGTCATAGCGCCAGGGGCGGGGTCACAGCGGTCCAGACCACTGTCTTTCTAGGCGCGGGCGGCGCACCGCCGCGCGGGGAGTCTAGCAGAGCGGGGGCAGGCGTAGGCAGAGCTGGGACCCTAGTAGGCGTTACAGATGCCTGTAACACTCACCGCCAGACTTTGCATGAGAACATTTGTATTTCATCCTGGCACACCAGCCACAGGCTTTAAGTACTGTGCTGGTGGCCCCATAGCCCTGCCAACAAATAACAGAGCTAGGAATATGAAGCATTAACACATCGGTGAATGAGCTTGGGTGAAACTTACAATTTCACACAAATATTGCAAGGAGGTTCCAACATTTTACCATCATCTGACTGCAAACGGTGAGTTCTGTAAAGTGAGATAAGGGACTACATACTTACCTCATTCATATCATCCTGTGATGTATCTATGTTTGAGTCCATGGGTGACTCAGCAACCTTGGATCTCTTTATGCTCTGGGCCAGATCAGCATTGGTACATGAGAATGTCATGTATAACAGGGGCTTGCCAACATACCGGCAATTCTAGGGCAGGGACAAAATTAACCCATGGGCCCCCAAGAGGTTGATGGTTAACTGGCGTGCAACTTGGGCTTGTATTCCTTCTCCTCTTTTGTACACCACTGCTCCACCCTCACTGTGACTCCAGGTCCTCTGCCGGAGCCTGAATAGTTTGTACATCCTTTGTCTTTCCCTTTGTCTTCACGACTATCATACCTGTCGGTGCCGCTGGTGCCTGGACCAAGGGCTCACTGGCGGCGGGAATGATTTCTATTTCATCATCATCCAAACACAACTCTTCCCCCTTCTTTTTCATTGGCAGAGGTCAGGGCTGTGGCTTTGAACGGGAGGGGCCACTGGCAGTTGGCGGCATTGGCATCATTGTGATACCAGCCTGTGCATTGGATGGCGTGACCGGCGCCAGGGTGATGAACTCGGTGAAGCAGCGAGCCTTCTCCTTTAAGGGATGCTTCTGAATCTGAGTGTCGTCCGATCAAATGTTTGTCCACACCGGTGTAGAGACTGACATCTCTGTGGCCTTGTAGAGAGCTAATTCTACAACGCCCTAATCACCTTCCAAACACAGCGCGACCTGTATCTCATTTCTGCGCACTTGGCGCTTCGTTGGCCGCTCACGCATTCAGGTGCTTCAGTCGCGCATCAGCGCATGTATCCTCAGTTCCATCGCTTGTCCTCCATCCATCCATTCCATGTCCATTTGGTTCGTCGGTGCGTATTCCTATCTTATTCTCATGTATTCTGACATATCTCCGGCGCTTGCGCACATATCCTGTATGTTTCGTCACAGACCCTTATTACATATCATCACGTACTCGCTTCGCTTTCCTGCTCGCTTTAGCGCTTGACAGTGCTTAACGCTACTTAGAATATATATACCTTTGCCTCTATGTATAATGATTATCTTCTTCTTCCCGCACATCGTTGGACTCTAAGTCTGAATTCTCCGTCATATCCACCAACCGACAGTAGAGCGCTTTAACGCGCCCGAGTGCCAGTCTTCATATTCTTATATATGAACATCATCTTACCCGTTTCCCAACTCACCTAAGGATCGCTGCACTCCACCACCTGCACGCGCGCTTTGCTCTCACTCAGTGCGCGCCATCGCACTTGTCGCTCAGTAGCACTTTCGCTTATCGTGCTTCACTCATCGTCGTGTGCCTCACCAGGCTTATCCGACAGCCCAGTTGAGTGTTTCCCTCCACTAATATATATAGAGGAACCTTCTCAGTAGCAATCCCCTTGGGCTGACATTAGATTCACGCACAGAGGACTATCTGAGTATATCTCATACCACCCACTTTCTATCATTCTACATTCCTCACCTACAACTGGAGCCCACCGTGAGGAAATCATCTGAGAAAGCCGGTAGGGTACTCAGGCCTACCAAAGACCGCGTAGCAAGAAATAAAGCCTTAGAAGAATTTAGAAGAGTGGTCGCCTCTTCTCGCTTATCAACCATTCAGGAAATTTTGACTCCGGTTAAGCACAATCGCCCTCAGAACTTCTCAGAGCCCGCGCGCCCAGATCTATCTCTATTTTTGCCGAATCCATTTGTGCCCGCATCGCCAGTCACGCTGTCCCCCAAAGAATCAGTACACGGTGAATCCTTGGACGACTTTGAGTCACACGACAACCCCTGCAACTTACTGCCGGGCGCATTTGTAGAAACACCAAGGAATCCATCAGATCCTAATTTTATTCCTCTCTCTCCGCTTACCCCACTAACCGTTTCTAGCACAACCATCAAAGAAGAACCCTTATCGCGGTCACGTGTGCCCTTATCAATCGAAGTGCCAGCTATTAAGAAAGAGGAAATGGAATCCCTTATCGTGCCAAACTCAATTCGGAACTGCACTGCTATATATATTCCCCCAGCCCTGCAAACAGCTCCAATAAGAACCACACAACTCGTGCCTATTATCAACACTCCCCAACCAGTAAAGATGTCAACGACCGTTAGAATGCCGGTCCGCGGCTCAGACAAAGCGCCAAAATTTGATGGCGCCGCAGAGAACCTCCTCACCTTCATCGAGGATTATGAAGCTTGCGCCAATGATGCGAACCTACTAGGGGGCGATCACATCAAGGGTATCATCTGCTACTTGCCAAATAGCGAGCGCGCACTTTGGGCTGGTATGCCCAAAGCAAAACTAAGCGACTATGACACGTTCATTAAAGAGGTAATGGAAATGTACCCTGGGTGCAAAGGTGAAAAGTGATACACAGTATCTGACCTCCAAGCGGTAATGCACAAGTATGCGAGGTTGCCAATGCCTTCACTCA